ATCCCATCACCATCCTACCCCCAATCCATTAACCCGCTACACACCAAGCACCCCTAACCGAAACAACCCACCCACCCCCGCGCTGAAACACCACGACTTGGTCCCCCAATTTCACAAAAACTCACGAAATAAATCCCCTAATCCCATCCCATCATCTCTACCTCCGAATAATTCCAGAAAACCCCGGCCTTCGGACCGTATCGCATCGCATCGGATTACGGAGCTTGCCCTAACCCCAACCCTCACCCTCAACGAAGCATTGGGAGAAGTTTTCACTCTCCTCCCTTTTCTCATTTCATCTCGTTTACTCTATAGTAGGTATATACTTTCCCCCTCGTCCCCTCGTTACCTAAACAGGCGTTATCATTACCTTACCTTACCTAAAATCCCCAATCTCAAATCCCAAAGAAATCCAATAAAAAAACCCCCCATTCCCCATTCTAGTTTCCACTGTAAAACCTTACAATACAAAGAAAAAGAAATATATATACAAGTACTATAATGCAAAAAAAAAAAATCTCAACTCCCCCCTCCGTATTTTTTTTTGAAGGTTGAACTTTAGCCTAGAGTAGGCCTGGTTTTTTTTAACTCGAATGTAAATTTTATAGGATCGAGACCTAGATCTATCTATGCCTTTCTAAGTACGAAGTATAAAGTACGAAAGAATTTGGAAATCGACGATACTTACTTGCTTGCTTACGTAATCATGCAGGTGGTTATGGTTATACGGCATACGAAGGAGAAGAAGTAGTCTACCTTACCCGTGGGTAAGTAGATATCGGAGAGTTCTAGGAAAGAAGGTTTAACAAGAATAACAAGAAGGAATCCCAAGAACACTTACTTTTTCATCCTTTACCTTTTTATCATTATTATTAACCTTTCTTTACCTTTTTTTTAATTTACCTTTTTTGGCTTTTTTTTTTTTGATGAATATTTATTTAGACGCATGACGTCTTTTTTGTTTTCTTACTTTTGGTTTTTAGGTTTGGGTTTGGGCTTGGGTTTGGGTTTAGCGCGCTTGAGTTTTTGGGCTTTACTTTGGGCTTTTTGGTGCGAAAGAAGAGGTAGGATGGCAGGATGTACGACAGGGTCATCCTAACTTGAGGGAGTCGGAGAACGTAATGTGGTGGGATACGATCATACGAGGACCTTATTCTTTTTTCTCTTTCACATGGTTCTGAGGGCGGAGGTATCAGAGACTGGGATGGGGAGTTGGAGTTGGCGGTGATGTGATTGATGTGATGTGGGGAGCGAGGGATCCGTAAGTTGGGTTGGGTTGGAGGGAGATGTAGAGGATTTGTTGTGGATAGATGACGAGAGTGATATTGATCTTTTGTTATTACTGTTTTTTTTTCGGGGGCTTGGTTGGTGGTATTGAGAGTAAGATGTGTACGGAGTAGTGTATCCTAGACTCAGACACCCTCTCGGATTTGCAAGAACCGAGCCAGTTGAGGAAATGTTTGTTTGCAGTACCTTCTTTCAGCTCTTTCAGACGCAGATGCATGGAAGACTTCTGTAACGACGCGGGAGCGGAAGACCGACGAACCCCAGAGCAAAAATCCGACTGTGATGGTTGTGGTGGGAGGGCAACTGCGCCGGCGGGGCGTTGGCTTCAAAACTGCACTGGCTTGGTTACATGGACATGAAATGTTGGAGGAGAAGAATGTTGGTACAGTAGCTTGCGGTTGGCTATGCTGTGTTGGTAGGTCACTGGAACCTGGAAAGTCCAACGGCATAGCATATACATGATAGAGACAAGTTGGATGTGACTGTGACGCTGTGGTGAGAGCGATATCCGCGTAGCTTGCCTGGATGGTACGTACCAGACCCGGATTGAGAAGTTCGTTTTTTTTGCCCCGCCATCCCATTGATTCCCTTGAGCTTCGTCCAAGAACTGGTACAAAACACATCTGCTGCTAGAGATTGGTATGCAATTAAGATTGTTGGAGTTTTTTTCGCCCCACCATCCACTCCTCCCCACTGTAACTGTGACGCTGTTCTGAGAGCGATTTCTCCGTGTCGTGTCGTGTAGCCTATCTGAACATGGTCCTGGGTAGGTATTGAACCAAAATTAAATGTTGATACTTGATACTTTACATGTAGATTTCGTACAAGAACGGAGGCTTAGAAGTTTGAGCAGAAACATTGACACGGTATTACGAGCAAGCTTCATCCCACCACTCATCCCCCACATGCTCACCCCACCGGGCCACCACAGACAGCCCTGGAGCCAATCCCCTCCGACCAATACTAATAGACGAGAGGGTGTGGGTATAGCGAGCGAGCGATCAAAATAAGCTCGCAACGGGACCCACAGTACTTAGAATCCTAGATTCAACGCCCACCCACGTCTTACCGGTACGAGCAGCGCATCCCATCCACGCTGCGCCCCTTTTGGGATCTCACGCTTGTCCCGTTGAGGAAGTGATTTGACTTGCCTGATGAGGGCATGGAACTTACGGTGTTGTTTGTTTCGTTCATCAATTCTAATCCAACGAACTTTACGGCCAGGGACCCAGTGGTACCTCCGTACTCAGCGGTATCTAATCTGGACGGGGCATGATGACGATGCAGTGACTCCCTTGGATGAATGATCAGTGATGGCTTGGTACGGAAGGCTCAATGTTTGTTTGTTTTAGCGTGTCAAGCCAGTACCAGTGCCTCTGCCTCCACCGTGATGAGCAGCTGATGGAAGAAGAAGGCGTTTTCTTTTTAGTGTTGGGCCCCGCTGGACTGGTTTGGCAGGAAAGCCAAGGATACCAAGCATTTACTTCATCTTCGGTCCAGACCAAGAATGAATAAGAATGGGGCCAAGCATTGCCAACCCGTGCCGAGCAGGAATAGAGTGCGCGAGACGGTGGTGGAGTCGGCTCTGCGATGGAGTCGGCGATGAAGTCGGCGATGAAGTCTTTCATCGATGATGACATGTTGGATCACTCCGTCGAGGAGACTTCAAACTTACGAGGAGCAAAGTTTGGACGTCGACATGTCAAGATAGGGTTGCAGTGGCGCGACCGGGACTGATGGACAAGAAGTGCACTTTATCTAATCGGTTTGCTGGAGGGAGTCGCCCAGGGCGGAAGAGGGAGTGATGTAAGTGAGGTGAGGGTGAGGGAGTGCGAGTGAGTGTCTTGGGGTTGGCAACTGCAGAGGGAAAGGATACCTGGAAAGGCAAATGCGGCGGTGACAGTGACTTGGAACAGCAGCATTCGTATTCAAGGCGAAGCAAGGCGTAGGGCAGACAACGTCCCTTGGGGTCGTACGGAGGAGTGCAGCTACGCTACTTCTAAAAATGTACGGAGGTACCTACTCCAACCAAGTATCATAGGTATGTATCATCTGTAGATATCATCGGTATCTATGTATCATATACATCAAATGCATCAAATGCATCATCATCATATGCAACATATAGGTACATTGATGCACGGAAGCAGGCTGTGAGAGCGGTTGCTGTGTTGCCGTGCCTGGTAGGGAGGAGGCTGTAGCTATGTAGAAGTACCTGAGTACTGGCACTGTTGTCCAACAGTGCCTCCAACTGCAGTTGCATCTGCATCTTCATCTGCATCTGCATCTGCATCTGCATCTGCATCTGCATCCTCTCATCCTCCTAAAGAGCAGAGGCAGAAGCAGAAGTAATGCACTCAAAGGCTAATAGAGAGACTTCTCTTATGCCAACGGCTAGACTCCAGGACCAACTTTGATGCCTACTTCCACTACCTAGACTCCAGGAATGACTTCTGTATAGAGTTTCTAGACTCCAGTACCGAATTAGGTACCTACTACCTACTACCTAGACCCTACTCGGCACTTTGTCATATATACCAGCATTCGCATGGAAGAAGACTAAGTTGTGACGATGCTATTTATTGCCATTGATTCTTATTCTTACCTACTCCGGACTGCCTGCTAGGTACGTCCCTAGGTACTCCGTACCATCACTAAAACCCAGTCCCTGTTGGGCCCTGTCCATGCTCTGCGGCCTCCCTGCAACCTGCAAACATTCGCACTCGCTCCCTCCAAACCAAAGCCTAGCACAGTAGTAAGTCCCCTGTAAGCCAGAAGCCGCACCCCCAGCAGCGAGCCCCAGCGAGCCCCAGCCAGCCCCAGCCAGCCCCAGCCAGCACCCCCCGTCACACCCCTACCAGGAATTCTCGCACACCACCGTCACCACCATCACCACCAGGCCATGCCTTTGCCCACCCTGACGGTCATCCCTGCCGCCAAACCTAATCTAAGATTTATTTCAGCCAACCGTCCAAGGATCCAAGAAGGCAGCGGATTGGAAACTGGTGCAGAGCCGTAAAGTCAAGAATACGCCGTATGCCTATCCCTTTGCCGAGTAGGTAGCTAGCCTTTGCCTATTACTACCAGTACTCCCCCCCAATGGTTCCCCGGATCTGGTCGCATTCCGACTTGCTATCTTTCACTTCTTCCAACGCGTGGAATTCCCGACACTGGTACCGAGGACTCTGGCACGGCCATTGCATTCATCACACTCCTCGTCGACAGACTCACCATCTCCACTACTCGCTGCGGCACTAGCACTCACCACTTGTCAATAAACCGACACGACACGATACTACCCCCACAACAATAACTTGATCTTCGATACACTTACGAAGTCTCTTTGATTTTCGACAGTGGCAACCGTTTTTTCCCGGTCGTGAGCCGTCTTTGCTCTTACCAGATATTCGGAAATTCCAACTATTCCAACTAGGGCAACTAGCCCGTCCCGTGACCCAGATTCATTCCGCCTCATCGACCCAGTACTTGTACTTGCGGCCATTTCGACGGCTGCCCTCCATCACACACACTCTCCGCGGCAACAATCACCAGAGGAAGAATACTACCAAGATTCGAGCATCAGACATCTCGATTGATCTCCTCATCTTTCCGTACGTATTTTTTCCTGTTTTTCCCCCTCACCCGTGGCGCCAAAGGGACGGCCATGGTCGCGCAAACCCTGCGTCATGGGCATGGTGATGTGAGAGAGCCTCATGCATATCAAAAGTTCAAACTCGTCCTTGCGAGCATGCGAATTCTTGACGGGTGAGGAACTTGGACCTGCGCTTCGGCGGAGATATCATGCACTGGCATTTTCGTCCCAATGGAGCAGAAACAAAGTACGCAAGACCAGCAAGCTTGGTTGGGAGCTTCTATCACGCTCTGCTTCATCCTGTCTCATCTCTCCAAACACTCGTTCGTTCGCTCGCCCGCTCGCCCCACTATCACTTTCCACCACACGCAAATCTGTTCGCTGGCTAACATGTCATCTGAAGCGCCCAGAATTGCTTACCCGACGTCTCAGTCTACATCTCGACAGAACTTGCGCGTTCCGCTAATCCGCAAGCCGGCACCGCCAAAACCTCCCCTTTACTACCGCACAAGCTTTCTGTGACAGCCAAGGGTGCTTCTTTAGCTCAATTTCCAGGCGATCAGCAAACTTCCCCTCACACGTCCAACCATCTTTCGAGACGACCTCCAGCACGTACCCACTGTGGAGAAGCCGCCAATACTCTTATCCACCCGTACGTATCCACCGGAATTTTATAAGGTTAAGAGTGTTGTCTGCCACTGCTTCGTCGCCGTTCCGACGAGAGCAGTTGAGCTGCTTTAAATAATATCCAATTGAATCAACTATACCACCGTCATCATGATGGACACCTACCATGGCCACGTACGAACGCCGGCAGATGCAATCAAGCTATTTGAAGCTTGCCGCCTCGGCCTATTACCTAGAGTACAACGAAGACTCTCGGAAAAGGAAAGACAGTCAATCAAGTCAGGATCGGTTTTCGTATGGGATGAGAGAGAAGCAGGAATGAGAAGATGGACGGACGGAAAGTCATGGAGTGCTAGCAGAGTATCCGGAAGCTTCTTGACATACCGGGAGATGGAGGGAAAGAGAGGAGGAGGCTCTTTTGCACAAACCCCAGTTCGACGCAGCACGGGAAAAACACCAGATAGTGGAAGAGGCAGTGATGAGGATCAGGATATGGACGGAGAGGGACCAGATGGATATCGATACAAGCCGGATGGTCTCATGAAGCAATCCTTCAGCATCACCACATCCACCGGGCAACATCTGCATTTAATTAGTTACTACTCTCGACCTCACCCAAGTATTCCTGAGCTTCAACAACCAACTGCCGATCCAGCACTCAGACATATCGTTCCCGTCAAGGGCATGTATCCAGAATCAACTGTAAGTGAAGCTCAAGGACCACCAGTTACCAGAGCCCCAATGCAGCAACACAGCCCATACATGCAACAACAGCATCCTCAACACCTCCAGGTTTCTCCGGGGCACAGAGGACCAGCATACGCCTATCAAGTCGCACCAGGTTATGCTGCATGGCCGCCATCGCCAATTTCTACACCACCATACCCACAATATCCAGGTCAGATGTATGGTTCGGCTCTTCCACCTCCAGGATCCGCTCATACCTCACCATACCAACAACACCAACAGCACAGCCCTTATCACCCTAACGGCATACCACACCATCCTCATCAACAGACAGGATATGATAGGCCGCCCCCACACGTTTCAGATCCTTCCCTTCCTCACCCAACCCAACATAGACCAATGAGTACGGCAACTGCACAAAACACATTGCCCCAAAATCTAATTCCCATGTACGCACCTAGTCGAAGCCCTCGTGCCGATCCGGCTGCCATGGCTGCGCAACAACAAATTGCCCAAGGTGCATTGCAAGCTGTCAGGATGATTGATCCTCGCATCACTGTTGACCTCCCACCCGTTCAACTCAACGGTAACGGTAACGGTCCAGCAAGAACATCTACTCCTCCACATACCAAACCCGCTTCACAGGTCAATACCCCAACATCAATGGGTGACAGATCTCCCAAATCGGCTGGCTCACCAAAACTTAATGGTGCCAATGGTCTCAGCACATCGCAAGCCCAGAGCATTCCTAGTATCTCACACCTGGTTCACGCCACTGATTCCCCCAGTGTGCTATCTGACAACAAGAGTAACAGCAGCCGTGCTGGGAGCAAAAGCCCTCCTCGTGAAGGCGGGGACAATCAGAAACCCAAGGATATTCCACACGACAAATTAAATATCATCGGTGAGGATCAACGAGCAATTCGTGTACTTGACCGAAAGTTCTGCATCTAAATTTTTACCGCAGGATTCCTTTGCAATTAAGCAACAGCAACAAAACATGGCAAGACACAAAAATGGGCATGGCCTCGAACTGTGGATGGATCGAAAGGCTTACACATATTACCTTTTTTCTCAGCAAGAATTCAAACCCCTTGTATAAACATAATGATTATTGGACCGGATATTTTTTGGGTTGGGAGGAGAACAGGAAAAGTTTTACTTGTTACCATGGGCATGGGATTGGGAGGCATTTCGATGGGAGGGAGGAGTTATTATACCATTGCTTTGTTTTTTTTCCTTCGATTACCTTTTCAGTCTTGCTGGATTTGAGAGGGGTGGGGGGTGGGGAGTTTCTTTCTTCGATTCTTGTAGCAATATGTTTTTAACAGCGACGGGGTGGGGTTTATTCGCATTTGGGGGACAGGGGGTGGGGAATGCATTACATTTGGCGTTCTTCTTCTTTTCGCTTTCTTGGTTTTTTCTTTTTTGCTTTTTTTCTTTTTTTCTTTTTTCTGGGGCGGAGTATGATTTTTTGGGGGTTCTGTACCTTAATTTCTTAGTCTGTTGAGTGGGGTATACCTTTTGTGGGAAGATGAGGGGGGTGTGGGAGTTTTGAGGAAATTAGTTAGCTAGCTACAGTACCTCGAGAGGAAACTTTTTAGATCTCAAGGATTTGTGTTGTTTTGGTGTGCCTTGTTTTTTGGGGGGAGAAGGTGTAGGTGTAGGCGTAGGCTGTGTGATAGTTTCTAGGAGAATTATTTTAGGAAGAAGTTTTGATGTTCATGGTGCTTTGTGTGTGTGATTTTGTGATTCTTTTTTCGTGTATGTGTGTATGTGTGAGAGGGAGAGAGGGGGAGGTATTCATCCTCTTCCCCCTTTTTTTTTTATTGGGTTGTTGGGCTGGACTTGAGGTTTAGATGGTATGGTATGGAGGAAGAAGTGAAGGGTGTTGAATTCTGATCTTGTTATTTAGGTAACTTGGGTGGGTAGTGTACTTGGTTTGGTGGGTAGTGTGACTTGGTGAGATGGATGGATGGATGGGGTGGGATTGGATTGATTAGTGGGTAGGTGAGGTGAGGATGATGGACTTGTGATCTATTCTATTCCATCTTTCTTTCTTTCTTTCTTTCTCTTATTCTTATTCTTATTCTTGTTCTTATTCTTGTTCTTGTTCTTGTTCTTGTTCTTGTTCTTGTTCTTGTTCTTGTTCTTATAGGTAATTTAGTAAAGTGAAATGAGTTGAATTGAAATGAAATGGAAATGGAAATGGATTGGGATTTTATTTGTAAGGGGAGGGGAGATAGGGATGAGCGGATGAGAGAAGAGAAGATGGAGGTAGGTAGGTAGGTAGATACTACAGGCTAGTCTACAGGTAGATACTACAGGCTAGTCTACTTGTAGTATATAAAAAAAACTGCAAGATAGGAAGAAAGCCTGTATTTTTGTTATATATTTTTTTTTAGGTTGTTTATTTAATCTTGAAGACTACAGTATGCCTTTTCTATTTGATACTTGTAAGCCGCTTGGGAAAATAGCGTGAGGTGAGGGAAGGTGAGGGAAGTGTTAAAGTATAGGTTCGGAAAAGGGGGTTTAATGAAGGGTTATTATGGGGATTTGAGGGTTTTGTGTGTTTGGTTAGTTTGGTTTGGTTACTTGTTGGTTTATTGGGGATAAGGATGGGGATGGGGATGGGATGAAGGGGCTATAGGCTACTAGTGTGACCCTTAAATGATATGGCTAGGGATGGGATGGAATAGTAATGGTAATATAGTATAGACGAGATATCTATCTCTCAAGCAACATTCCATACGGAGTATATAATTTATAAATAAAGAAGATAGTTATCAGACCTTTAGTATCACTTCGTTTTTCTACTGTTCTGATACAGAGGTTATGTAATATTACCCTTCTGATGGTAGATTGATTGATAGTAGAATTCTCAATGCCAGAGTAGAATGGAGGTGTGGTGGAGTTCGAGTTAGATACTGGAGATGAGATAAGACAAGAGAGATTCGGAAAGATTTTCATTTGAACGTAATTTTAGGGTGTAGGTATTTAGGTTTGGAAGTTGGAGGAGGGAAGGTTTTTAGCTCCTTGGTATGAAGAAGGTATTAAAGAGAGAATGTGGAGGGGTTGATATAAAGGTTCATGAGTTGGGGTAGGTGAGAAATATATCTATGGTAAGACTCGAAGGGTTAAGCGAGGAAGATGGGGAATCTATACTTCAATTGCTTGTAAGACCTTTGAATGGAATCTTGGAAGAAAGCATACGTTTAACTATTGAAATCAAGGTGCCTAATTACAGTACAGTACCTACGCTTCTCTGCATCCTTTTACCATTACAGTTGCTAGGACCACATTCATAGGAGGAAGCCCTATGGCTCTGGTTCGCTTGCCGCGAGCTGGAGGTTGACAGGCACTTCTATAGTAATCTTACACCCAAATTTAAGCGTAAACCTGAACGTCCAATCCAGCCCTGTTATTCTTAGCAACATAATTAATCAGTATAACAAAGTAAAATACCACATCAAAAAAAAAAGAAACGACCTATCTTACAAACATGTCAAAAGTTGTCATCACATACGAGAATCACGATTCGCACCGTTCAAGCCCTGGGATGTCACGCAGAGGTACAGCCTCAGGTGAAGAAAGTACTGTACCTACCGTCGATGTATGTATTTGCCCACCGGTTTCATTCCTTCCCGTTCCATAACATGACTTCCCCGCAAACAGGATGAAGGAGTGCTAGCTGCTGTTACATTGTGCTTTGGAGCTAACATCGCCACTCCCATCGCTTGTGGGGGGCGTTGAGGTCGATAACGTGAGTCGAAAGGGGACTTGAGAGAGTGGAGGGTACACGTGGGTGCAGCATGTACAGTATCCATTGTACAGTATCGTATATGCATGATCCAACAGCTGGTGTCGAACAGATGCAAAGCGGCCAGTAAGAATGTAGAACATAAACAGATACAGGAGCACAAAAGAAGCGAGAGCCGCTCGGCTCAACGAGAATACTACTAGCATTCCTTCTCCTCTATGGTCGATGTCAGGAAAAGCTATGAATCTAGTCCCACGTGGTGGGATATCTTATCCGAACACAAGGTAGTGACAGGCACCAACAGCACGTACTCATTCCGTCCAGATGGTCCAAAGCATGCCCCAGGACGGTCGACCTTGACGTAGCCATCAGCAATCTATTGAGTAAAATGTTGGTGGGATCCGTTTCAACGAAAGACAGGCCACCACCGGAGAATCAAAACCAGCGAATCATGTATATACAACATGTATCTCGTGAGCGAAAAAGAACTTGAAAGTGTCAGACCGCCATGGAAGGAGCACCCAGCCAACCCGGTCTTTCCGGAATCCGGACAAAACAAACAGAAAGCAGACGATGGGGTGGTTGAAGAATGTTGGTGTTTGTACTTAGCGAACCACTGTTGACATGCAACAGGGGGAGACCGTAGGAAGTAGGCGCTACGTGACGTACATATAGGTAATTCCAACATCATGAAGATCCCAGAGCTCCCCGTGATAAGGTACCCCTCCAAGATAAGTTATGCAGCAAGCTTAAATCACCTTCTCGATATTTAGAGTTAGGTATGATCTAGGTTGATACGGGGATTGAGCGGAGAAGGAGATGGTTAGGTTGTGCTGGGGAATATGTTGGATTGTGGGGTTGTAGCTTGAATCCTTGAATTTGAATTTCCCGCTGCACAAACACAACCTGCTGGGATCAGGGTCAAGTCTCATACTTATCCGGTACTGCAGACGAATCCTATCTCGTTAGAGGAGCCTTAATAACTGACATTAACCACCGGCTTGTTGGAATTTACGGAATTAGCTGTCGCCGTGTAACCACACTTCGACGATCAAAACTAAAGAAGAACAAATATACCTCCTCCAATTGGTGTTCCTAATTCACCGCGTGTTGGAAATTTGGTTAGAGCATTCCGTTATGCTTCATTTAAGCTGAGCCATTTATGGCAATGAATTAGTATCTCAGGGATCGATTAACAGTGCATATATCTCGTAGCGGGGAAGCAGGATCAAGTTCCCAAGACAACTCTGCTCCATTGCGGCGCTATGGAGATAGACCCCAACTTTATCTGATTTCTTTTGGTTGTATCAGGTTGGTACTAGGGATATGTGGATAACATTTTGGCGTTGTAACCAAGCTAAAGGGTGAGTACGATACGATGGCGATTTGTACAACACACAGCTGTAAACAGCCAATGCGATATTTCTGGCCACAGCTCCAAGGATCGAGCCGAAACAGAAGCACAGTCGATTCCAGTCGATTGGGTGCGGTAAGGCTGATGCGAGTCTTCTTCGTATCTCGTATGTGCACTACATTGATTGCCCCAATGACAGAGCCACGATACTAACTTGGTGCTATTTTGTAGACTCGGTATGCAATGTAGCGACGGCCTGCCATTTTACCAAGGTTGGACTAGCGAATGTAACCAGACTGGGGTGGAGGATAGCCCCCGTGAAAGCTGCAGCCGCGTGCTGAAGAGAAAAACCTAAGCGCCGTGGATTCCTGGTTGACCGTACTATACTGCGGTGTAAACTGCATCCGCTGCAGAAGCAAGGTTGTATGGTGTGTTACCTGCAGCCGGAGGATTTTATGCTTATGTACGGCGCGGAGCGAACCTTTCTTCCCCTCGTTGCGATTCCAAACCCGAGAATATGTTGGTGGCGTTCTGTATAACAAATTAAAGACGACCATCAGAAGCCGTTTTGATGTGATATTCGTGAGGCTACAGTATTGGTGACATTGTAGGGTAGTGATAGATGCGGTTGGAATTGCGTTGAGTTGGATCAGGAAAATGATCCTGCAGTACTACTCACGCACAGCAGTGAGGCGCTCCAGGGGGGGTGTACGTATCAGATAGCTCATGTGTGGCCTATTTTTTGTTCAAGGCAAAAAAAGAAGCAGCAGTATTACGGAGTGAGTGAACGTCATGATCCATACAAACTAACAGCTGTGCGCTGCCCTAGGTGCGGATATCAAAATTGGCTTGCTCTAAGAAAGAACTTTGTTGCTTTGCATACACTTGCCTCATCTAATTATCCCCGAGTAGATGCAACTACTGCCTATATAGGTTAGGAAAAGAGATCGAGAATGGCAAGTAATACCTGCACCGAGAAACTCCGTACACACAGAACAAGGACCGGAACCTTCCCATGTACCAGGCCCGTTTCGGTTGTAACAAAACTACTCTAGTACATTATTTATTAAAGGTAGCATGTCTCTTTAAGCCGTCATGTTGAATTAGAGATTCGTACCACAGGATTAAATGATCGTATTCCTCGCTAGGCCGCGCAGTTTTGTTTTACAGAGTGGGGGTTTGGGAACAATCCAAAGCGAGCGTGGAACTGCTGTTGCTCTGCGAGAGTTGAGGTGGCCTCGTAATATTCCGGCGTCAAAGATAGGTCCCAGGACCTAGAGTCTAACATTCGCATCGCCCCACCCACCGAGGGAAAGTGTTTACATCTCTGATGTTTTGGACACCAGCCAAGTAACCCAGAAGGCGATCGAAACCGAGCCCGAATCCACCGTGTGGAACACTCCCCCAGCGTCTCAGATCAACATACCACTTCAGGCTACCTAGCTGCTCATCTGAGATGAATTCTGGTGGGCCATGTGGTATCATACCACTGGACCGCATTGAAGCGATCAGAGGATCCAGGCGATGTTCACGCATAGAACCCCCGACAAGCTCTCCAGCCTCTGGTAACAAAAGATCGAAACAGTCCACAGTCTCTCCCATGTCAGTTGACTCCCTGGAGGGAAGCATATAAAATGGTTTGATATCGCGTGGGTATTGAGTAACGAAAACGGGCTTCTTGAAAACGCTGGCGACATGTTGCTCATGCTCGATACTAAATCCAAGACCCCACTGAGGGGTATTGGTAAAGTTAATACCTGATGTTTGCAAAATTTGAATGGCTTCGGTATATGTGATACGAGGCCAAGGGCCTTTCATAGCCAACCATCGATCTCTTAACCATTCTGAAGACTCGCCAGTTTCTTCCCCATCGCGAGTTCTGGTAGCAAGCAACTCTTTACCTACTCGGGAAGTCAAAAGTGGCAATGTAATACTCTGAACCAGTTTTTCCACCACATTCATCACAACGCTCATATCCTCCACAAAACTCATCTCAAGCTCGAGCATGTAGAACTCACTGAGATGACGCTTGGTGTCGCTTTTTTCTGCCCTAAATGTTGGAGATAATGTCCAAACGTTGCCAATTGATTGTGCTAGAGCCTCCAGGTGCAGTTGACTTGATACTGTCAAGTATTTTGGAGACCGAAAGAATGTTCCATCGTCATGTTCGCTGATCGGGCCCTTGTGTGAACTTTCGAGATGAAAGACCTCGCCTGCCCCTTCGCAATCCGAGGATGTAATTATTGGGGTGTGGGTCTGAGTGAAGCCTTCCGCCGCAAGAAATCGAGTTATCTCTGATATGCAATCCGAACGAAGTCGAAGCAAGGTTGAATTAAAGGGAATACGGCTTCGCAAATGAGGTATGGTTCGAAGAAATTCTTTCGTTTGATACTTCTTCTGAATAGGGTTGGTCTGACGGGATTTAGTAATTATCGTTTGATTCTAGTATTCTCCACCCCATACCGCTGCGTCTGAGAATCCCAATGTGTCTATAGCAGTTACGTGGAGTTCGTGAGTTTGCGATTCCGGGAAGCGTGATTCTTTCCACGCGCCCTTCAGTCGGACAGCCATTCCTGTTGAGAGACTGCCAACGCTGTGTCAGTCACCTTTTCGATACCCGGGAGCAATATAATCCGCACACCTCTGGGCTTGCTCTGGGCTTAGGAGGGCTTGCAGTGGCTCCAATGTTGATCCATCTCCGAGATCCACAAAGGACCGCCGTTTCTGACTCCGCACCGAGCGGACGAAGCCATTTACACAGACGTTATTGGGGTCTGCGGGCCCGCGATCAAGAAGGCTTGCGATGGAGATTGTCGTGCTAGCAGTGTCACTACCATATTGGGACGTCGAAGAAAATGACCTGCTTTTTGTGTGACGGGTGGCTAGCTTGACCGAGTGAGCCAGTCGCGATCGGACTGTAGCCATAATATTGGAACTTGTATTGGAACTTGCTCAATTTCGTTGAATTTCCTCGATTCGGACAATCGAAGTCGCGGGGGATGATGCAACGACCTTTATAGATATTGCTCTCGCGATGAACCCGGAATTTCTTGATGACCCGACTGGCCTGCGGGAGAGACTGGCCTGAAGGCGGACGATCACCTCTCTGGGGGGCTATCAATTGAGGGTCTGAGGAACAGCTATTCCGAGATAGGCAACGATGAAGCTTGAAAAACGAAATATAATGGGCCAAGAGGTCCGAGGTCGCGATGTCTATCAATTCACCGCTGGGCGTGTCGGGGCGAGCCGGAGCCGCGTCAGGGACCCCTGAGCACGTGATCGACAAAACAAAAGCAAACACTATTGACCAATAAGATTACGATTGTCGGGCCCACTCTTTCTGCTCACCACAGGCCTCTTTCAACGTCGTTTCACTCGCAACAGTCGTCCCTCGAAATCTTCATGGACAATGTCAATACCAGTTGATATCATATTTACCGTGGCCGTCTATCATCTTACGGTCATCTCTCACCTCAGCCAGATTGCCCGTTGCCCAGTGCAGGAAGTCATATCATACCATATGCATATTGCTGGGAGTACGCAATCTCAGGGTGACGATTTTTCTTTTTCCTGCTTGGACAATGGACCGGGTACATTCTCCGGTGCTATTGGACGCAAACCGCTGTGCGGTGGAATGATAATCTCTCGAGAGATAGAAGGTCAAGCGATCTGCTAGTTGCGTGGAATGCGGCTCGCATATCAGAGATGTTATAGATCGGGCGAACGACACTCTTTTTCTCTGCACCGTTCTTGTGCAACCTGATCCAAGGGACTATCAGGGGAGAGCAGGAAGAGTGCTCCGTGGAGGGTAGTCGAGTCACCACCTCCGTCCCTTTTCACCTCACCGTATCGCCGCCATTTCACGTCTATCTTCTTCTACTTTCTCACTCCAACACTCTTGTCCAGGAATCCGCCAATACTGGCAGAAATTTGGTACTCCTTCCCTTCTTTTTCCCTCCTTCCATTGCGCATGTCACAACGCACGGGTCTGCTATAGTCCGGCCTTTTCCTTTTGTGTGCTGTGACCACCCCAGTGCCTGCAGATGCATTCGCTGGTTGATCTCCATCGGTAATCTGGTACTACGGTGCACATATTGCGATCTTGGGACCTTGGGGTGCAGCATGTATTACGACCCTTCATAACGAGTACTCTCGAGTTCCACCGGGCGGTTCATCGCTAGCGAAGCACGGCGGGCTCTAAACCTGGACGGAAAGAGGCCCACACTCTATCACCTTTGTGTATGCTAGTTGAGAGTATTGATAAGATTCAAAACCACACCATTGGGGTAATGGTTATGAATTTTATGTCTCAGAGTTGCAGCTGAGATGTGCTATCCACTTCTTTGTAAAATGTCTGTCTGTTTCGTTGCCAAGGTCATTCCGGCTGATCGCTAGTGGCTGATGTTCTGACCATGTCTTCTTCACCTCAAACCCTATATAATGCAGACCCATGTCCATTATCCCCGTGGTGCTGGGTCAAAGAGCACCTTCATTGTTAACTTTGCCTGTCAACATTCTGATTTGTTTCCAGTATTCTGATTTATCCCTGCCTTCGCCGCTCTTCCATCAACATTGAGATAAGATGCCTCCCTCAAAACCAAAGCCATCAGAGATTGCTGCAGAGGCCAAGAAGACCTATATCCCATGGATTCGGCAAAACATGTCCTTGAAATGTCCACCTAATTCCTATCTCTGCTATTCCGACTCGATACCTACACAACCTTTAGATACGGGTCGCCAGGTGCACTTCGGTAAGTATCCAGTGCCGCAAAACACGTGCCCAAGTTAATGGTATATAGCTTTCTACGAACGTGATCCTGTTGATCTTGCTATAGAATGGGCAAATGATACTTCAGAGCCTATAGACCCTGTAGCAATTCCAGTCATAATGCCAGCAAACGACAAGCGACCTGGGGGAGACTGGGAGGCTGGCGTCATGTCTCCTGAAGAATGTCTTTGTAGACGAAGCAATTTGTTCGCAACATTAACAACACCTGCTCCTGGAAACTCTGCGCCAAATAATTATCCTATACCTCTCAAAGCGGGCGTCTTTTCTCGAACCGTTGGTATGTTATTATATTTGTGATACGAATTTTCGCTAACTCTGCTCTTAGTGGTTTATCGAAATGGCCCAGAAAAATATGAAATCTGGCAAGAGCCAAAATCACTACCAGTGATATCGGTTTGTCCAGTTAAGCGGCCAAAACTTGATATCTCGGGCAAGAAATACTCATTTAAGCAAGAAAAGGAACTAATGAGGGACAAGATCCGGACGGCTTTGCGAATTGCCGTGTACTACGGTTACTACAACATTTGTATCGGTAGCTTTGGGTTAGGGCCAGGTTTCCGCAATCCCACCGAAGAGGTAGCCTTAATGTGGCGAGACGCTTTTTTGAAGGACCCGGAATTCCAAGGTCACTTTCAAGATGTAGTATTTGCATTCGAGAATCCAGAAGGACCCGGCTCTGGTTCATCTAAATCCTCATCGTCAAAGTCTTCATCTTCCAAAAGCTCATCGGCTAAAAGCACTTGCGCTTCAGATCTAGAAGTCTTCAAGAGTGTGTTTAAACCAATGAATATCCATGGGGCTTTCAAGTAGTGGGGGAGTGCAGTGAGCTCATCTCACAGCCACGCAATGTGCATGTTTCTGGGAACTCTGGGGCTCGTGGGGGTAGGACTTACCGAGCTTTGACTTGGCTGGATGAGAATTGGGAGGCAATTGTGATTTTGGGTTTGGATAATATTCACGGGCGTTCTAAAACAAAGGGCTTGAAGGGGGCGCAAGGAGAGGTCTGGTAAAGAGTCTAGAGTTATCAAATGTTAACTTCCACAAGAGATTTACATGATTACGGTTTGACACAAACGATCATTGACAAGGTTTTGACACCTTTTCGTGACAAACTCATAGGCTTCACTCTGATATGACGCCTCAAATGTCAGCGGTGAACTTTCACCGCCGTTGCAATGGCGGTGATACACTACCAGACACGATCAAAGCCCTGCAAGAGCCCCCCCCCGTAAGCAAGCTGCATGTGACCCGATCTCTACCGCCTGTGGGATAACCCGTTATTTATCTCACGTTGTACTGATCGAGTCCCAACATTTCCCGTACCACATCGACCAAAGTACGACATCGTCGCGATCTTCGGGTCCGGAAATGTATCTATCATTCTGCTGGGCATCGACGTGCAACTTTTCTCTGGGCAAAACAGGGATATGGAGAGCCTCAATCCGACAGTTGGAACTTATGATTCATTTTGTTAAGGCTGTGGTTCTCAGGGCTTCAACGTCTCCTATTGCCACCGCCGTCACTTGGCGCCAAAGGGTCTTGGGTTTGTTTTTTTCTGCAAGTCTTTATCAAATGAGATAGTGTGCAGCTCCTTGCGTAAATCGGGAGACAACCATTTTGTGTTTGTGCAGGCGTATTCCTTTCGAACCGATTGGATGCCAACCGAGGACGCGAAGAAGCTCTTTCCATGTCTCTCACTCTTTTTCTGCATGGTAGATCAGATTGTGCATGTGTGACTGTATTCGTTTCCCAGTGGAATCCAGTGAGGATGTTCTCAGCGTGGGGTCGAAGATTTGCGTTGTCAGTGGGGAGACGGGACAGGCAAGGATTCTTTTACTCGTTCTCCTTCTTCTTTCCGATTCTTTTGTGTAGTGGGAGCACAGAGATCTATCGACTTTTGTGGGTTGCGGTTACACTACCACGAGCGATTTCAGTGCTTGGAATACTAGATTGTGCAGCTTTCCGGCCGTTTCTATCTTTTTACACTTCTTTCTGGAATCTTCAAGTGCCGGAGTGGTGCGAGGTAGTACTTGGGTCTCGGGGAGTACCTCTCGGAATTTAAAGTAGTGATCAGATGTGATAGAAGATTTGGGATTGTTTTTGTCACATGAGGCCTCTTTTATTCTCCGCGATTTTTGGAGACCAACATAGATTTCATTGCGAATTTAATGCGATTTTACCCTTATTGTCGTAAGCCGTATTTTCGTAACTGTGTGTGGGACTATTGAGAATGCTATACCTTTGACTTCGGTAGGTAATGCCGCAATAACAAGTTCACTACCTCACTTCACATGGTCAATTTTATGAATTATTGAGCAGGATCCTTTTATTTGTCGTCCAGATCTCCATCACGGATCTGAAGACCAGTGAAAAGATGTTTGATGAGAAAGAGAAAGACGCTTGGCTTGATTTTCGAGTTTTCTTGCTGAAAGAGTATTCTTATAAGGGCAGCTGGTGGCACGTAATTCTCCAAAAACAACTTTGAAGGTGAAATTCATTGAATGCAGGGCGCAGTTCACATCGTTTCAATGAGCATGGTGGAGAAGAATTATAGAGGGCGCGATGTTTCTCTGATTAGAGGTTAACATTACATAACATAGGTAAGACAGTTGGGTGAAACTCTGGACACACCTCTTTTAGAATAATATTATCCTAGAAGCCTCGTAGAACCAAACTAAATAGATTGCGAGCTTGGAATGACTGTTAATTCTTACTTCTTAATGGCCTAGGTATCCTAAGACAATTAAATTTAATTGTGCTAGATGTTTGGTATAACAACTTTTTATATATAGAGTGTACAGAGTAATGACCAGGTATCTTACACAGAAATTAGTTGATTGGGTGGTAACCTCGCGTTTATTGGCGAATTAAAGCCCCGCTGTATCAAAAACGGTCACTGTCAGACGGGGGCTTATGAGATGAAGCAGAGAAGAACTTGGATTGGGAGCAGCAGTTGAAGAGCAGCATCTTGTCTATTTATGCTTGAAGTTTTATCTATGTTGTTTTTAGGAATCATGTGAAGAAGAACGTGTCCCAACAGATTCGATAGTATCTTCAGCTTTATGATCCCTTTACTTATCGCTAATACCAGCCCCTTTCTAACCGCCAAAACTTCTTCTCTCCATGCCCACATAGCGATTATTGTAGCGCCCGGACCAATAGTCAAGAAGAGACCTGCGAGCACACCAATAACTCCCACCTACCGCGCATTGAGTTTGCCTGCAACCTTTAGATCCATAAAATGAATCAAGATCCAATAAAGCCCCGCACAAGAGGTAGCACTAGGAAGATATCCTGGCAAGTTGAAGCGTGTGTATAGGCCTTTAATTGCGGCTACTACCGCGGCAAATGCATAAATACGGCGAAGGTAGCGCATATCAGCTTCAGGATTTTGGATACGGTCAATTTCTGTTGTGTCTCTGACGAATCTTCCTAGGATCAGCTGGATGACTCGAGCGTAAATTGGGAAAGGTTGCCGAAAGACGCCGTTGATCCATAAGCGAGTTGAGAGACCGGGAACAGTGAACATGGCGATAGACGGGAGGATATACGAGAGGAGAATTGTTGGGATGATAATTTTGACTTTACCAATTTGAGTCATGCGATTGTCGGCGGCGTGATAGTTCTCAAGGGGAGTCTGGATATAATGGAGGGTGTAGTAAATTGGTAGAAGGCACTGGGCCCAAAAACCTGGTAGAGAATTGCGAAGAACAATGGCCTGTTATTAGTTAGGAATGGTGAGATGGTTGCGTTTCATGCAGAGAAAGACTTACAAAAGATGTGCAATAGTAATAAAGTTACCCCGTCGGGCTGCTTCAATCATGAATATTGCCTGAATGGGGATCAAATCTCCCAATAAGCCGATGGTTTGAACTCGTTCGACTGCTTCAAACCCTGATAGAACAGGTATGAAGCCAGATACCAAGGTTGATAGAATTTTATATAACCAGCCATATCCAGAAACTTTGAGATCCAGCATGGTATCATTATTCGTGGCTGCAAAATGAGCCAGAAGAAGAACCGGTAGGGCATAAAATGCTCTGAGGCATTTATTTTCCTGCTTTCCTACTCCAACCTTCTGGCTCCATGGCATTGTTGCGGTCAAAGACTTCTCAGGCATGGGAAGAAAATCCACGCGCTCGGCGCCAACCATGAGATTACATTGCTCACCTGTGGTAAGATCTCCAAGGTTTGGGGTTGCGTAGATGCCTATGAATTTATCGCGAAGTGTTGCCCAAGTTCAATACGTGTGAAATCATTGGTGGCATCGCTCACAGCGTTAGCTCTCTTGACGCGCTTACCGTGGAAGTCCTTCAAAACATTGCTAACCTAGAATAAAGAGTATGGATCCGTGATTTTGCAAAGACTATTTGCCAGTGCGGCTGCGCTTTCAATGGCTGCGTTGCCTCCGGCTCCTAAATTGGGTGTCATCTGCAGCCCGTTAGCTTATCCCAAGACTAGAAGATAAAAATACGACTATACGGACCTTGTGAATGGCGTCTCCTAAGCAGACAATTCTACCCGAGGTCCAATATTCATGTTGAGATTCCTTAATACATGACATATGAAACATTGTACGTTGCTTCCAGACCCCTCCTCATATTTTATGGTATCGGTCATATTGATGTTGAAGAATGCTTCTGAGGCTTGCTCGGCATCTTCTGGTTTATATCTTGGTATGTCTTTACCGTAGTATTTCTTATCCAATTTTGAGAACAAGAACCAAAACAGCTTCCCGCCTTCTGTAACAAACGAGACGGTTGAGAAATCCTTGGCGTAAGATCTATGTTGGATTCCCGCTTTTAATTCGGTATTCAGCGCATTGCAATGCCGAAGAGACAGTTGTCCTCTGCTGAGATACTGTTCATATCCTTCTCAGTGGCACCCGGGGCGAAACGCTCGATATGTGCCTGCATAATCCCTCTCACTGCACTATGAATTCCATCTGCACCGACTAGTACGTCTCCCATGAATTCTGAACCGTCTTGACATTGTACCGTGATACCAGACTCAGAACTATTAGCTCCGACCACACGCTTTGAACAGTGGATTTTGTTTTGGTCGAGAGGAGATCCAGCGAGGACTTTCAAAAGGTCACAGCGTTGGAGGAATGCAAGAGGGTATCCAAGACTAAATGTGATCAGTTCCAAAGTCATTATTGTCAGATGCTTGAACATACCGAGCTTTTGTCAACAATGGACCGTCGCTAGTCACAAGCAACTTTCCATCTCCAGTCCAATCTAAATCGCCTTCAACTGTCTCAGACAAGGCTAAAACATCTTCGCCAATTCCCAATTGATCCAAGATACGTGCACCGTTCGGGAGAATAACAATTGAGGCGCCTATTTGCGGTGCAATCTCCTTGCGAGCTTCGAGAACCACATAGTCAATATTGGCATGATGAAGACAATGTGCCAATGTTAAGCCAGCAATAGAGCCACCGGCGATAATGACTCGTGGACAGCGCTTCACGCGATGCTCTTGACCCATTGTGGAAGGTTGAATGATATTCGATTTCAAAGGATGGTAGAGTATGCTTTGAGTTCTTGACACCAAGAGAAGAAGGACAGTAAGGCGAGGATTTACTTCCAATGAGGCTTGTTGAAAGAAAGAATTGGACGAAAAATCAAGTACGATTAGCAACCTTTATAACCTAAAACAAGGTCAACCTCAACGGTGGCGCTAAGATTTACTGGGATATCTTTGTATAATATCAACATGAAAAGTGGAGACTCAGCAGTTATCACTGGAATAGCCGAAAATTTGACCTATAAGGTAGAATGGAGACAGTTGTAAATGTTAGGTATACTAAGTAAATGTTTTTCTGCTTGATTGGCTCGCTAGTGAGTTCCTAATAACATCTTAAGCGTGGCTACTACATTCACTTTCGCTCATACTGATCTCTCACATCCTTTAACCATATGTTTCAAACATTTAATTCTTTCATCTTTCAAAAAGGAGCGCTTGATATAGAGTTCTCAAAGCTCAAATCTCTGTTCTTGTTACAACAGTTCTTAACAAGCTCATATAGTGTAGCTTCAATAGCGAAGTAATGAGGTACAAATCAGCAATGTAAACTAGGACATGTGCATGTTTTTGTTCTTGGAACAAGATGCATGTCTTACCCCAGGTAAACTGGGAGCTCAAAAGTTTTTTTAATAAAAGGGCAAAAAAAGAGAGCCACAGCACTGTTACGTGGGCCCATGCCAACTATGCTAGCATGATTAGTGTGTACTAGCAGATTTACTTGACAGGCAAGTCATACATGATTATTTTGCATAAGAATATCGCATTTGGTAAAACAGAGAGCTTAGTCATCATTTTGTAAGGTGTTGATAACAAGGGGAAAAACGATAGTCTTATCGCTATCTTTATATAGAACCACACTGAGAAGGTTTGTAATGTTTGAATTAGAAGAGTGAAATACCACCTATGGCTCTGATTCAATCCCATATTTGTGAAGCTCTTCAGAGAAACCCTTTTTCTCAATACTAAGAAAACAAACTGTATGCAGAAACGAGCGTTTCTTCACAGCCATTGAATGTCAACGATTATACTCCACCATGTTCACTTTCGTTTGTGAGATAAGTCCTTTTCCCAACTCTGATATTCACCTTCATGTGGTAAAAAGGTTCTATTTAGTAGAGCCAGTTGTTCATTTACCATGGCTCTCTCAACTTCAAGAACCCAAATCTCTTTCAAGTCAACAACACGCAGCCAGAGTCCATCAAACACTCAATCAATCCATTCGCTCACCCTCTACATTACCACCAGCAGCATCAAAAGTTTTCGCAAAATGGTTTTCCTTGACCTCCCAGACATGTTACCAACATGGAACAAGTCAACAACCAATAACTCATTGGCACAAGTCACCAGTCCACAACTTCAGCCAGCGGCTCTCAAAGATTATCTGAGCACGCTCCCAGACGAGACTCTTCTCCAAATCATGAAGTATCTCAATCCACTTTTCTCAGTTTGCTTGGGCGTCACTTCAAGAAAGTTCTATTCACTGCATTGGTCATTGTGTGGGCCAGTAAATGTCCTGAATCTCTACTATCATAATGTTTTTGATCTTAACATTTATGTGGGATCGCATTATACTGATTAAGGGTCGGATGATCTGGTAGGCATGTGGAGTACATAGATGGACGATTATAGATTTTGTTGGGGCTGGGGGGCTGGAATTAAAGAATGTGACGGAGAGGTGACCAGGCTTAGGGTGTCAAGGACGCTTGTTGGAGGAGATTATAACATCCGCCAAATGCTGTCGCCTTGGATGAAGGAACGGGGTTATGAATGGGGTGCCAATAGAAAATTTACTACGATCAAAAGAAAAAGGGGCGGAAAGGAAAAGGTTCAAGAAGACAACTAATAGCTGGGGGAAAGTTATCTGTGTCGCCTAGAAGGGGGTTCTATGTTCGTAGAAGTATGATACATGTGGGGGAGAAAAAAAGGCTCTTATTTCAAAGACCAGGAGAAGAAATACGACTGATTTACGCAATTAAATCCGCTTCGAGTGTACTTAAGCTTGCGAACCCTGAAGCAAATGCTCTATGTGTTATATGATTTTTGGAAGAGTAATAGCTCTATTTCCGTTAAGTCTCTAAGAAGTCCTAGGAACAATAGATTATCTAATTCTTAAATTATTGTGGCTTTTCACACAGTATTTTTCGAAGCTTAGAGTAGTTTTGAAGAGACTTCTATTTAGCATAAGTGAATACTTCAATAATTTTAACAACTGCATAATCTAGATAAATTGTAAGAAAGTGATATGTCTAATAGGGACGAATATGTATAGCGCCGAGGTACTTGTACTACCTGAAATTTGGAAGTGAAGCTGGGCAACGATACAACTGCCAAAAGTGACGTAGTGATCTAAGTGCTCAAGTCATTTGTTAACGAGAAGGAGTAAATCCTTATTACACTAAAGTAAGAGATTATTAATATTTAGAGTAGTCTCTATTAAGCAACCTCACCGGTCTTTGCTTTATTCTGTCCAAAGTTCGTGTGCCTTTTTGGCGGGGGACGAAAACATTATCTTAGGGTAAAAAGCTCAAGGGCTGTATTTGGGGGGTATGTTTTGTGGGCCGAGATTATCCCAGCCTCTTGATTTGAGGAACGCGGCAACCTCAAGCAGAGACAGTACCGTGGGACTGAGGTTGGGTAATTGTTAAAGCTACACAAGGGAGGTTTGTCAAACGCATCAACTCTGAAGAGAAAGGGAAAAAGAAGAAGAAAGAGAAAAAGTAGGATGGATACAAAAAGTCTTACGACACTCATAAAGGACGACTGTTGGATTTCCAAGGTATGGGGTCAAGTAGGTCATGTAGAATTGATTCAATTGTAAAGCAGTTATTGTACAGAGTATATATATGAGAATAGGGGTAAAAAGAGTGGAGTAGTATCCCAATGCGGAAACAGTGCAAATAATGAAATACATGTATAAATAATGAAATGAAATGATTGGTTTCCACGGTTCAACAACGACTCACGAGATGGGTTAAAGAACGATGGACAAGACTCAAAAGAGGAGAATGATACCTCGCCTAGCAAACCATCGGATATTCTCACCAGACTCCCTACCGAGATTCTCATCCATATCATGAAAGAACATCTCCTCCCAAACTTCTCAGTTTGCCTTGGTCTAACCTGCAAGCGACTCTACTCAACCCACTGGGACATCCACCTCAAAGTCGAGATCTGTCAATACGCTGTCAATTCAAGCCTCACGCTCATTAGAGGCCGGGCCGGGTCGGGATGGGCGAGTGAGACCCAAGAGTTCACCCTGACTCTGGGTTGGATTGCCAGTTCTTGCTTGGTCATATTGCTCCGCCCTTGGTTTGAGGAACGTGGCTACGTTTGGGTCCAAAAAGGGCCGGCCAAGTTATTTTACCGTACCAAATGGGTGGATGTCGACGCACTTCCTGGAAAGCTTGTCAAGTGACATCTCGACGAAACGAAAGATGGAGAAGAACCCAGAGGACGAGTCACAAAATGGCTTAGGAAACGATGGGCAAAACACAAGAAATCACGATACGACACCCAACGAGTCCTCCACCTTGCTTCGCAAACTCCCCAACGAGCTCCTTCTCCAAATCATCAAGGACTATCTCAACCGCAACTACTCAGTCTGTCTAGGTCTAACCTGCAAAAGACTCTACGAAATCCACTGGGTTCTCCACAAAAAGGTCACGATATACTATCGATACATACTCGAGTGCGCACACAATCCACCAAGTAACCCTGCGGTCTCGTACGACGTCCATCTAGATTCTGATGGCGACAGTTCCTTGATTGGGCTACTCCACCATTGGTTCGAGGAACGTGGCTATATCTGGTCTTCCGAAGGAAATGACTTTTATGAGTACCGCAAAGGCTTTGGGGGAATCTATGGAACTTCTGGGAAATTTGTCAAGCGACGCGTTGAAGGGGAGCAAGGTGATGAATATGAATCAGACGAGCCTGGAACACTACTATACAGAAGACGAGCAAGTGCAAGATGTAGAGCTTCGCAAAGATGGTGTCTTAATGCGATAGTGTCTATGGCAGAAGATTTGCAGAAGAGTCTTCAAACAGCTAGGAGATGCTCAACTGCAATAGACTTAGTGCGGAGTTTACTAAATAGGTTGGCAAGTCCTCAGGGGTAGATTTCTGATAGCAACGCAGGAGGAGTCGTCAAAAATTCAATGATTGACACATTTAGTAAGTTACATCCCATGAAGAATCTGTCAGTATGAAGAACTATGATCATTTATCGTGAGAGGAGGCGTCGTGGTGTAAGATCTTACCAAATTTAGTCTGCTAATTAATTAATTGCCCAACTAAATAAATGGAGACGTTGTTATATCTAAGCTATACATGGTCGTTCTTCTACAAAAGAGAGTATAATTTACCACACCACTCTCCCGTATATCTTAAAAACCCACTCCTACTACCTAACAAAGACCTCCCAGACTCTCCACCTTACCATACAAGTAACTTCTTACCCCGCTATACTTACAAACCTAATTTCGAACTTCCCCTTATCGCCTATTTATAACTTTAAACAAAACAAACGTCTAACTAATATCCCTTACCTAAAACAAAAACCATAGAACAAAAACCCACGTAAAACCTCTTAGCCTAGAAACCTAAGTATTCCTCTAAACCACTCCTCTGAAGCACTTGTCTAAATCGCTATCGAAACAGTAACCTTAAGTTCTAACTTCCTAGAAAAAATCTACACAAGTACTTAAATCTAAACCTTATCCCTAACCCTAACTCTTACCTAATCCTTAACATACTATAAACAATTAAAAGAGTTCCATAGCTAATTACCTAGAGCTACCCCCTTATAGCAAGTACATTGCTCCCTTCAAAACGAGAAGTAAATGACAGTAGCAACGCAGAACCCATCACCCGAGCTGGTGACTAGAGTATAGCCAAGCGCCCCAAATTAAGCCCATCAAAACCCCAGCAGCCGCCTACCATATTGACCTAGCTAAGTACTCCCCTACCTCTTATACCTAAAACCATAAAAGATAATACCTCCCCACCTGCTAATCTCCCTTCACGCACACAACCTAAACCAAACTAAAGCAAAAATATTCTAACCCCTAACATCTAACATCCTCTATCTTCCTACTTTGATATCAAAAACCCCTATTAAATTATAATCCTACTTCCTCTGTTAAAACATCTATACCTATAGTACACCCATCTTCACTTAACAGGCTTGACTACTACTATAATTTTACCAAAAGATCGAGTCGCGGATTAGAATTACCTAAATAAGGATTATTATAGGTACAGTATTGGTGGTATATTCCTCCTAGAAGAGTGCGAACTTGAGGTGGATACTATAGCTACTTCTCGAGGTTAAAGTTATACCTATTCCTAGAAGCAGTCAGAGGGACAGGATTACACAAAGAGGGTCTGGTTATGTCATCTACCTCATTCGTAGTTTCGCATTTCTTTCCTTGTAGTCTACTAGATCTCAGACGTAGTACTACTATCACAACCCCCAAATATCATTCACATAGCCTAGCCTATAGCTAGCTAGCCACAAGCCCAGAAACCCCCAAACTCCATTTTAAAATCCAAGAAAAAAAGAAAATCGTCTATTCCCATGATAAGAAACAATAAACTGGTATCATCCCATCCAACCCAACAATCAAAATACACAAACAACCCAAACCCCCAAAACACCCCATCCAAAAACCCCCCAACGCCCGCCAAAACCCCGTAACCTGCCCGCAGAATTCTTGCCCCCAACCACATAATGGGGCGGATACGTAATATTAGGTGCCGGAGCCTGAGCCTTATAAAACGGCATGTTGAGATCGGAAATGCCATTTCCGCCATCGAAGACTTGTCCGGTGCCATCGTAGGGTGTGGTATCCTTCTCCCTGGTCACCCAGTTGAGTTTGGTGGTCCGCTCGATGCCTTTTCCTCCTGCGCCGATGAGTTGCATGTTGGGTGTGGGGTAGGCTTTCCATTTGTCGGGGAGATTATTGAGAGCGCCGGCGTAGGATAGAGAGTTGTTGAGGGGGGCGACGCTGGAGGGATGGTGGTTTTTGTAACCTGTTTTTTGGGCGACGATGTCGAATACGTTGGCGCCAACGTCGTAACGACCCAAGTTTGGTAATTCCCAATTGTTCTGCAGGGTTGACAGGATCGAGTAATGTGTATAAAATGTCTCATCTGTTGTACCCTTCTTATTCTTCGGAATAGCTCCTCCCAGTAAAATCGATACAATCTTGTTTGGTTGACTATATGTTTCGCTCTCGTCGTATGTAACGAGAAGGAGGGTATTCTTCATGAATTCTTCGTCTTTGAGGAGACTTCGAACATATGTATCGGTACACACTGCAGCATATTCCAGCGTAGTGTTGTGTCCATCATTCATCATGTTCGGACTCATGTGCGCAAATTGTGGGAGCTCGTTCTTCTTGAGATCGTCGTCGAAATCAGCGAAACTTTGGATGTTTGCGAGTCTCGTGCCATTGAACGAAATGCTGTTAAAAGAGACGAAAGGACTGGCCAAGTTAGCAGCGGCATGGTTCCAATCTAAAGCGCACAAATAACCTGGCAACGGCTCATCACATACTTGTGCTTACTGACATAGTCCCAGCCAGATCCGTCTTTTGCTGTGCTGGCCGCATTCATGTAGCCTGGACCAGGAATTCCTTCAAAATAGCCCTTCCACGAAATACCCCTCGAGTCGAGTAAGTCGACCACGGTCGTTATGTTCTCCGGGATATGGATTCTAAGGTAGGTTAGGACCTGTTTTTCTGGCTACATCAAAGACAAATTGCATACACATCGTCGTGGTTCAATCCAAAGTAGTCGCCAGCAATACTTGCAATATAGTTGGGTTGCGAGGGGTGGGTCTGGGCTATATAGTTGGAAAGAAGGATTCCCTCTTTGACCAGCCCCTTCATATATGAATTCTTTATAACCCTATCATAGTCCTGGTTCTCGAGCCATATCGTGAAAAATCGGTCACTGAGAGCCGTGAGTAAGTATCAGACTTGCTGCCAAGGTGCGAGTTATCAGTTACGAGTACTCACAATGCTTTTCCAGGAACGTACGGAGTGGATGCTGCAATCGCGACCGTTGCGCCGAGAGCCGCGACCAAAGCAGAGAATAACATAATACGCCAAAGTTGAAGCCAAGCAAGAGAAGAGAGAAGAAAAGAAAAAGATTATGCCAAGATAATGTTACAAAGTGAATGGGACAGAAGAAGAGGACATCGTTGGTTTCGATGGATGGCAATGTGTTCCGTTTCAAAGCTTACGCTGGTACCAGTACTCGAAAGTACTCGTACTGTAGTTCAGACCAGGATGTTACAGCACGGGTAGTGAGTAGATGCTTCCGGCCCGTGGAAGGGGATGATCCCGAGTGTGGGGGCGGGGCGGGGTGCAGGTGGTCATTACTCACCCCTCTGTAGCTGGTGGTAGTGGAGCACTGCAACTGCCTCACTACCAACATCTACCAACATCTACCAACATCTGCCAACATCTACCAACATCCACCAACATCTGCCAACATCTACCAACATCCACCTCCTCACTCGGAATCCTCAGCACAATGATGCGACATGCAACAAACCCCCTTCAAACTTCACCTAGCTCAGGGACTCTTGTTGATGCAACTACTTCACTAAAAGTCCAAGAGGCCCCCGCGGAATGGTGTGAGGTGCATCAATTGCAAAATCCTGCACATCCCGTACGCCTTTCCCAGAATGGTGGCAGCAACAGTATCCTGCCTAGAATAACCCGTTGGTATTTCATTGCAATCACTTTGACGTGTGATTCTGACGCGGACTCTGTAGGCGGCAACTTCCCCATCTGCTGCAGCGCGGTCCCTTTGCCAGTACTGAGTAGCCTGCACCAGCCTGTGCCTGATGAGGTAGGGAGTAAGGCCGCTCCTTCCCTCCCATCCCCAATCTGACCTTGAGCTCGACGTGCCAAGCGAGAAAGAAAAGAACAACCCACGACGTCGACGTCAAGATTAGTACATCAGCCATGAAGATAAGCGACTTGCTTCAGTCACCGGCACCAAGAACCTTCCCGAGGTCCATCCCTTCTCCCGTCTTCCACTAGAGATTCAAGATCACATATGGATTGCTGCTTTTGGCCCCCCAACACGCCTAATCGAGATGCAAGGAAATTTTCGCGATGGGCGCAATATAGCAGCGATATCTAAGCTCTCGACATCTAATCTCGAACGCGGTGCCAATGCAAATAGGTACCCATTTTTTGATGGCTCGAGATATCGAGTTCTGGGCTATTACACTCATTCGTTTTGTCCTCTTCCTGTACTCCTCCACGTCTCTTCTCGATCTCGTCAGATTGTTCTAGAGAATTATGAGACTTGTTTTACCAACAACTTGAATCCGGATATGAGACCTTTTCATGAGGCTGTCTATGCTTTTGGACTGGAATGGGCCGGATACGCTGATAGAATTGGCGTTGAGTTCTTGAAGAGCGAGAAGGCGCTCTTTGAAGAAGCAGCTGCCTCCTTACCACCATCAGTTCGGGAACGTTATGACGCGATTACGAAAATTCGATGCGACTGTGCTGACTTTACGGAGAAGAAACGATTTTTCGATTTCAAGAAAGACTCGCTTCTACAAACAAAGTTGTTCTTCGAAAAGGTAAAACAAGACCATTTGGCATATGGTTCCGGCCGACCTGGGATACCATAATTTTGAGAGAGGAGGATATTGACCAGAACGCAATTGAAGTCGTGGGTGCATTCAAAGACGGAGAATCAAATGCCCACAATGTGAGATCGTTTGTCCTCGCTGAACAAATCATTCGCAACCACCCGAGAGTTTGGGATACGTTGTCGTAGGCATATTCCCAAGAGGCCATTAGACCTGCGCTGACTATGACTGCATTAGTGGCCGGAGACGACCTCGAAGAATAACGTCTGAATTTGACACAGCGGATGAGGACCATGAATTGCTCGACGACAACCACGAAAGCAATGCAGACATTGCGAAGCCACTACTCACGGGGCTGGATGAGTTGATTGTGCTCGTCAACAGAGGCTTTTACCATCATTACATGGATGGAAAACGCATCGACCATACTCATGAAGAGGTCAATGACTTGAAGCAGAAAATGCATGATAGAATTCTTCTTAGGATGAAGCATCGCTCTGCGCTTACGGAGATTCCAAAAATCAGCAATGAGAGAGAAGATCGTATGTATGGTTGGACTAGGTGGGAAGAACCACTCGGACCTCCTGGGAGAAATTCTCGTGATGAAAAGAGGGCTCAATTCAGCGCGAAATTCTTGTAGACGCTCAACATGAGACTCGGTATTTACTTTGGAAGGCTGGCGATGCCGACAAAAGTTTCACAATATCTTTTCTTTTGGATAGCATTAGGATTAGACAGGTGAAGTGGGCGCTAGTGGGCGGATATCGAATAAGGGGATTTTCACCATTTAGATCTAGCTTCAGAACTATCTTCCGTGGATGTCGGCAAGTAGTTCGACAGCTAATGTATCACCTCTTGCCTCGAGGGTTCACTTTTCCAACGCGTTTTCAGATGGTCATAATATCTCGTTACTGTATGTCTACCTATATATCTAAGTCCTGTTTAACCTTTTCTTACCAAAAATATATACAAGAAACCCAACGTCCTACCCAATTTAGGTAGGCAAGTGGAACCACAGTTACAGCCCATGACGAGCTTTAATCATAACTGCCGCCTATCAAAAAGAATTAGCACAAGCCCCCAAAACAAACTCCAAGGAGAGAACAACATACCTTCTCAGCAGCCGCATAGATAACAGCCGAAGGCGCCGCCCCAGCAGGCATAGGAAAAATACTATTATCCATAACACTCAACCCGCTCGTCCCATAGACCCTTAACTCCGCATCCACAACCCCGCCATACTCTACCTTCATCATGGATGCCGTACAACACATATGCGCATTCGACGGCTCAATCGCACCCGCTAACGCGGTTTTCAACCCCTCAGTATCTGCATCATTAATCCCAGCACCAGGACCGGTCTCCATGGGTCCGAGAGTCGCCATGGAGGGTTGCGCCATCAGTTCTCGGTTCTTGAGGAAGAGGGAGAGGTGGAAGAGCAGATCTGTGTCGTCGCTGTTCGTGCAGAAGTCGACAATCGGCGCGTCGAGCGGCGAGAGAGAGGTGATGGCTATGCTGCCCCGTGAGAAGGGCTTCAGCATGTAGATGGAGGTTGAGGGCCCGGTGTTCCAGAATATGTTACCCATGGGGGAGTCTTTGGATGAGAGTAGCGAGTAGAGTTCCTCGCGTTGCGCGAGGTAGCCGGCGAGGACTGTGGGGTGTGTTCCTGGGGCGTAGATTAAGGATGGGTCTTGGGCTTTGGCGTGGGCGAGGAGGCTGCTGTGGTTGCGTGTTAGGTCCTGTAGGGAGAGGGCTACGGCTTGGTTTCCGGTTCCTCGTACGATGGTGTAGGCTCCTGTTTGACTGGTGTTGTAGAGGGCGAGCTGTTCGGTGGAGTAGGTTGTGTTGGTGTCTAGGGAGCCGCCGTTGGGGAAGAGGTTGTTGGTGACTATAAGGTAAGGCATTAGTAAGATCTTATTGAAAAGCGTCAAGAAATACTGTCAAAGTGTGGGAGTTGGATACTCACAGTTATACGTAGCAGTAAGCGCAGATTGATCCTGGAAATTCTGTCCCACGCCTGGGAGATCCACAACAACCTCAATCCCCAAGCTCTCAAGCAGAGCTCTCGGTCCCACACCCGACAGTTGGAGTACTTGAGGTGTGTGAACGGCTCCGGAGGAAATAATCACTTCCTTTTTAGCGAAGACCGTGGTTTTCTTGCCGGATGTGGCATTGAGGAATTCGACTCCGGTGGCGAGTGTGCCGTTGAATAATACTTTACCGACAACGGTGTTGGGGAGGAGATGGTAGTTGGGTCTTGTAGCGATCACACGGTCGTAGTGTTCCACACGGGCGTATGATCGAGTGCCTGTAAGGGGATTGAGTGCGCGGAGGAGGTAGAATAATCCTGTTGCGATGCCGTTGTTTGGGTCTTTGGTTTGTTTTAAGCCGATGTTGAGACCGGCGTCCCAGAAGTTTTCTAGTCATTCTTTAGCGAGGAGGTAATTTGATAGGTAGGTCTTTACTTACCACCTGAGGGATAGTCGTAAGGAGCGTAGCTGGCATGGATCGGTCCATTTGATCCATGAAGTCCATCTTCCCAGGAGATGTTGCGCGCTGCTGCGAAAGTTGGGTCTGGAGTAGTAAAGTTCTCGCTCTATTTTTTTGTACGTAAGAATATTTTCAATCAAGTACAAAAGAGTCATTTGGCTAACCTTTTTATAATACGGCAGAAGATCAGAGAAAGACCACCCCGTAGCCCCCAAGTTCACCCAAGAAGCTTGATCAATCTCAGACGGCCGATGGAAGAACATTGCATTTACAGCAGACCCACCACCCACTACCTTACCCATCAGAACCATAAAGACGCGATTCAGCAGCCCTGGTTGGGGAGGAGTAAAGACTCCTTGCCATAGGTAGGGAAACGGGTTATATGACCCGGGTATCAGAACAGTGTCATCTCTGGCATCCAATGGACCAGCTTCTATTACAAGCACCGAAACTACTTTTCTTTTAGTAACGGAGAGTTAGTTTTTCAATGGAGTTGACGAACCTGAGGGATCTTCTGTCAATCGATCTGCCACTGTGAGACCTGCTAATCCTCCCCCGGAAATTATAAAATCATATGTCCTGTTCGCTGCAGCCTTCTCCTCGATAATCTGTGTACGTCTCCCAATTGATCGCGCATCAATCCGCGCAACCGCACACAAAACAACCGCGAGCGTAGAAAGCAACATGACAAAAGACAACGAAAGAATGGGTCGTAGAAACTTACGGCGTACTGCGAAAAGATTCTCCCAAGCCGAGGGAGTACGGCATATTTACCCTCCCCGAATCCATCCCCAGAATTCGGTTGACCAGGTTGTCAAAGTCAGCGCTAGCCTCTTATCCGTTGGTCCATCTGCGGCAGCTATGGGCATCTACAGATCCCAGCTACTTTTCCTGGTCCAGTGGAGAAATCAAACCGTGGTGTCGTCCACCTTGGGAAGAGCTTGATTTGACTTGAGGTGACAATGCTGCAATACGGTGCGTGGATGTCCACCAAATCTACTGGGCCGTACCCAGTCGTCCACACGTGCCATGCCCCTCGCCCCGCCTGCTCCTTGCAAAGGGTTATACATCTATGGGTCCCGGAAGCTTGGTGCCATGTCTCTGGCGGTACAGTAAGGTTTCTTTTTGCCTTTTGGGAATTGGTGTATAAATTACCAGACCAGACTCAGACATCTTGAACATTTTTTCTTGAACATATCGTACCGCCCCTTTCAGAAAGCGAATTTTCCCGCCTAAACTGTACTATTCAGGCTACTACAATACAAGACACCCAAAGTGAACCACACCAAAACTAATTCTCGACCACTTCGACACTTCCACCACAACACCACTACAACAACAACACTTAATAGTTATTTAAATAGAGGAAAAGATACGCCTTAATTAGCTGAACAAAACGCAGCTACTAGCTTTATTTATATTAAATTATATAAAATATGGGGCTCACATATACTAAAAGTCTTGGCAGTCCTAATTTTTTTCGAGGAATTTTTTGACCCCCTTGTAATAACACTTAGCTAAGGCTTATATAAAAATTATAGTAAGCGCAATCTTATTCTTTTAGTCTAATTAGTCTATTCCGCTATTTTAAGTATAGTTTATATCGCTAATCTAAAGGGTTTTCTAACTAAGGTCGAAATGTCGGTTTTGGTGTGGTTCACTTTGGGTGTCTTGTATTGTAGCCATAGGTCCTGACGAGCACTAAATGTATTCCTGTACTCAAGTACGTCCGTACAAGTACAGGCCGTACACTCCCAGCTGACGTCCTCCGATCCAAGCCTAGATCAGTGTACAATAGCGAAGACCCCACGCCGAATACCAAAGCAGATTCCTCGCACCGGGAAAACGGCAATGGAGTTTTTTTTACAGTACTCGAGTACCAAGGTGCGAAGGTTCGGAGCTACAGTACAGTAATCCCCTCCAATCACCGGGCCGTTCCTGGCTGTTGCTGCGCATGCTCGCGTGGGGCTCCAATGATCTCCAGGAACCTTACGTATCCGTTATCGAACCAGACCCAGATCAGTGCTCGCTCCCGGAATGAGTGGGGATGATTTCTTGGTGGGGAGATGCCGCGGTCGATAAGATCCATGGACTGTAAAGAGGGTGGACAATTGTCACCAGGTTATCATATGGGAGAAAAGTCTATATCGCCCAGATCCGAGTCTCTGATTCGTTGGTTTAGCTAAGAATTAGGGCCAAGCCGTAATATAGTCAAGGACTGTGTCCAGCTTTAATTGTCCACCTTCTTTACCGCGGTGTTGTGTGCGAAACGATGGTGGACTTGGGTTTAATGTCTTGTACGAAGTACGATCTCTTGATGAATACTTGTTCCTGTACCAAGAAGGTATTATCGCAATATTTTGTTTCAATAGAACTGAGTTATGGATTTGAAAGCTCCGCGACGAGAGAAAAGAGCAAGGAAAAAAGTCCCACGAATACTGTAGGTCCAGACAAATCTTCAGCACCAACGCTATATATACAGTCATCGATCACGATACGAACTTGACCGATCACGAGTACATAGCATGTTATCCGCTATCGACTTCTGTACCGTAAAAGACTCTGCTGAGCGTCTCCGTATTCGTAAAAACGTGGTAGTTTAAAGCCACAACCCTTCTAGACCGAGATTCGGGAAGCCACAAAAAAAAGAGACGCGCACTTGAAGTGAATATACACATGGCTACAATGGGTCAACTGAAGGCTTAATTGTTGGGAAAGGTAGCTTGGTTGGCCAACCGATTTTGTCTTACGGAGACAAGGTTGTTAAAGTGGATATCTTTACTCCACTTTGAGTGCACGTTTCCTTTTCTGTGGCTTTCCAGTCTGAAGGAGATGCGAGTGCGATGGAGTAAATTGAGACGCGCGTGTAATTTGCGGGCTGAGATGAATTTGGTGGAATATTATTTTGTTATTATTAACTATGATTAGTTAATAATAACAAAACAAATCTTGCCTCAAGGAACATTCGGTGTTTTATTTCAAAGGTAGCATACCACTCCGTGAGAATAAAATAAAATTACAACGTGAATCGAATAAATACTCTATAGCCCTATGAGTTGGGCATAGAGTGACCATGTTTCTCGGGGTACTCCAAGGTAGGTAGATGAACCATTGTTCGAGGCTCGAGCTATCTATCATTAGAAAATTTCAAACACAATAAACACGAAATTCGAGAAACAAAAGAAAAACACAATGTATCAAATGCAAGGTAAATCATCAGGTCATACTTTGTCTCAGGCGAAAAACTGTAACTTTCCTAGGATAGCTAAGGTTGGCAACAGGGTAAGACACCCCGAAGAAGTTGCAACCATTTCGCCTGAGATGAAGTACTGTATGTAGGCAGAAAAAAAAGGGGGTTTATGGAAGTAAGTTCCCCTCGACGTAATGAATTCCCAAATCCACTGTCCGTACCGTCGACCTGTAATTCTCGGTACTCGGAAGGACTGCTTCGTTAGGAAGTACCGAGTGGAACTTCCACCAGACCGGATATTGGTCTTGTATTTTGAGTTTGGTCTTCCTGGAGTAGATGGCCGAAGATACCGAATCCCGACACTGTATTGTACTGCTGAATTTCGCGTGAAGTCGTGAACTTGCACGCATGTGAAGGGACTCGATGGTAGAAAGTAGAGAAGATGAACAATCCCTCTTCTTGAAAATTTAGGCACGCCCTTCTGCTCCGGTGTGCTAGGAAGTAAAACAAGCTTAACCAAGGCATCTTGAGGAAGTCCCAGCTCTTGGCGGCAGCTTGGAAGTTGAAAATTTTGAGGGTCGGGGCTTAACACGTGATAGCAATGAAATGTGCGGACTTTTTCTCGTTAAGCCCGTTCGTTTCACCACCCCGCCAAAAAGAATCTAGAAAGAAACAAATATTGTATAGAAAAAAGAGCAAAAATAAAATTCTAATTGGAGAATGCAAGAATCGAACCTAGAGTATTGTTAGTGGCGAGCCTTGAAATTAGATTGGAATATGTATACACTTACTCGCGACCTCTCCCAGTCGTATGGTCTCGTATAGATCATGCTAAGGGAACATTATACCACTAAACCAATTCCCCATTTGTATCTGATTAAGCTGATTGGATGGGAAAGGGGGAGTTATTTAATTACTTACATGTCATTTGGCTTGGGAGTGGGGTAATTATGGCTAGTCGAGAAGTAAAATTACCCGAACGATGTCCCGACTTTCCGAAGTGGGGATGTAAAGTGAACTTTACTAAGGAAAATATATTGTATTTAGGTAATAATAACCTAGGACCGGAACTTAGGAGTAAGGTCTTTCAGATTGGAGGTCTAATATAGGGAGCAAAGATCTCTCTACGTATGTGTAACGAATACTCAAACTGGCTAACTAAACTTGGCTGGGTGTTCGCTGGTTGGTATGCTATGATAAGAAGAAGACTATTGGGTTGTTCACTTGGAAGTGAACTCGTTACTTGTATCAAAGATGTTAAACTAATATGATAAGATTGATAACTAAGTTGAGCACGAAGCTCCTATCTAATGGCAGACGTGCCAGTCTTATATAGAACCTTCGTTCCCTGATTGATCGCTCTAGTCGCTCGCCCTGATCGCTTCAGTCGACAGGCGACTCAGGCGACTAGAAGAACCTCCGTTCTCTGATTGATCGCTCTAGTCGCTCGCCCTGATCGCTTCAGTCGACAGGCGACTCAGGCGACTAGAAGAACCTCCGTTCTCTGATTGATCGCTCTGCTCGCTCTGATCGCTTCAGTCGACAGGCGACTCAGGCGACTAGATCACGTGGTTTTCTAACCAGAAGAAATCCCTGGATCGCTTAGCTAGTCTAATTGATCCCTTTCTTGCTATAAGTCCATGGATGTGCTTAACCTGTCAGGACGCCGCCTGGTCTTCCTTTGTCACATGCATTACTACACGTGATTCGTGACAGTATGAAGATTCGTGCTTGAAAACCCTAGCAAGTTACTTAGCTAGCTAGCCGAGCTAACATGTAATCATATACGACCAGTACCGTTACCTAGTTAGAGACCTCGTTATTACACTATATACCTAACTTATAGAAATATTATTCTAAAGACCTCGTAAAAGTAAGATAAATATATAAATTAGTACTTATATATATTAAAATAATTATTAGATTTCACTTTTTATTAGCCTACGTATACTAAGATAAGTAAGTTACTTGTACTAGACGTTGAGTATAATGAATTCGAAGAGTATATATAGCGTAATTACCAGGTCTGTTACTAGTGTAAACTTATACGCTATTAGGTAATTCTATGTTTTAAAGATGAAATATATCCAACGAAACTAAAGTGAAGATATTCCTAGTACTGTTTAAATACACAGAAAGTTATAACAAAGAGACTTTATGTCTTTCCCTCTTCTCTACAATAAGTTTTAAACATGTCAAGTTAGATAAACACAATCTAAAATGTGTTATAAACCAGTTATATAGACAAATCTTAAGGTTTAGTGGCTAAATAAGATCTACTAACCCTTGATATAACCTATGCGAAGCTCGAAATTTGTTACAACCGCGTAAACAAACTACTTTCTGTGGTGTTAGGAAGATCGTCCGAGTCCTATCATGAGAACGCACGTAGCTTAACTGTGTTCTAGATAAACCCCCTTCCGAAAGATAATTCCAAACATCTATCGATACATGCTGCCAAAAGCATGATAGGAAAAACGAAGACAAATAAGAGCACCAGTATGCTTATCTGTAGAGCCACCCACAGAGCTTCGCTGCCTTGCTTCGCTGCATGACGGTTATCTGAGTCTGAATATACTGGGGTATACGGATGTGCTGGGGCATTCGGGTATGATGGAGAATCTGAGTATCAGCGTTCGGCAACTGGAATTCCTTTCCATTCTAGACTCTCTATCTAGAATATTCTATTCTATTTAGAACATCCTCTAGAATATTCTATATTCCAGAGTAGAATAATAGAATTCTATAATGGAACTAATTATATAATCTATAAGATAGTCTTTACGCTCTCGTCTAACTATTAGGTAGCTTAGTATAAATAGAATATACGTAATAGGGATATTATACCTAGCTATTCGGCCTATTTACCTCTATCCAGGATATAGAATACTAGTATGTAATTTACTCTACTTTTTATTTACTTAACTATCTTGTAATATACTATATTATTATTTTACTTAGTCATAAGCTAAGGCTTAGTTAGCCCCTATAGTTCTTTAAATGGAATTAAGAAGTCTTATTAGCTAAAAAGTAGTATATAGAGTAGTATATATAGTAGTATATATAGTAGTATATATAGTAGTATATATATCCCCTAGAATTCTATAATTCTAGAGGCCTCTCCTCTAGAATATTCTATTCTATTTTAAAAAACCTCTGGAAGGTTCTTTTTGGAATAGAATTCCATAATTTTATAGAATCGTATTCTAGATGCCGATCGCTGCTAAGTATACTGGGGGATCTGGGTATTCTGGTGTATCCGAGTCCGAGTATGCTGATGGAGGTGGTTCATCGAAACTAGGATCGAAATCTACGTCATCGGGGGTACCTGAGTACGGGTTTCTTTGGATGTCTTGCTCTGGATGGTTTGTACTATTGGAGATGGAGAAGCGATGGGACATTTAGTAATCTTGAACCGTTGAAGTCTTGGCTAGTGTCAAAGAATATTTTTTGAGGATATGTGTATCGAGGAAGATTCGTAGCCATTCTCGAGAGGAAAGTAAGGAAACCTGTCGCATTATTGAATGGGTTGGGTTTGTGTAGTGCATTGACTACAACCAGTCATCCAAATAAATAATGATAATACTGTCTTGGAAAGCATATTAATAATTGGTGTGAGTTTATGCCTGATATGAGCAATTAGGATTCATCAAGTTTCTCAAAGCTGAGCATTCACAAGGACCCATATTGAGCATCGGTTTACATTGAAAGGGAAGAATGACGAGGGAGCATCGCCTGTAACAAACAAATTTGAAACTTGAAGCAGAAACAAGTTTGGAGAATATCTAAAGCTTAAAGTCACGATCATGGAGCCCCAGTAGCGAAACAAAGCCTCTTCGTAACGACTGAGTCATTCTGGTTATACTAACACCTGGCTCTATATCACACAAATACCCCAATATCTAAGAAAAATCGGAAGAAGAAATTGGCCATCAGGATAAGAACCAGATACGTCACAATATTTGAGATGTAGTGTGCTGGATCAGATCTCGTTGTGACTATTATCTTGTGACGGAAATCACGCGTACCTGTCGAATTGACCTTTGTGGAAGCAGTTGGTGATGTTTTCGCTCCCCGTGAAGCTAACGTAGCCGATATGAGAAGAAAGGAGATGAGGAAAAGAGGAGTGATTGAAACCCTCATCTTGATGCTTGGAGTATAAGCGCTGGACTATTAGGTAGCGTAATTCTCTAGCTTGTTGGTTCTTCTGCTCGAAGGTGTGTTAACTGGGAAAGGAGACGGTAGTAAAATGAAAGGAATAAAAGTGTTCTATTATTTTATAGGAAAGACCTTGAGCAGACCGGAAAGATTCATTAGTCATCCAAAGTCAATTGACAATCACGAGGAGATGACACTTCTGTGTGTTTGAAGATCAATTACAATAATTTGGTCTCGGGCTTGGTCAAACGGATACCATTCACTCTTGTTTATCACCGTGAGATCCCGAGTGATTCAAATGGGATATCGTACCATTCACCTAATATGCTTAGCAAACTGCTGCAACAATAACACAAATTTCTGAACTTACGACTTCTTCCTATGACAGCAACAGAGAGCAAGAATCGATAGCACCACCAAACCAGCAACACCTCCAATAACAGCAATCTTCACGGTCTTCAATTGTGTCTCTCTCGGAAGTATGACACCGCGGGGAACCTTCTCAGAAGGACATGGTTGGTCGTGATAGTGATTTGGCTCTTCTGAGAGGACATCCCTGATATCTTGAAGAGTTGTTGGTGCGGATAGAACGAGACTGGAAAGCACCAGAATAGTGATCAAAGAGAGAAGGCGTGTGAGTCTCATTTTCGGACGGTCGTAAGGTGGAGATTTTGTTATGTTTTCGTGTATGTTGAGCTTGTTTCCTATACTCAAGGACTTGAATATGAGATCAGGCTTGGGAGGCTTCAATATTTGGTAAACTGGCTGCGAACTTGGACCAAGTAACGTGCACTGGACACTGGAGGCTGGAGACTCTATTGTTTGCACGAGGCGTGTCTGAATAGCTACAAAAGGAGAACAGGATAGCTTTAAACCCAAATGCTTGCTATTTTGCAATTATCGGAGGCTCTGATTCACAGCTGCAGGAAGTTTATCCAGCAAATAATCTGTCTAAATAACACCAAATTTGGATACGACGTTAGTGAATGAAGAATACAACCTAAGGTGATTTTATTAGCATATGGTAATTCGGCGCCTCCCACCAGGAAGTTCGACCTTGAATCAGACAATATAGCCTGCATGATGGCTGGAAAATCACTCTTTTTGGTATTCTGCAGTAGCATCCTATCATTTGAATACTTTCTAAAAATATTGTCTCAAAACCAGAAGCTCCAATAATGTTAAGGAATATATAGTCGCTACTGTGATCTGGCCATTACGAAATAGCACACGATATTTTTCAATGGGACCTAGGGATTGAATCATGTCTAAAACCTAGCATCCTTTTTGGATTGTACGTTCATTTGTTGCGGAAGAAACCGATTATTACAGTATTACATCAAGAAACCTAGTCATCACTGTATACACGCCATAAAGAACTATTATACTAGATGTCTAGCACAAGTGACTCAATTCTCTCAGTATCCGTGGATTTAAAAAACCAGAATTGTTATTTTCAACCTTTTATTTAACTGTCCAAGTTGTGTGAGGGCTTTCAGGATAATATTGTTGTAGGCTAGGTGTATATAGAGTAATGACCACGTCTCTTATACATCAAATCATCAATCAATTTTTCGAGGATTCGATCCATACTTACTTGCTGCTGCTAGAGTAGCCATATAGGCTTATACCAAATATTGGTAGTCTCTTTTAACCACTCGAAGACATCTCAAAAAGCTGATACTATATCTACTAATCCCAAGTGCTTAGCGAGGCGGAGGCCGCCAATCAAGTCTCTGCTGAAGCCACTTAACTTTAACGGACAATATTTCATTATCTAATTGTGTATCCTTCAACGTGTAGACTTTGCTGTCAGAGAAAGACAAAAACAGCATACGTCATTCTCTTTCAAACAAAAGACTGAATGAGGATAATGTCTCTCGATCACTTTCTGGATGAAATCTCTTTTTGTTTCAAGTACCCAGAATTTATGGACGGTTGTGAAATTCAACATGGACATAGAAGAGTCAACACGTGGAAAGCAGTGGAATAGGGTTGTTAAATTAGATATAATTTAAATAAATTATCTATAATTATTGAATTAGGCGATTATCTGAAGATAAATTATTTATAAATTATCTGCATCACGTGATGTATATAGGGCGGAAAATCTCTCTAAAGTCCCTAAGGGGAAACCCGTTCAAACTTAAAAGAGCGCTTATATAAATAAAAGAAGAAGTCAAAGTAACAATAAGGTAAAACACGAAGATTAGCTGCGTAGTTGATTCTTGGAATTAAGTAATTTTTTACATGTAATTTCAGTAGCCTTGTTAGTGATTTTAGCCTACTTCTATACCCTTATTTACCCCTTATTCACCTCCTAAATACTCCATATTCATTGCCAAAATCTAATATTAGAACCTAAATCTTTAATTATCATAAATTAGACAAAAATAAATTATAATTAGATTATCTAAAATTAGATCCCACAACCCTACAGTGGAAATTGCTCTCAACTTGATTAGATACCCCTCCCATCTGTCACAAAGGATGAAGTCACATGTCATTATAGCCACGTGACATGAAGCGCGAGGTACCCCTTAGCATAATAGAGTTTTCGCTTATTTGACCTTTGTTCCTTAGAACGCGTTCGCCTCAACCCCCTACCATTCTGTACGACATTGTATTTGGATTTATTTTAAAGTTTCGTTCATTCAGTCGTATAATCATTCAAGAACACTTGGGTGAATAACGTGGAAATTTCACAATACCAAGTATTAGAGTAGGAGAAGGAGTTATTACTAAGAAAAATAGAGCTAACCAAATGATTAAATCAACTTGGACAAAACCTAAGAGCCGCAGCATCAGTGCTTTTCCAATTTGCATCCTTCACCGGCTCAGGAGTAACAATAGCAAACCCAGTATCCAATGTCACAAGCGTAGAGATTAATTGAACCCAAATATTCGGATCACCATTATACTTAATCCCCTCAACATTCTTTTTCGCGCCACTCACCAATTCAATGAATTCGGCTCGTGTGGGCCAGATTGTCAGATTGGTGGTTCCCTCCAATGGAGCTCTTTCCGCCAAATAATCGATGGCATGACCTGTAAGTGCACCGTGACTCAAATTCATATGCCACCCACTCTGAACTTCCTTAATCTCATCAGTAATCATGACATCAATCGTAAAATTATAATCCCAAGCCTTGGCTCCCTCAACTCTAATGGCCATCGTGTCAGTCAGTTGATCATCGTTCAAAGCTTGAAGCGCCTCGACCGACATGGCAAGGGTTGAAGGAGTGATCTTAGAGGTGAGTTCTGTGGCGCCGACCAAGTAGATATTTCGCCACGTTGCGTTCTCAGCTCCGTAACCAAGCTTCTGGTAGGTGGTTGCAAGTTCTTGTCGTGCTGTTTGGTTTGTTTGATCCGCGAAAACGGCGTGGGAGAGTAGGGTGGCTGAAAATCGAAGATCACCATTTTCACGGTATTCTACTCCTTTTTGAATGAATATATCGAGAGCATCCGTGCCAGTACCCCCGATGCATTGCACATATCTTTTTACCGCGGGTTGAGGAGGATGTTCCCAAAGGTGAGCGGGGTTACCATCGAGCCATGCCTGTAGAATTCCATGTTAGCTTGATGGTGATTAAGACGAGGCAGCATTACTCATGAGAGAGGTCGGACTAACCATGTAGCGATTGTAGACCGCCTTGACGTTGTGGCTGGTACTTCCATAGTAGCCACGCGAGTTCCATAGTTTATCCAAAGAAGGCGGTAGCACAAAGTCTTCCGCCACCTCCAAGCAAGTCTGTCCAGCATTAAGAAATCGAAGCGTTTCGTTATAAAGGTAGGCGTAAAGATCCCGTTGCTCGGACATAAATTGTATAATCTTCTCATAACCAAAGGTGGGCCAATGATGACTTGCAAATACAATATCCGTCTCATTACCAAACAGCACAAGTGCTTCATCGAGATACCTGGACCACATCCTAGCATCTCGTACCAAGGCCCCATGCGGAGTTTGGATATTGTGCATAGTATGAGTGAGATTCTCAGCCATGCAGAGGGCTCGGTACTGCGGGAAATGAAAGTTCATTCTGAGGTAAATTAGCGTGTGTCATATATATCTTTATCTAGAATATAACGGTGACTCTAGAGCAGAGAGTAAGGTGAAACCTAATACAGACTACTTCCAAATGGAGTGTTTAATGACAGGAATGGAGCACTTACTCAGCAGGTGCTTCCGTGCCGGGGGTTACTTGAAAGATAATGTCAAGTCCATCAATGTTATGTTTTATTCCTGTTTTTTTAATGTTTTTTGTGGGTTGAACAAGACCACTCTTACCGCTGGAGATATTCATTCCAAGACCACAACCAACTTGCCCAGTTGGGGTGTTGTCAAGTGAGGTACCGTACACTGCAGAAAGTTTCAGTATTATTATTGCCATTTCTAGATGGATGGAACAATGAGGATGGAGGATAGAGAGAATAAAAAAGCCATTCGAGAAGGAAATAATGACTTAAATCTTCCAAACAACCCAAAATAGGATATTAGACTCGGAGTACACCTACTGTAGACGGAACGACGGCCCATTGCATTTCCAGCGTAGATGTTCTCGCTTACTGCATGCTCAAGAAATCCATCGGGGGCGAAAATTGGGAGGGTTGGCTCCTTTGGTGCTGCTTCGACAATGGCGAGTGCACCACCGAAGTGATCGCCATGGCAGTGAGTGTAAATCAATGCTTTGACTACTTTGTCTGGTCGTTCTTCATTGTAGAGCTTCCAACCCTGTTTAGCAGTCTCATAACAGGTAAGGCAGTCGATCACGATGACACCGTTATTGGGAGTCTCCACAAATGTGATATTGGCAAGGTCAAGTCCACGGACTTGATAGATGTTATCAGCTATGTTAAAAAGTCCTTGAATGCGGCAAAGTCGGGATTGACGTCAAAGAGAGGGGTTGACAGTTTCGGGGGCATCTTCTCCATGGATCCAATTGTAGGCTTCGTTGTCCCAGATCACTTTGGAATTGTCTTCCGCCGAATAGATTATATCAGGTCTTAGGAGACTGACTTGTCCAGCATGGGCATCCTGGAAATCGGTATTTTCTTCCATTTGAGTCGCTAAGATGAAATTTGAAAGTGATATCAAGGTCGTAAAGTTGGTTGTTTTTTTGTGGTATCGATTTTGGGCGAAGGTCAGCTTTATAACTTTGAGAAGCCAAAATTTGTATCAGTGATCAGAACTGGGACCAATTGGTCGCGGGACATTTCCGGGATGTGTGGTGTATGATTGTTCGGAATTTTAGATGTAAGACGAAGAATATGGAGATGAAATGAGGCATTAATTCCCCAATTTCGCTAAATTAAAATTCTCGTCCAAAAATTACCTATCTAACAGCCTCGAATTGGAAAAAATGGATATCAACAAAAGCGGTAGTCGTTCTGGACCCTCACACCCTGTACCACGTCACAAGCGCCCCTGCAGATGTCCCACCACCCCTCCATGACAACAAGGTCAAGGCAGCCATACCACCAACCCCCGGAATATATATTACCCCACCCCAACCGTGCCGCAAACCTCCAGGCCATCTTACTTCGAGTAACACCATCCATTTAAATCCTCCGTGAAAGCGATCCAAGGTATCCATCACCCCTCGATCTGATCCATCTCCAAACCTCATATCATATCACATCACCACTCACCACCCTCTCACAAAAAAAAGCGTTGAAGAAAAAAAAAACAATGTGATGTGATACACACCCAGGAACCCCACCACCCATCATCATGGCACCCCCCAAGTGCGTCCTCCTCATGATCGGGAAAGCCTCACCCAACTGCCGTCTTGGAAACCGGGGACTAGATCACGTCGTCTACAACCCTGCTTCGGAGGAAGAAAATGAAGGGTATGAGTTCCGATGTGAGAAACATGTTGGGAGCGATGAGGCATGTGAGAAGGAGTGGGTGGAGGAAGATTTCCGGAAGGCGGGAGGGTTTATCAAGAGGGCGGGGGAGTGGAAGAGGGGTGATAGGACGCCTTGTCCGGCTTGTGTTGGGTTGACGAGGCGAATTGAGGTTGGTGATATTTTTACTGCGTTTGGTGAGGTTTGATGTGGGGAGTTGATGGATGTGTGAGTGAGTGAGACGAAAGGATTTCTTTGAGAAAGAAAGGAATGAGTGCGATGAGGAAAGTAAGGGGGAAGAATCTCGGTTGGGAAGCCGCTAACTTCAATAATTAGGACCCTGAAGAAGGCTTTGTGGAAGTTCTACTTTCTCCCGAGGATATAGAGAAAGTGGTCGAGAGGCAAATGCAAACGACACAAGAGAAAGATGGTATGACATCAAGTATCGTGACGCCTTCAGGGAGAAAGCGGAAAAGTCATAAAGCAGAGAGAGTCCCAGAGCCAGAGTTCAAGTTACATACTTTGGAGGGTGATCAACGAGAAGAAGATACGGAGTGGCATAGGGAGCAACGCGCCGAGAGACGGAGAGAAGAAGAGAGGGTTGAGGTTGAGAGGAGAGAACTGGAGTCTGCGGAGAGGAAGAAAGCTAGTAGGAAGAGGCAGAGTAGGAGACGGGAAGAGGGGAGGGATGCGAGGGATGTGAAGGATGGGGAAATGAGGAGGGTGCGGAGATCTAGGGTGGATGCGGAGGGCAATAGGGAAGCTAGAAGAGACAGACCTCGTGATCGTGAGCGAGACCCGGAGAAGGTTAGGGATAGAGAAAGGGACAAAAATAGGGAAGGTGGCGATAGGCCGAAGAGGAGGAGGAAGAGAAGGAGGAGAGAACCTACTCCGCCACCAGAGCCGGGATGCTGTGTTATTATGTGATATATTTCGTGGGGAAATGGCGTTGGCTGGCTGTATGCTGTATTTGTTGTACAACGAGCTTTTGGGTCTGAATACTGGAGAGTTGGTAGGATATTTATTGTATTGGGAGGCATATGATCTATGAGCGTTATGATATCAAGGACACTTTCGAATTAATGAAAACAAAGCCATGTTTTTGAAGCAGAACTAAATTTATATGGTCTGATACGAAAGCTAGAATTCTGGCACCTTTTATAGTCGCTAGTAATTAAGGATATCATTTCGTCGTTCTTAGCCCTACGTACAAAGAGATCTCCTGGGATTAATATCTATCTGCAAGTTCCAGCCCACTGCAAGTCTCAAATATTTCCACGGTCGACTCCATCAAAGGTTAGCTCTGGCTCCCAACGTAAGTCTCCTCTGCTCTCTTCTCTTTAATTCTGCCCGGTCTTCTTCACTCATCCCTTCGAGCCCCTCCTGATATAATCTTTCACCAATCGTATCGGTTAATCTCAAAACCCTCGTACTTACAGTCGCTCCATCGCGTCGATTCTTACCTTCTCTCCTACTCAAAGCAATCTTCTCTGTGAAATCCCACAATCGACCTTCGGGTACAATGCCGCCGATGGAGTCACGGTGAGTGGCCCATTCAGGAGAGAGCTTGGCGCGAGGTTGTACCTTAGCATTACGTGATTTGACGACGCGGATAATTCCTTCTTCCTCAAACCGCGTCCAGGCATTTTTGAGGGTTTCCTTGTTGACCGCTTCAAAGTAGGAGAGATCTCCTTGATGATAGAGGGTCTTGCCGAGCTAAAGAGGAATTAGTGTTTGGGGTTTTAAAGCAAAGAAAGAAGAGATGCTTACAAGCTGTGCGCTATCCTGGCACTTTTTAACCTCTAACCAGCCATCTCCTTGATGACCTGCAGGAGCTGTGAACCCCATCAATGCAACGGCGCCGAGCCAGAATGCTTCAATAAAAGGCCAGATCAAGAAGCAGTAAAAATCGAAGTTTTCGCGACCAGCAGCTCGTTCAACATCCGACAGATCTATCGCCGTAATCTGACCATTTTCATCTCGAACAAGATCGATGATCTTGTCCTTCTCAAATGCTTTAAGAGTGTTGTCCAAATTGATATCAAGACCTTCCGTTGGGTAGATAAACTCTCCCCTGAAAAGCTGTGATAAGAAAAGAACCTGGGCTCTAAGTTCTGCGAACGATATTCTCTGGTTGTCTCGACCACCTCCGCGCTTGACCCGGCTGTACATGCTGGCGCTCACTAACGCTTCCGTGATGAATAGATGTATGGTCATATTTCGATAAAATGAAAGTTGGAATCTGTCGACAGCGAAGTATGTAGGTTCTGGTAAGCCTTCCACGGTGCCCACAAGGTCTTTGCCTAGAACTTCCAAGCCTCTCTCAATCACAACCGAAGTCGAGGCCCCTCCAAAATGAGCAACTCGTCCTCCCTTGGCTCTCACACGCTCACAAAGCCACTCTACTCTTCGCACCAATTCCGTCTTTCCAACACCTCTTCCTCTAAGTGTTAAAAGGACAGTACCAATCAACGCAGTAGGCATTACTACCGATACAGCATTGATGTCTGAAAGAACCTTGTAACCCATAGTACGAAGGAGTTTTTGCCTCGTAGCTTGATCATGAATATTCTTCATATCAAGGTCCTTTGGGATCCCGGTCGTTCTATTTTGCTGCTCCTGGATGAACTGCTTCAAACTCCACGGCTCGTGGAATCTAACATCGACTCTCCCAAGTTTCAAGGAGAGTACCGATGATGCGGATAGAAAATCCGCCAGGTTTTCTTTCTTCTTCGGCATGCCGAGTAACTCGGTAACGTAGCCTTCTGTTTCTATTACCTTATCATACTGCGTACTGACGGGACAAATAATGGTATCTTCCACACGACCGGACATGATACTGTCTAAAATGAAACTTAAGATTCCAAATTTAGGTGGCAGTAGTTTCCCTGTCCTTGAACGTCCCCCTTCAATAAAGCACTCGAAGTTGTAACCGCCTTGTAACAAAGTGTCTATGTACGACTGGACAAGAGTTTGGTAAAGAACATCATCGCCAAAACTTCGCCGAATCCACATGGCACCTTATGAAATCAGTGATATCCAGACACGATTATTTATATATTTAAGAAAAGAAAGTAACATACCAGCATGTTGCAAAAAGCTTCCAACGACAGGGAAGTTGAGATTATCTCCTGCAACTACCGTAGGAAGAGCCAAACCTAACCTGTAGCAGATCAATTGTAATGACACATAGTCAACGTGCGATCTGTGACAAGGTAAGAAAATGATGCTCTGTTTCTTCTTCTCCGCTTGTTCCGCAACAGTTCTCAGCCGAAGCACTTCCTCGCTTGATACGTGAATTCCTGCAATCCGTAAGCACAGCCCTAGTCCTTTGCAATTTCCTCATCCATATATAAGTACCTTGGTGATAGGCCCTCGTCAATAATTGGGAGCACATATAATATGCCCCTCGAATGAACGGCTTTGACTCCATCTTACAAATCATATCTCCCGTCATCTTCTCCGAAAGTTCCTGCAAATTATGCTGTAGAACGTTCCTTCGCTGGTTTTTCTTCGCCTCATATCCCTCTTCTCCAGGCACCAAAAGCCCTTCTTTCTCTTCAATCGCCAGCCTCTTCTCTGCTAATTCGGTAATTCGTTTTTGGAGGATCGGTGTAGAAAGAACGGAATTTATCATATTTTCAGAGAAGCCGCTGTAGAAGATCGGTTGGCCGATGAAATGATCGTAAGCCCTCCATCCTGTCCCAGAAACATGAAGGGAAACCTCCCGCAGAAACCTGGAATATGAATTAGCATTCTGCCTCTGTCTTCTGAACACTCAACTAGGGAAAAAGCAGGTAGCATACTCCAGGGGATGTGATCGAAATCTTGCCATATGCTCCACTAGATTCCTCTCCTTGTCACCTCCTGCGGCCTTCTTGGGAGGCTCGACATAGCCACTTGGATGAAGCGTAACCTGGTCACCGAGAATTTCCAGGTCTGGGGCGCTGTCCCGTGGTCCGGAATCCGCCATGGCAGCGAGAACTTCTTGCTATGGCATAAGACGAAGATCAGTTACCAAGAAAGGGAAGTCTCTCAATGTTGTATCAATCCTGAAGGTCATAAAGTCATAATTTGAGGAATGTCGTGGTTGTAGTCGTCGTCGGCACGAAGAGGCGGTAATATCAGCCAAGCCAAGACAGCTCACCTCGGCAGGCCAGGCCGAGCCGGCCACCGCAGAAATCTGGGGCTGATGTAAGGTAGACATGGGGAGCCGCGCTAATGCACCTGACAGAAGTTTATTTTTTCAGGCTTAGCATGTGAATGGGATTTGAATTGCTCATAAAATTTCCCCCCCAACACCTCGTCACCACATCCAAAATTTCCCAAATCTCCCAATGGCATCAAAACCACCCACCATCACGTCAGTCTCCAACCCTAAAGAATCAATTGCACAAACTCTGCTCTCGCGCGCCCATCCGCCCGAAATCGCATCACAAATCTTCACCGATAAAGTCAAGCTCCGACCCCTCTATCTCAAACCCAGCGAACCATCCCCCCACAATGCCCAACAAGCACGACGCCTCAAACGCATTCATGCCCAAGAATCTCGTAAGAAGAAACAAAAGCCCAAGCCTCTGTCGAGTCGAGAAAAGCGTGCGCTTTGTTTATACGACATCCCGAAGTCGAACCAGAAATACAGCATTTACGAACCTCTTTATCGCATGTGGATAGGGTACATACAAGAAGTCTTGGACATCTCGCGAAGCTTACCGATTTCGAGCGGAACGGCGGCGAAGCTGTGTAGTGCTGATTATCATGGGGCTTTGCTTACCGTCACGAGGTCGAGATGTGTGAGTAGGGTCGGAGTAGAGGGAATCGTGGTTAAGGATATGAAGCATGCTTTTGAGATTGTCACGAAAAATGATGAGGTGAAGCTGCTGCCGAAAGAAGGAACGATTTTCAAGTTTGTGATACCAATACCGGAGCCAAAGAAAGAAGGAGTTTCAGAGGAGGATAGTGAAAAGACCCCAGAAGACGGGACCCCAGAAGAGGAGGGAAAGAAGCAAGAGGATTTGGTGTTTGAATTGCATGGTGATCAATTTATATATCGAGCATCCGATCGCGCGAACCGGAAGTTTAGGCCGCGTTTTCTTCGGAATCTTTGAGGGGTTTATGGGCATTTTCATGATTTACCATCTCTATCAGACATATCCGTCCGAAGTCACGGGCTTTCACGCGGATATTTCAGGTTCAGCAAGATCTCCGCATGTTGCTAGCTACCCGAAATAATACGTTCCAGGTAAAAATGCGACGCGACTTACGGGACTTGAATCCGGATCACAAAGTCGTTTACGCGCCACAGAAGAAAAATAGCAGTGAGCAGGCCCATTCTTCTAGATTTCAGAAAGGGTTAAATTGAAATATAGAATAAAACAAAGTGTAGATATTATCATATTCTAAAATTCTCAAAACAATTATTCAAACTATCTCGGAACATACACAACCAGCTTCCTAGCTACATCGGACCAAACCAACAGAGTCCCAAAATAAAAATAAAAAACCAACTCACTACACCCTCATCCCCACAACACCAGCAAAACCACCACACCACCCGCCCAACCCCAAAATCCACACACCCCACATCACAAGACCCCCTTAGTCCCTACCTGTACCTACCTACCCAAGCAGTCCCACCCAAACGCCCAAGGAAAACAAACACAACACACACACACCACCTACGTGTCCATCCTGTGCAACCCAAGCCTCACAGACACGTATCCCTCCCAATATCTCGTCTCCTCTCAGTCCCCACTAGAACATTCCACGCCCCCCAAGCCCCCGACTGCAAACGCAATGGACAATGGACAGCGAAGAATAGACAACGAAGACAATAACCGGGTTCTTGGGATGCTCGTGTTTCCTTGTACAGGGGTTAATGGGTGATGGATGGATAATTGGTGGATAATGGGTAGGGAAGAGGATAACCGGGTTATTGGAATGCTTGTACTTGGTGCTCTTGTAAGATTACTTTGGGATTTTGTACTGTACTTCCCATATATCCCCACTCCATGTCTTTCTTGTAAAAAGTGATGGAGACTTCCACTTCCACTTCTCCCCACATTTAAACTCACACAAGCCAAAATCCCGAAATATCTGCCGTGTCTTAGCCGTGTAGTTGAATCGACTTTCCCGTCCCATGATTTACTGTAATGTAATGTATATGCACTCACACAGAGATGCATATCCTTAAGCCAGAGAATGTCTGCAATAAATATCGACCGGGTATCTGGGAATGGAAGGGAAGTTCAGTGTAGGATTGTACAACTACAAGTACCTATAAGAATCACAACATACACTCCACACATACCTACCTAAACCTAGGTACACAACCTTAAGCCATCCATACACCACATAAGTGACATAACCAACATTCCGAATTTCCCCAACCTAATTAACAGACAAAAAAAAAGAAAAGAGAATTCAGGGAGGTAGGAATAGAGAGGTAGATATACACATTATAAACAGTATGTGAAGTACTCAAAATATAATCATTCATCATCCCCATCCCCTCAGCCCCGTCCCCTCCCATGTAAATAAATAAAAACCCCTCCTCCTTGAAACCTCAAACCTCAAACCTCAAATCTCACAAAACGTACCCAGTAACCCAGTAATAAACAAAGAAAGACCCCTTCCCGATCTCCATGTGTCATAAAAATAACCTTACCTTACCTTCCCTCACCTTACCACGCCACGCCATCCATAAACCCATATTCCACCACAGACGCAGAACAAAAGGGAGTTAGAGCCGGACCTATCTACCCCACACGGTTTCCATATCATTGAGTAACCCTAGAAGGGAACGAAAGAGCGAACGAAAAGCCCTAAGATGGAAAAAGTGCCCAAACCCGGTATTGGGTTCATGTCATGTCGTGGAAGTGGAGCTTGAGAGAGGTGGAGGGACTGACTCCTGCATGCATGGTTCGGCTGTTATTCCCCCTTCTCCTTCTGCTTCATGCGGTGGCATGGGCTGCTGTACTGTTTTCGATGCAGATTGTTCAGTCCAATACCCAAGGAAAAGAACGTACGTACAAGGAAAAGCGGAGATATCCTGATCTGTACTCCTCCTATCTTTGGTATGCTTATCCTCACATGCAAAAAGTTTGAATTGAATAGTTTTACATTATCAATCTATCATCTTCTCAATAGGTACAAAGAAGTGAAAAAAAAGAGGTATCAAGCCGCTGTATATGGGAGATCCTTCAATACAAATCCAGCCGACCAAGTCTCATAATCGCCTTTCTTAACGCCTGTCACAAGGAACAAACAAATCGAGAGAGCTTTCGGATCTTCTTATGCATGAAAGGAAGAAGAAAAAAAGAACAAGAGAAACAAAAATGTTTCGTTTCGCCAAGTCACCCCACCCCCAAACTTTCAAATCAAAGCCCTAGAAGACTCCCAAATAGTACAAGTACAGATTTTTTGATGTCTTTCCCCCCAATCCGTGTGTGTGATCCGTGTGCGTGTGTGTGCATTTTCAAATAGAACATGTGCCCGAACGATGCCCCATGTATGCATCGAGTAAGATTTTCCGTGAACTCCTTGCTTGTGAAACAAACCGAAGATGCGATGCCAAATGCTCTGAGAACAAGCAAACGAAGAACGCAAAGCAAAGCAAAGAAAAGAAAAATACAGTGAAGAGAAAGGAAAAAAGGAAAAAAAGCAATGAACATGCAAGCGCTTGAGTCGTGTCAATCATACATAGCATTCCGCCCCTTCCAAAGCAAAAAAACGCCATTTCCATGAGTATTTCCATGCCATCTCCCTCATCACTGGCGAGACCCAGCGCTGATTTGATGTATTCTACGTACCGTTGGATACCGTAATTTCAAAAATACCACCAGAATGGGAAGAAAATATGAAGCAAGAAGCGCGAAAAAAGGATCAAGCTGCCAAACATCCGCCCACTGCCCTTCTTCTTGGACAGTAGATGTGGCAAAATTGTGTGAGAAGACAAGCAAGAATCGAAGAGTTATGTATCAACATCGTACAAATCTTCAAATGTAGTTCAAATGTAACTATTGTGAGAAAACGGAGCCTGAGAATTTGGTGTGTTGGGTGGCTGGTAATGTTGTTGGTATGGGTGGTTGGGATGTGAGAAATCGGCGGTTTTGAGCAAAGGGTTCGGACCGCCACTTGGAACTAGTCGAGAAGCTGGGGGTGCAGCAGGCAGACTAGCGTGTGCTGTTTGTGCGAGTGTTGCATTCGGGAAGAAATGAGGTAGGTGATTTAGTTGTGGTACCATTGGCGGTTGTTGAACCGGTTCCTCTGGCCAACCCCATTTTCTCTTCAGTTCCCTGTGGAGAAATCCCACCTTCCATCCTGTTTCGGCGCGAATCTTCTCAAAGACCTCGAGAACTTCTTCTTGTTCCCGACGAATCACAAGACAATCAGCGGCAATTGCCAAAGAACGCAATGCAACACTGGCTACACCTCTATCTTTAACATGTGCAACAATACCGCAAATTTGATGAGCATGATGCATTTGCATGGGGCGCAACTCATCGCTCTCCTTGGGGATGAGAGGGTGTATTTGTGGCAAGAGACACATTGCAGTGTGGTAGAACAAGCGACCAACGATTGTGGCACGTTTAACCAACCTGATGAGTTTGATTAGCATGTTTCATCAATCTTTATCATGATTTTGCTCACCAGATTTCCGGAAATACAGACTTGATGCTACTTTTGGGAGCGGACAAATAGGCCATTGGCTGCATCGTTCGCGGGATGTTGTCGTTCCAACTATCGCACAGGTTCTTCAGAATTTGCCACTCCTGGTAACGGCTATGGAGTCTGTTTTGTTCGTCCCGTGGCGATGCCTCCTGGAAACGCGGGATTGAGGCTCTGAAGTTTGCGATCTTACCCACAATGTATACCATTCGATGTACCCAAATCTCCTCCTTTCCAAATTCACTACCTCTCTGGAAATTCAAATCTACTCCCCATTGGTCTGGGTCCCATGCTAGCTTCCAATTGAAGTGAAGGCAGCTGAGAAGCTCCATCCCAACATTTAGCCAGAAACATGCGGATCCAATGCCTGTACTTCTTGCATTCCAGCCACACTCTTTGATCAATGCTCTAGCTCCAGCAATGTGATTCATACGTTCCATCGCCCGTTCAGACATGATCTCGTAGACATTGAGAATAACAGCAGTAGTAGCACATACAGCTGTATCTCTGTCAGGGTTCTGGAGGGAACGTAGCAATTGCGTGGTGGCGGTGTCGTAGTAATAGAGTGCCTTGTCCTCTGTATAGACTGGATTGACCAGATTCAACTGCCGAGCGCCACAAGCAAGATATGCATTGAGCAACATTGGTTCCGACAACGCATGAAAGGGCAAGAGTCTGGAGAAGTGCTTGTTGGAATCCATACTGTCCATCCACAAACCAACTTCCTCAACGAAAACCTGCATGTAAAGAACCTCATCTTTCGTCTCCAAACATCTTCTAGGCTCACTGTTTAGAGGTGGAGTGACTGTCTGCTCAGTGGTATTTGTGTAGGATAGCGATGGGGCCCCCAAAAGAGAAACATCGCTACCAGCGTGCGAGTGGTGTCGGCTGTTACGTCTAGATTGATCATGCTCACGATTGACCAACATACTGCCCTCTGGGTAGGTGCCCATTGAGTGCTGATGGATTGGAGGAAGTGAATTCTTGTCTTGTGAGGGTGGATGTTGATGTTGAACTTTCGGAACCAGAGGTCGGACTGGGTAGTCATGAGCATTGTTGTTGTGCGGAGTTGGGTAGTCATTCGCGTTCTCGTGTAGAGGGGTAATTACAAGTTGCTCGACATTGGCATACCGACCTAAACCACCTTTGTACTCTGACGCGATATCGCGAGACTCATCTTGAAAATTTACTGTTAAAATACAGAATTAGTATAGACCAATTGACATTGTCTGAAGGTTGTAACTTGCCTTTCCAATCTGCTGTTGGCGGAATAATTGGTGGTGACTTGACCTGTGTGTCAATGAAGTTCAGTCGGACGCCCCTCTTGCAGGTTCTGCTGGACTTGCGACAGTTTTGACAGCTTGGAAGCCCCTCATCACACTTCAAATGTCGTTCTCTGCAAGTTAAACATCCTGTTCTAACTCGCTTTGGTTTGATAGACATGCCAGATGCGGCGTCTCCTGCGTTTGGGTTGGGAGTTGACATTTGCATGTTGGTACTTGGCGCAAGATCGGCGACCAAATTGGACGACTTCAACTGCACTTGTCCACCAACCCTCTGCCTTTTTGAGGGCTGGGGACTTGAGTCGTGAGGACTGTGGGGACGAGGATTTTGAATTTGATTTCGAGGGGGGTAGTTGGGAGGGGTGAATTGCTGTGGCTGCGGAAGAGGATCGCCCACGAGGGTCAGGTCTGAGGCGGTCGAGGCAGAGTACAATGGTGATTGTTGGTAGGAGGGGTAGTCGAGGTCGAAGCCAGATGCCAAATACCCTTGACTGTTGTAGGCCGCCACAATGAAGGTTCTGCGATTTCTCGCAGCAATAGCGGCGTGATTCCGATATTCGCCAATGACATCGGCGGATGTGCAGCGTTCGTCTGGAGCAATTTCGTTCGTTGTGACTAATTTCGTTCGTTGTCTGATGGTGTGTCAATGCTTCACATTCACCTTTGTGGATTCAACTCTCTCCGACTTCTTGGGACTACTCAATGGGGCCCACCAATGCACCTCTGGGGCGGGGACTTTTCTTGGGATTGGAAACTGTCAACTGTCCTGGCTGACTACTCTTCTTTAGGCTTCTGGCTTCTGATGGAGCAATGAGCTGGTGGGAGGGGCGAGGACCCGAGGGTGTTTTGGACGAGCGAGCCTATGGACTTGAAACTTGCTTGAAGCCAAGAGGAAAGGGTTGGCGGAAGTCGCAGAGGAGATGATACTGACTTGGGTCTTTGCAGAGAGTGGAGGTGAATGGAGGGCAATTCAATTTGCATGCAGTACAGTGAAGGCAAAGATGCAAGATGGTGCCATATGGGAAGGTATCAGGGGAGAGAGGAAAGTTGACGATGTCGAAGTTGATGTTGAATGTCGATATATTCCAGTGGGAGCGTGCCCACAATTCACTCGGCCAATACTGCCTCACTCAATTGCATCTGGGGAAATGGGAGGTTCTCTTCGGCTTGAGCTGCCTGCGATGGCCTTTTTAGTGGATCTGGGGAGCTTGTTTCCCAGGTCGACTTTTTGTTAGCTGTAGCTTGACGGAGTCGGAGGAGCTTAGGCGAAGGGCAACGGTCGGGTGGTGCTGGTGCTGTGCTTCAAGGTTGTGCCATGGCCGTGCTGGTGGAGCTGGTGATGCTGGATGAAATGCCGTGGTGCAACAGGAGATGCAACGCTTTTCCATCAGAGACACGAGAGACGGGTGCGTGTGGGATCGGTATTGCTATCTACACAGACAAATCTCAATCTCAGGGGGGGAAGGGGATCAAGTACAGTCATATGTGATGTGAGCCCGGAGTGATGAGCTGGGTCAGGTCCTCCCTCTGCCCAGTCCGTACATCGCTCCTGCGCACTCTCGCTCTCCTTTTCCATGACCGTACGTAGCAGAGGCAGAGCCAAATTGAGCATCGACGCGCGAGCATGAAGTGAGGTGTGGATAAGGATAGGAATAACTCAGAATAACCTCACATCAGCAAAGCACAGCACAGCACCGCACAGGGGCAAGAATGCAAAGTCACCCCCAACTAGCTGCAGCACCAACTCCAGCACCAGCACCAGCCACAAGGGAATCATCGAGTGACAGGGAGGGGTCGTGATCTTTTCCTGGCTGCTGGACTCCACACATCCCTGCTTACCCGTCATTGGCGTCGCCCTCCACAACCAATGACTGCAATAAATGTGAGGATATCCCGCCCAGCACCCACAAACTGCCACATACATATGCCACAGAGTCGCATTCCAGCTTTTGCTTGCATCGACCAAAGTTGGCTGCTCACACCTGCGGTCTCTCACCTCATTGGCAGCGCTGCTGGTTCAAATAAGGAGTTAATCTATGCCATCTGCAGCAGATCTCAACCGGCCAGGATATGTATTAAGATATCTGGATAACCTCACCACTCCCTTGGCAGTGTGAAGGGTGCACGGCAACTAGCCGCACCATACATGCCAAAATCCTGCAAATCCGGTAGCAGCGTTGCAGTCACGATGTAAGAAGTATCCAGAGAGGTTTAGATGGGCATTTCCCAAGGATTCATTGGCTCCGGCAATTGCTTGGCCATGATAGCCCAACGACGTTGCAAAGAAGTGCAAAGAGAAGATCTATTTCTCGATGGAGCACGAGAACCACCATCTCGGAATTTTATCAGGGCATATGAGAGCACAACCACCGAGCCATGGGAGGTCAAACAGGGAGCCAGCTCCGGGTGTGATATGTGTGAGAGAAGTTCGGATGGTGCTTTTCCGCCAGCTGGCGAGATGTTGAAGGCATCCTGATGGAACACGAGAACGGAGAAGAGAAGGACATAGCGTTGGATTGTTCACGGCGTACAAGTACACACTTGGCCCAGTCGGTGGAACACGAAGGAGACAGAGTTCATTCCTATCAGAGATGTCACCGATCACAGGCAAAGCATAATAAACCGGCTGCAGCTACATTAATGCAAAGTACTAGCGCAGTAATGTCAAGAAGTCGTTCACAAAATCTAGGTTGGTGTCAAAGCTGGAAATAATGCATTCCGGGTACGTTCGAGAAGGCACTTGGAAAATCTGGAGATCTCGGTCCTGCAGTAGAGCGCGGTCACGGCAACGGCACTTCTAGAGCTCCACATCCCGAAGTCTCACACAACTCAATCTAGGCCTAGGTAGGTAAATGTTTCCAAACGCCTACTTGACCTGCTGCTTCTTACCTAATCTCATTCAGATGCTTGCGTCTAGACTATACCTACTGTACAGTATAGAAGTGATAGTTTGTGTCGTTTATTACGAGGTTGGATCCGACTAGCTTCAGCCCAGGCATCCAGCTAGCGCGATCAAAATAGATACACCTGCCATGATTGAGAGCCTTCATTGGAACGCCGATGTCAAATTTAGCTTCGATGCATCGCGGAAGCGCTTATTCGTGCTCCTGGTACAAGTATTGCTATTCTTATTCATTCAGTACCAGTATTAATCTGACCAACCCATCAACTTGGAACATGAACGTCTCGCTCTAAATAGAACGCCGTCTTAAGCTTAATCGTCCTTTAGATGTGTTTGAAGTTCACTCCAAATTGGTTTCCTAAGATTCGTGGTGTTTGGTCTGAAAGTTGCATCACGAGAAGCGCAACCGAAGAGCTGCCACACCAGCATCCCCAGCTGGCGTCGGTTCACTGCCATAGCCACGGTCCCCACATTCTACTTTAATTAAGCTTTAAGGTTCCAAACCATCGGTACTTGACGACGAGTAGCAGTAGCTAGCAGTGGTTCTAGTAGATGCTAACCCAAAAAGTCCTTCGTCGTTACGACTTTCCTATTAAACGGCGATCGACGGAAAGGTCATCATTCTAGAAGGCATCGTAAGCCACCATGGCTTCGCAACAAACTCAGCCTCAACCTTCTTATATTCTGCGTGGACACGGTGCGCAAGTCCATTCAACCTCCTTCATGCGATCCAACAGTCGTCTGTTGACGGGAGATGCGGACGGTTGGATTGTTTCCTGGAGTCTGGAAATCAAGCGACCAGTCGCAGTGTGGAAGGCTCACGAGGGCTCTATTTTGGGAATTCTTGCATGGGGTCCCAACAACATCATCACGTACGTCCTAAATATTCATCCCACTCTTCAGCCTTGTCGTCTATATTAGTTCCTGGGCTTTCCAAAATAATCATCCGATTCGTCATAAGTGCATCTACTCTATTTTCAAATTTCAGGAACATACGCAAAGAAGTCTTGTTCCTGCTTCTCCGCGCTTATCTGCTGCATCCTGTCCCATGACCAGATACGTCCACATTGCTAATTCATTCATTGTAGACATGGAAAAGATAACAAACTCATTGTTTGGAAATTATCCGAGGAAGATGAAAGGTCCATGAGAGTAGTTCTTCCAGTTGATACACCTCCGGACCCACGACCACAACCATGGCTCCTGCATCTCCTCCAAGTCAACACGATGAATTTCTGTTCCTTCGCAAAGACATCAATCCCTTCATCAGACTCATCAAGTGATGATGATGAACAATTATTAGTAGCAGTACCAAACACTCTCACCTCAGAAACCGTAAGTTGCATTTCCGAGATGCCCACCTTCACCATACATACTGAAACCCTTAGGTCGACATATTCCACCTCCCCTCCTCCAAACGCATCCACACCATCCCCAAACACCCCTCCTTCAAAGGCGGCATGATAATGACAATCTCCCTCTTCCATCACCCCCTCACGAACCACCTCACAGTCATCGCCGGCTTCGAAAGCGGCCACACAACCATCTCCCAACTAATCCCCAGCACTAACACCTGGCAACCCCTCTACATCTCCCAAGCCCACACCCAACCCGTTCTCTCCCTCGATGTAGACCCCACCAAGAAATTCTACCTCACATCCTCCGCCGACGCCATCATCGCCAAACATCCCATCCCTGAAAATCCCTCCCCTTCAACTTTCCGTGCCATGGAAAGTACCCCCTTGAAAATCGTGCAAACCAAGCATTCCGGCCAGCAAAATCTGCAGATGAGGAGTGATGGCCGTATCTTCGCGACGGCTGGGTGGGACTCCAAGGTTCGGGTTTATAGTTCGAAGACGGTTAAGGAGTTGGCGGTTTTGAAGTGGCACAAGGAGGGGTGTTTTGCGGTTGCTTTTGCGGAGGTTAAAGGGGGTGGTGATGAGGGTGAGGGTCAGGATGGGAAGGAGATTGTTAGGAGTGTGGAGGCTATGACGGTGAAGGAGAAGAGGATTTGGAAGGCGCGTAATGCGCATTGGATTGCGGTGGGGAGTAAGGATGGGAAGGTCAGTTTGTGGGATGTTTATTGATCTTCATTATTTACTTTCCAAACTAATATAATGGAAATCATGATTTTGAATTGAGATGGTGAGTTGCTGTATGGTCATTTATCCTATTTTCATCGAACTCCTCCCTTGAACAGTAATTAAGTCATCTCTTGGATCTCCAAATCTTCACCAAAACTAGGAAAAAACAAGTATTCAAATTTATCCTAGAACCCTCTTCCAACCAACCAAACAACCCACTTGACCCCTATACCCATCGCAAATCGTACTTAAAACATCTCTGACGAACTACAATACCACTCACACACTCGTAGCAGGCTATAATATCACGTCGAGAACCTCTGCTCTATTTAGGATATTTTTATTCTAGTCTCGAACACTGAATGGACTTACTCGAACTTCTTACCTCCTACCTTCCCCCACCCCCTCCATATTATCCTTCGGGACTCTACCGACTTAGTCTTAAAAGATTTCTTCGTTGATGTTAGTACTCTTTTGTCTTATTTGGGATACTAACATTACATATGCTAATATACTGTACAAATGAATTTAGCTTCACTTTCTTGAGGGAATGTGTGGTCGAGTTTCCAAGTTCCAACTAGGTTGGGCATTCGTGGTCTGAAGTGTGGTGGGGTGAGGGTGGAATGATGGAGATGACTTGGAAGGATTGGATGGCAGGACTTGGTTTGTTATTAATCTTGAGGTCTAACTGGTAAACTCACTTTCCCTACCTACTCTCGTCAATACTTCCCGTGCCCCAAACTATACTGTAATTTACCGTCGAAATTTTGGTTACTGTCGATCCCTCAGTCCCCGTTCATTCACGAATCTCGGAAGAAAATGGAGGTGTTGTGAGTTATGCTTTATATATTTTGGGGGACAGTATGGAGGGATGGTTCCGTGGTGTCTACGTAATATGGTACTTGCTTTTGGGGATTGGAGGAATGACATCTTTGATTGACTGTTGTCTGAGGGTTGTGATGAGGTTTTGGGGGGAGGGGGTGGGTTGGGTTTTATGGGTGTGGTGGGGGGAGGGGTTTGTGGTCAGACGGCTTTCTTTTTGCTGGATTTGGTAAAGAGGTAGGAGATGGAAGGTACATTCTTGNAGCAGGGGTTGGGTTTTATGGGTGTGGTGGGGGGAGGGGTTTGTGGTCAGACGGCTTTCTTTTTGCTGGATTTGGTAAAGAGGTAGGAGATGGAAGGTACATTCTTGGGGTTTGATGGTTGTGTGTTCTCAGAGGAGGGGGAGGGGGAGTTGATGTAGACAGAAGAGTTTACGCTTTACTAAATTAAAAATTATGATTTAGTTCCTGCTTAGTCTATATGGTATGCCTTGAGCTTTGGATTGCTTATAACTTAGACAACCTTATAAGTGTACCTCTGACTACAGATAAGGAGTAAAGCATTTTGAGAGATGCCTTCTCGTGGTTTTTCTGTCTAGTAAGAAAGTATATTAACTATATTTTTAAACTAAGTTCCGAATTAGAGAGGAGAGCATTTGTATGTATATTAGGAGAGTGGAGGAATACATCTTAGGTTGTCTTTTCTTATGCATATATATAATAGACATACCTATACCTTTGACTCAACATGACTTGCGAAATAGTAAACTCCCATCATCGAACACGGGATATAAAGAGACGATGGTAAGGATTGGAATGATTAAGCAGGACCAGAAGTTGGCGTACTTCTAATGATACATTCTGTCCCAGCGAACACGCTTCCAACAACACTCGTAAAGCTGAATTCCCCTTGACGAACTATTACGACCTCCTAGTCTCAACACCTCGCGATATTCTGACCATACCTTCATATGTGACATGAGAAATGGAGTGTGAAGTAGTTGCTGTCGATTACTATTTTGCTGTCGTTTTTTGGATATTTGTTTGTATGTTATGTTTTTTATTTTTGGAAGGAAAGGGTCTCCACCGATTTGAGGCTACGCGGTTGTGACTTGGGTAATATCTTCTGTGATGAGGGGAGCCTTGGGAATGATAGATATTTGTTTGGCGCGAAAGCTATGCTGCGAGAATTCTTGTTGTACTTCTAGATGAACATTACGGGCTTGACCGGTGCCTGGTTTTATAGATTGTAGTAGTGAGGAGGTGGTAGGCGCTTATTGTTTTCGACAGGTCCTTAAGAGAGGTCTTAGAATGGATTGGATACTGTGGTCTTTCTCGTCCATGTCTCAAGCAAAAAGCTACTGTAGGTAGATATTTTATTCTTCAAGTTGTTTGGAGGATGACTTCTACTGTGCTAAAGATTAGTTCCTACTTTGATAGTATGAAATTTCTGTAGTCAACGTTTTGTTCAATCTGTCGAGTGAGGTAGAGTAGGTAGCAATTCAACATGTACACGAAGTTGTTTCCCGAAAATTGACTTCATGTTTTGGCTAGAGTTCGGGAGTTGCGATTCTCTACCTTGTATCTTCCCTTTGTCTTACCTATTACCCTTCTGATAACCGAGCTTCAGACGCGTTCGCACCAAGTCCACCTCCCTCGCCGTCCTTTGCCCTCCCTATTCACTCCCTCCTCCCCCTCCCACATTCTCCACCCCGAAGTTCTCCCTTTACAGCCACAAATAAGAAAATCACCACCAATACCAACCGACATTACCGGGAGGAGGTTCTGGCAGGTTGGTACTGGGGCGCTACTCGTGAGGAGGCAACACGTTAACACAGGCCTAAAAGCCCGCGGCCTATCGGAGCGAAGTAATAAACCGGTCAGAAATGGTGTCTGAGTTTCCTTGAGGACCCTGTACAGTTCTTGTATTGCTGGAAATTAAGTTTTTGCATTTTTTGGGTTTTGTTTTGGGATATATTCATTTTTGGGGGGGAGGAGGGGTTGTGGAGTGAGGTGGGAAGGCGGTGGTGGCGTGTGGTGGGTTGAGGTAAGGATTCGAAGTGAGGTTTGGAAGTGATGATGGGACGGTGAATTTGGAGAGGCTTGATGGACCTCCTGGAAAAATGGTTTCTTCCTAGGTTTACTGCCATTATTCTAGCCAGATCAAGCTATTGCACTTGAGTCTCCAGTTTGAGATACTATACACTTCAAGCTAGGATTGATCTCACTTCTGGTAAAATGGGTATCTTAAGCTCCAGCATAACAGCACTCTTAAGACATCTTTCCTCATCTAAAACACAAAACTAATAGGAGAGTACGAGGTAGCACAGGTGAAAATCATAGTCACTGTGATAAGAAACGTAATCGACTTGCTTGACACGAAAGTACGCTGCGACAGAGTTATTAGGAAAACCTGGCTGCCTTGAGTGGCTTCAGACGTAAGAATACATTGAGAAACCTGCTGTCAGATGTTCGTTGCAATTCGACAGCAACAAATTTTTGAACAGAAAAGGCTTACTATTTGGAGATCGAAAGATCCGAGAAACGTTCGAAAATATATTTTACGTCTTCAAGGGGGTTGCCTTAATTGTCTGTGATGTATGTAATATATTGACCTCCACCATTCAATTCTTTCCTTTGCGGGGAGATTGAAGAGCATCAACTTTTGACGATCCGTGAGGTGTTCTTGTAGTCTATGTCACCTCGACCAACTTGTTGTTCTGTGGTCTTAGCTTCCAGATGGTTGGTTTGCTGCGGGCATAACATCTCTTTCTGGCATCAAATTGATCATACTTCCCCCACCAAGGAAACTGTCGTTAGATCGAAACCTCGAAAGGTTCTTTGTAATCTTAGGTTTTCAATTAGCTGGGAATTTATTAGGCCTTCAATTAGCTGAGGACAACCTCGGAGCTGAAGATGCTCGCCTGGCCAATCTACTTGCGAACACTTTTGTTTCTGGCTGATCCGGGTTCTGCTTTGGCGAAGACATTGGAAGTTAGTGGATCTTGTATGAGAGTCTATTGGCTAATTTTATAGGCCAAAGCAGCTCCCAAAGCAGCTCCATCATCTTCGTGCTTTTCTAATTTTCTATTCCATATCCTCTTTGTTTGCGTACAAAAATTAAAATCAAGAAAGCAGAGCTCTATGGTGATTCATTTCAATGACTGGATTGCATGTTCCTTTTCATGTCTGTTCAAATAAGCTAAATAGAGGAGACACGAGGAGGTGGTTGGAAAAGTAGGAGGAATTTTGAGTGTGAGAGGTGTGTTTCGCATTACTTGTGATACTGTTCCCTGTTACTTTTCAAGGTCCTCGTGGAGTTATGGAAAGTTGAATTAAACCACACTTTCTCCTGAGGTCCCCACTGAAGAACTCTACTACTTCCTCCGTATCAGCCTAGATGCTCGATCTGCAAGCTCCTTCCTTAAATTCTCACTTCTTCAGAGACAACCATATTTGATACGAAGGGATACGCATGACTCCATTTCGCCGTCGAGAATAATAAATTAAGAGTCATGAGGCGCCATTTATATGCGAGTTGAGGTAATGATGGTTAATGAGCAACTTTTGTACGCAAATAGGAATCTAGGTTGGGTATAGAGATCTTTTTAGGGGCGAGTACAAGAAGGTACGTGGACAATTCAATGGTAGTAGCTCCATTAAATCACTCGTATATAGCAATACATGAATTGCATATTTAGAAGCTTCGAAGCTTTACGTGTAGCAGTCTAACACTGGTTCTAGATGTTTCAAGCTGTACACTTTGTCGACAAGTCACTTATCATTCATACTATCACCTCATTTCATTGGGTAGACTTCGAACGATCAAACTATTTGTTGAAGAAAGTATTTACAGACACCAATAGAGTAAATTATTTATTTCCAAAAAGGCCTGTAATATACAGGCTCGATGTTATTCATATTGTCTAATTCGATGCACCCAGCTTCCAGTAATATACCTGAAGTCAATCGAGGCAAGCAAAAGGAACGATTGCCAGACATGGAAATACCACGCGACGACCAGAAGGGGGATTGGAATGGGTAAACATAGGCTGAGGGGTTGCGGTATAATGGATGACCTCGTCGCCATACCAAGCCCTCCCGTCATCCATATAAGATATACTTTCGACGTACCAAAAAGGATCCCAAATACTGTTATGTTCACCACTCTCTAACATTATGACGGCTTCCAAAGCCCTATCCAGACCAGGTGTGTTCCCGATTATACGGAATTGGTTGATGATCCATGTCTTCGCTCTTTCTGGGCAACTTCGTGCATTGGCGGCGACGAAAAGTGGCCAAAGAAGGACATTGGCACTCTGAGCGTAAGAATTCTTTACTCTTATTCGCTGCGTACTTGGCATTGAAGGTATCCTTGCTGATGCAACCGAGGCGAAGTTAGGATCCAACAAAGGTAGGTAGCCCACCTGTTGTGGAACTGAAGCACAGATAGCTCCCATCAGACGTATGATATCCACCTCAGCATCTTGTACCATGGCTTGACAGGCACGAGAAAGTGGGTTGCGAGACACCTCACATTGGTGTAGAATCAAGTCAAGGAGAGCGACCCGCGCAGCTTGCATCTGGTTCAAGATTTTACCGATAGTAGGGTCTCGATAAAGTGTGTAGTACGATTCATAAACCAGGTCAGAATGGAAGGAAAGTGGTACAATTCTGCAACTTTCTTCTGATGAAACTTTCGCTATGAGACTCGCTACTTCCTGGTCAGCTTTCGTGGCAGATCTTATGATTTCCTCGGTGTCAGAGAGACTTCCATCCCAGATTGATGTCAAGAACGTGACAAAGCGAATCGTGACATCGGCCATTTCACTTGCGATGTTATCAAGGTAGGTGGATGCGTTCTCGTGAAGCTTTAGGTAGTTGGCTGGTACAGGAAGCTTGTGCTGCAAGCAGGTAATAAAAAGATGTGCTCTCATATGCACGAAGATTTCTATACCAGTTTGAGTGGTGAACTGTTGGGGGCCACGGAGTTTCATGAGTGCCATTGCTCCGTTTAGATGATTGATCCATCCTTGCGTGGATCGGTGTACCGGTAGTATGATTCGGTCAAACTGGTCCAATAACATGATGGAGGAGATTATAGCCTCATTTGTGGCCTGTGGTGTTGCTAGAGCTTTGTTGATCAAGCTTATTGCCGAAATGTAATAGCATTGAGCACGAAGCTCCAGATCCGTTGAGCGGTGAGCCTTCGAAAGACTTGCGAGTCCAACAGCACGAATGCTCATTATCAATGGGAGCCCCATTGTACCATAAATGGGTTCAATGTACTTGAACGGACACGACTTTCCACCAACAAAGTTTGAGTGAAAGAAAGAAAATGCATGGTCCTCAATGGTGTCTGTAGGATTGGGGAGACCCAAAAAAGTGGTCTTGTTCGAAGCGTTATTGGGTACGGTAGTTGGTGAGCCATTTCCCGTGCGAGTTTTACGTCTACTCTCCGGTGGACTTTCCTTTTTGACTTTCTTTGCCACTAATGCGCTCATATCTGCAATTCTCAACTCCCTCGTGTCTCGGTAACCATGACAGGCTCTTGACGCTCTTGAGCACTGCCCACATACCGGTTGTACTAGGTCACACTGACACAATCAGCATCCTGCGTCTTTGGGACCACGAGGTCCCCGCTATGAAAGATCTTGTCATCTCGGGGTGCATAATCTGCTACCGGTGGCTGGTAGCGATGCCGGTTGGTCAGAGGTTGAAAAGACTTCATTCTCAACACTGCATTGGCAACCACCACCTTGGCTCCAAAAAGGTCCCAATCCACATGGATCAAAGGAAGCGGATCCTTTCTTGAGGTGCAAAAAGAAAGTTACTCCATCTTCTCATAGCGATCCACGTACCTTGGCTCTCCTCACTCGGCATGGCTCACAATCCTTTGACAACTTTCCACCATAAACCATTTTGTCTTCCCAAAAGCCTACGATATGAAAAGATTTCGGAACATTAATTGTCAATTTAGGAAGCTCGCTGCGGAATTTGAGCCCAAATAGGATAATTTCAATAAGTTTGGAGAGTATAGAAGGGTAGGGACGCCAAGAATTGACATGTATGTTTGAGTGCTGATGTAGAATCCTAGGTCATTGCAGCGGGGGTTAATACTATTTAGGCTGACAGCTCGAAACAAGGATGTTCACCTATTTGTAAGCTTATTTTGACAAGTAATCAGGGCAGCCAATCCGACGATCGTGTAACCACACCCGCTTCGGTATTTGGGCATCAACGGGATTTCAAAACTCTTTCTATTCCGTGAATAAGAACAGTAAAGGGAGTATAGAATCTCAAAACAGAACTGCGACCCTCTTAGTAAGTTGTCATTCACGCATTTATAGCCAACAATCTTCTGGGCCACTATCTGTGCTGACTTTCTGATCCCGAGAATTCTAACGAGGTACCTCAAATCCTTATTTATTTCTGAGACAATTCGATCTGCAAACTGAATAAATGTGCTAGACTTACATTGCTTTGTTCTCTACTTAGGAGATAAAGATAACATGTACCATGATCAACGCAAAACTATCTAAATATAACCATATTCGAGAGACTAAAAATACTATTACCAAAATAAGAATTACAAACCAGTTTTTGGAAGACCAAATTCTAATCGCTCCCGACTAAATGTACTAATATTATCTATGTATTCTGGGGAGATTACCCAATAAAAATCTTCAAAGTTACAATGTAAAGCTTCAATCAATAACCTCTACTCTACTATACCTTTCTAAGTCAAATTGAGCGATTATGAAATCCTTGTATTTGCTCAGACACAATTAGAGCGCCAGCAAGGAAGAAAGAGAGCTGATTGTTGCAGCCTTTCTCGCCTCAGCATTCCCGGTCAAAAACGCTCAATCAAAGAACTAGTTTCCATATTCTTACACTATCATGAGAGTAAAAGCGGTAGAAAGCATTTTTTTTACTCTCTTAGATTGATGGTAGCTATGGCCTTGAATGATAGGGCTTAGCAATGACACAAAGTCCTCGCTTAATTAAAAGACTTCGCGGAAATGCTAACCAACACCTCGAACAGAACTTTATTTACAGTCACCCACATACTCCAACCAGCTGTGATGAGTGTGCTCTGCGAATGATGGCTTGCGTGCAAATTACCTTGAGCCGAATGCAGAGCTTTGTGGACGAATGTACTTAAAGCAAATTATTTCCCAGTATTGATTACCACCCAAATCCAAAAAGAGCGGTTTTTATAAGATACCGCTTTGGATTTCACTAGCACCTAGTATGCTTAGAGATTCCATCAGTGAGCCTGTTTGAAAGTTTCTGGATGTCAAAGGAAAATTGAATCTTGAAGTTGTCCTGAGTGATATCACGTGGCCATCCAACATAGCCTCCCGACTGGGCTATGTTGTCTTTCAAACGAAGAATCAAAGACTGCGGAAAGTGGCAGTTGATAATGGCTGAGTATATGGGGAATTAAATCGCTAAGCTTTAAGCGGTTGCTACATTTTTTGGGCTCAGACCAATTTAGGAAATTATCACCAAATCTCTTTTCCACAATGTTTTGAATGCAATTTCCCTGTACGCCAACATTTCACTTTCCTCGTCTCTCACAAATCCCTTTGTTACTTTTCCATATTCTGCGCTCCAGTGACAATGGTGCTCGAAAATGAGACCTATATTGCGAGACTACTTGATATTACGGAAAATACCGAAGCTGGAATTACCGTGTGTGCAGATGGAGGAGGTTCCCAATCAACATATTTGAGCTACCGCGACTTTCATGCTTTGGTACGACAAAAAGCAGATCAGTTACGTCTCCAGGATGATATCGTCCCGGGCAAGATTGTTCTGATATATTTCCAAAGCCACTTGGAGGCTCTCACTTGGTTCTGGGCTTCGGTTCTTGTGGGATGTATTCCAGCGATCTTTACGCCACTTGACGACAAGGAAGCTCAAACTCTTCAATTAAAAAGATTAAATTTCCAATTGGGCGGACCTATTGTTATCACAATACGAGACCTCGCGAGCAGCTGCTTTTCTGAAAATGATGTTTTGGAAGTAGTTGCTGTGGAGGACATTGAGAGCTTGAAACCCGCGGAAACTAGTCTGCAAATCACAATCGATGACTTTTCAGATACCATACGACTCATACCTGGAACTTCAGCAAATTGCAGATTCGACGGAGCGACGAGATTTGCGAATTCTATCGACGAGGTTGCAGTCATCATTCTCACTTCTGAAAGAAACGGGTTCTCGAAAGTAGTCTGTCTGACTCATTCACAAATATTTTCATCACTCAAAGGGATGATGGCTTCCATGCCTTTACCTTCTAAGTCCTCTCTTCTAAATTGGACCGCTCTTGATCAGTAAGTAATACGATATGATTCCCTTGTACCCCCCCCTCCCCCTTGGCCCACGACCTATTTCAAAGTTAAGCTTCCACTTGAGTCAGAAGGAATAGAAAGCCACAATGCTGACTTTCTGTTTCATTTCAGGTTTTCCAGTATAGTCGAAATCCATCTCTGCGCGATGTTTACTGGACTCGATCAAGTCCATTTCCCTACCCAGGAGGGTTTTAACGATCCTTTGTAGTTATTACGTCTGCTTTCCAAATACAAAATCTCTAGAACTTTTGCGCCAAGAACTTTCTTGTATAAGCTTCAGTTAAGCCTAGACAGAGCATCGACCGAGGAAACTCAGGAAATGAACCTTGATGACCTTCTTTACATTGGTTTTAGTGGACAAGCGAATCTTGAAGATTGTGCCCGGATTAATGATATTTTCGCGAGATTGAGAGGTGAGGATAGGGAGGCCTTGTTATGTTCTGAGATTGGAAAGGTAGGATAAGTAAGAGATAGCACATGCTGCTCTTGTATTGGCGTACTGGCTTTTGAAATTTGTCTTTTGAGAGTAATCGTGGTATGGGAATAGTTGTAATTTTAATGTCTTTTTCCGGCACTTTGTAGATAACCTTTTCAGTGCTTAAAGACATCGTCTGATGTTGTCCCAGGCTTCTGTGGTGGTTTGCTATCGATTAAACTTGATGCCAAAGTTGGGAATAAGATTTACCAAGTACAAAACATGTTAAAATAACAAACATACTAGAAGTATTAATGGTAAGCGAGGAAATGAAAGCAACTAGTGATCTCTCTCCTGGTAGACGAGAAAGTTAGCACAGGTTTTTAATTTTCTTTTCTATTCGCGTAAGTTGGATTAAACTATTTCCACATTTGAAACATTGTTTACTGCCAATATTCTTGTGAAGTTTAGCGACTTTTGACATTGAAAGGCCAAGCACAATGTTTTGCGCATGTGAAAATGGGTCCCGGGAGGACCCTTTTCTCCTTACAAAATATCCCTGTAGAACATCCCACATGTCATGCCACCATGGAATAAGAAAAAGGTCAAACCAAATTGCGAAGTTTTATCAAAGTTTGGCTGAAAGAGTAATGGCCAATGAAGGGATCTCCAAGTCGAAATGCCCCTCTCTGCATACGGACTACCCCACGCCGTTTTCAATCCGGACCGGAGGAGGGAAAGGGGAAAGAGCCGAGGCTTTTCTCGCTCGCCACCAAAACCGATTAAGCCGCACTGCATGGCAACCAACCTGACCAACCCTGGGAACAACTCACGAGTCAAGATAACTCTTTCCTTCTACTCGTACACTTCTCGCTGTCTCTGTGTCTTCGATTGTCTTTCTCCTCGAAACTTTCTCCTCGAAAGTTCCTTTTATCCCAACACCATACCTGAAACCCTACCATTCCTTTTATCTCCAAGACACCAAATCTTGACCTTCGAGACACAACATGGCTTCGATTGTGAAGGCATTACGCACAGTGACCCAGAGGGCTACTTTGACAGCACGACCGACTTTGAGACCTGTTCGAGCCAGCAGAATATACCAACAGTCAGTATATATTTTCTTCCAACTCCACTCATTCTAATATCTCTTTCAGCGCGAGGCCCCTCTCCGCCACAGCACGCCGACGAAATGATGATATTGACATTACCGAATTCCCTCCTACACCCATTACCCACCTGTCCGAAATAGAAGCGGCCATGGCAGACTCAGTCTCCAAGTTTGCCAACGAAGTCATTGCCCCCAAAGTCCGAGAAATGGACGAGAAGGAGTCAATGGACCCAACTATCGTGGAACAGCTATTTGAACAAGGCTTTATGGGTGTGGAAATTCCGGAAGAGTACGGTGGTGCTGGCATGAACTTCACAGCCGCTATTGTCGGGATTGAAGAGCTGGCTCGAGTTGATCCTAGTGTCAGTGTGATGGTAGATGTGCATAATACACTGGTCAATACTGCCATAATAAAATATGCCAGTACGGAGTTGAAGAAGAAATGGCTTCCCCGTCTGGCAACGGACACAGTTGGTACGTCCTTCCTCGAAGGACTTTTGCAAAAATGTAAGCTAACAAATTAGGATCCTTTTGTCTCTCTGAGCCTGTCTCTGGTTCTGACGCATTTGCTCTTGCCACCAAAGCTACTAAAACAGACTCCGGATACAAGATTTCGGGCAACAAGATGTGGATTACTAACTCTATGGAGGCAGATTTCTTCATTGTTTTTGCAAATCTTGACCACAGCAAGGGTTATAAGGGCATCAGTGCCTTTATTGTCGAGAAGGGCATGAAAGGTTTCTCAATAGCAAAGAAGGAGAAGAAACTCGGTATCAAGGCTAGCAGCACGTGTGTGCTTAACTTTGACGACGTCGAAGTTCCCAAGGGAAACCTATTGGGCCAGGAAGGTCATGGATACAAATATGCTATTGCTCTACTGAACGAGGGGCGTATCGGTATCGCCGCACAGATGACCGGACTTGCCCTCGGAGCTTTTGAGAACGCCGCAAAGTAAGCTTGGATCACAAATCCCGGGTATTTCACATGTTAACAACATTTTAGATATGTATGGAACGATCGAAAGCAGTTCGGACAGCTAGTCGGTGATTTTCAAGGAATGCAGCACCAGATTGCGCAGTCTTACACTGAGATTGCCGCTGCTCGGGCACTAGTCTATAATGCTGCTCGAAAGAAGGAGGCTGGCCAGGACTTTGTGCAAGATGCAGCGATGGCGAAGCTATATTCTTCGCAGGTTGCAGGAAGAGTCAGTGGGCTTGCCATTGAGTGGATGGGAGGTATGTAGAGTATTTCCAATGGCCAAAACTCCGTATTAACAAATTCTAGGAATGGGATTCGTCCGAGAAGGTATTGCAGAGAAGATGTGGCGAGATAGCAAGATTGGAGCGATTTATGAAGGAACGAGTAACATCCAGTTGACGACGATTGCCAAGTTGTTGAAGAACCAGTACTCAACTTGATGAGTGGTTGACGAATTAAGCATTAAAAGAGCATTACACAAACCCACCATCCGCGTGTGATGTGCTGACGACCCCTGATTTGCATGAACTTAAACAAACGCAGGACTTTGTTGAAAGAGTCCTGAATTCCTGATTCTCGATTGTTTTCCAACCACAGAATGGCGAATCCTTGTAGTCTTGAATGGAGTTTCAACTGGCGGGTTCTCGAAATGAATAATTCTTGAAGCTTCCAGAGCTCATGGAAACGAGGGATAGTATTTTGGAGCTGATGCTTTTTTGATGCTAGACTGATTTTCCTAGAAGAATTGGGCGTTTTATTTCTACTGTACTCATCTGCCCTTGATTGCTGCCAGAATATGTATTAGAAATTTAGAAACGCTACAACGCGTCAAAGCTATTGATTGTTTTTATCCCAATATTTATACACTGTATCACCTCGTGTTACCCCTCCTTTTTGAATTATCCTCGTTATCGATATCATTTAATATGATAAGAGCTGCTCACCCCTGAGCGGAATGACGAAACGAGAAGTTGTTTTGATCAGCACAGACAAGACAAGACGGAAACACAGTGGGGTCCGCGTAAGGAGGGGAAGCTGGCCAAGACATGCGCTCAGTTGGGACTTTGGTTGGTTGCAGGCCGTACGGAGTATCGTGAAGTGCTAGTATCTAGAAAAGCTTGATATTAGGTATATAATATTTTAGTGTATACTTCGTAGAGAGCGAGAAGTCTGGAGTGAAGCTGTACAGTACCTATGCGGAGTTGCCGTTAATTGTGGGTGAGGTGAATCACAATTCCCCAACAACATTTTGCCCCCTCCCTCTTCCGCTTCCCCTCCTCCACACCTCAGACCTGGACCATCACAACCCTAGCTTTGCTTGGGCTTCCATGTACTGTACGAGTATTTGTACTCTGTACCGTTCCTCGCCAACGCAAAGAGCCAACGCCAGCTGCTTCTCCAACGAACGACCTTTGTCGGGTGTTGCCAACGGTACTGAGTTGTCTGGTCTATCTAGTGTTCATGTTCCTGTTCCTGTTCCGACTTGATTGACCTGCAAATTCAAAATCCCTCTACACCGGCACTTGCCTCTTGCCCTTTGAGCTTCCTCAGCCTACAAGTACCTCCCCTCCACCTCCACCTCCACTTCCACCTCCACCTCCCCCTCGCCCTCGCCATCACTCTCGCGATACTATACTGTAGCTGCGCATCCATAACCAGCCCTGCCGAGTACTCGTACAGGTGCTTTTTCTCCGACCTCGTTGACGAAAGCTGGCCCTCTCCTCTGCCCCTCATCCACTAGCACCACCAGTGCTGAATCCGCGAACGCGGGTATTTTCTCGAAACGCAATACGAGTGATCTTCGCCACAGTCACCACCACCTCGACTGGGTCGACTGCGTGCGCATAAATTAGTGTGTTGATCGCATTGCATCACAAACCACAAACCTCAAACCAACAACTGCAGCTTCTCCCGAGCGCCCCTCCTCCTGCTCACCTCAATCTTTGGTGCCCACTCGCGACTTGCCCCGGTGTGCGACTGCTGCCGCTGTTACTGTTGTTCAGGTCCTCGCCAAAATTCAGACATCTCTACCTAACAATTCACCGAACTACCAACGACCCCACTTCACTCGTCCCAGCCCGACCGACCAAGTCTGGCACCAAACGACAATAAGTCCTTTCTAAACAACAACAAATCCCCCTCGTGGTGAGGAGAGACGCGTCACACCCTTCCTAATACGAACCAACATCTCGGCACCATGAATAACGACGAAGACGCCCTCAGCTCGGTCTTCAAGAAGATCGAGCGCGAAAAGGCTCTGCTTAATGCCGCAAATTCCATGAGACAACAAACACAGAACGAGCAGGTACGAGCAAGAATAGATACCCAGATGCGCGATGCGCGCCGGAACATACAATATCTCGAGGAACGAATGCAAGAATTGCAGATGCGGCAAGTTGGCCAGGGAGTGGAAAACATGAGTATGGGGTCGGGAGGTCCGTCTGGTTCTGGGAGACCACAAAGCTCCCGTAACGACAGTGGTCCTCCTGCTTTACCACCCAAGGACTCAAGAGGAGCTTATCCAGACCCAGGACCTGAGCAGGGTGGTTATGGTACAGAGGACTATAGTCAAATTGGTGGTCATGACAACATCATGCCTCCCAGACATCCATATGCTCCCCCCGGGCCAGGCTCCTCAGTGCCAAAGTCACGCCCCAATTTCACAAAACTTGGTAAGTACTGAAAAATGATTGGTCTCAAAATCTCCGTACTAACTTGAATTACTAGACCTTATCAAATATGATACACCTTATCTGGGACCCCGCATTCAACTTATGTTGTCACAACTGGAATTCAAACTCAATGTAGAAAAGCAATATCTTAAGGGTATTGAGAAAATGGTTCAGCTGTATCAAATGGAAGGCGACAGAAAAAGTCGAGCTGATGCCGCAGGACGCCGAATCGAAAGTACCCAAAAGATCCAACTACTCAAACAGGCACTCAAACGCTATGAGGATCTCCATATTGACATGGAAAGTAATGCGGATGCTCCAGATGGTACGTCTAACGTTGGACTGGAGTTTTCTTTTTGGGTGTATACAAAGCTAATGTTCTGTAGATGACAGCATCAACACCCCAAATATGAGAAAACCCTTGACCGGGCTTCTTTCTGTACGAATACATGCCGTTAAAGACGTTGACCACGCCACTACCAGTCGATTCGCGCGCGGCCCTGAGACTTCCGTTGCCATTAAAGTCGAAGATAACGTAGTGGCTCGCACAAAGGCTTCCAGAAATGACAAATGGGAGAACGAATTTCACAATTTGAATGTGGATAAAGCAAACGAAGTTGAAGTTACCGTATACGATAAGCCCAGTGAACACGCTCTCCCAGTCGGGCTTTTGTGGATCAGAATCTCAGATATTGTCGAAGAGATGCGCCGCAAAAAGATCGAAGCCGAGATCAACAGTTCAGGATGGGTGTCTGCTGACCGAATGGCTGGTGGAAGCATCTCAGCACCACCTTCACAATTCAACATGAGCCCGCAGCAAAGCCAGTTTGGAGGCCCAGCTGTGAGTGCAGGAGGTGAGATGGACGCTGTAGATCCGGCTATGGGTGCAGCTCCAGGTAACGTTGCTCCTCCTCAACCCATTGATGCCTGGTTCGCCCTCGAACCTACAGGTGCAGTGCATCTAACGATAAGCTTCCAAAAGCAAGCAAAGAATAGTCGACCCTTTGATGCAGGATTAAACCGAAAAGGTGCTATTCGTCAAAGAAAGGAAGAAGTACACGAAATGTACGGTCACAAGTTTGTGCAACAACAATTTTACAACATCATGCGATGTGCTCTATGTGCAGATTTCCTCAAGTATTCTACTGGGATGCAGTGTGAGGACTGCAAATATACTTGCCATACCAAGTGTTATCGATCAGTCGTTACCAAGTGTATCAGTAAATCCAATGCGGAGACTGATCCCGAGGAAGAGAAACTCAATCATCGTATTCCTCATCGTTTCGAAAAGTTTTCAAACATGAGTGCAAACTGGTGTTGCCACTGTGGATACATTCTACCTTTTGGCAAAAAGAATTGCCGTAAATGTACTGGTAAGTCGAGTTTAAGGCATCAAAAACACCACATGTCACTAATTGAATTTAGAATGTCAACTTACTTGTCACGCTGGATGTGTACACTTGGTTCCTGATTTTTGCGGTATGTCTATGGCAGTCGCAAATCAGATTCTTGATGGCATCCGTACTACCAAGCGTCGCCAAACAACCCAACCTACAATGACCGGGCGCCAACTACGACCACAATCCGCAAAGCCTTTACAAGATGGTCACAGCTCTCCAGAAGCTCGTACATCATCACAACATGGATCTCCAGAAAGTCCACGATCCCCTCGAAGTCAGTCTTATGGGCCCTCTTCAGCGTCTTCGTTGGAAGCCACCGAGGCTGCGAAGACTATGTACGCTTTAGGACAAACGTCTCCAACGCAGTCGCAAAGACCTGGACCTGACCGAACTGCCTCCTCGTCAGCAACAGCCGCTGCTGCCGCCGCAATGGCAGGGAACCGAACTCAACGTACATCGTCGGACTATGCAACAGGAGGTAGTCGTCCTTCCACTGGTGGTTATTCCGGCTCACCCCAACTCAATACACACATCGAAGACGGAAATCTCGGTTCCTCTCCAAAGGCTCAAGTCTCAGCTCAACCTAGCTACAATCCAGCCGCCTACGCTCAAGTACAAATGGGTGGCTATCAAACGCAGCCTGTTCAACAGCAACAGCAACAACATGTGCAACAAAACGTACAGCCTCATATGCAACAGCAACAGCAACAGCCACCTATACAGTCACCGACTCATCAGGCGTACAATCAGCAACCCGGGCCAAGACAAGAACCTGCTCCACCGTCTGTTTCGGCCGCCGTCGTTCCTCGTAAAACTGCTCCCGCCGCCAATGAACCTGGTACTGGACGTCGTATTGGTTTGGATCACTTCAACTTCCTTGCTGTGCTCGGGAAAGGTAATTTTGGAAAAGTCATGCTTGCGGAAACCAAGCAAACCAAGCAGTTGTATGCTATCAAGGTTTTGAAAAAGGAATTCATCATTGAAAATGATGAGGTTGAAAGTACCCGATCCGAGAAACGCGTGTTTTTGATTGCTAACAAGGAGAATCATCCCTTCTTACTGAATCTTCATGCATGTTTCCAGACGGAAACCAGAGTCTACTTTGTTATGGAGTACATTAGTGGTGGTGATCTCATGCTGCATATCCAGCGAGGACAGTTTGGAACGAAGCGTGCACAGTAAGTCCTGCCGAAACCATTTTTCTTGAGAGGCTATGCTGAATTGAGTCCCAGATTTTACGCTGCAGAGGTTTGTTTAGCTCTAAAATATTTCCATGAAAATGGAGTCATATACCGTGATCTTAAGTTGGACAACATTCTCTTGACAATGGACGGTCACATTAAAATTGCAGATTACGGTCTTTGCAAAGAAGAAATGTGGTGGAACTCAACCACGAGTACTTTCTGTGGTACACCTGAATTTATGGCTCCCGAGGTAGGCGTCCCGACCCTTTCTTACTTCGTTTCATGTTTAGACTAATATTTGTAGATCTTGCTGGACAAGAAATACGGTCGTGCAGTCGATTGGTGGGCCTTTGGTGTGCTCATCTATCAAATGTTACTTCAGCAATCTCCTTTCCGTGGTGAAGACGAGGATGAAATTTACGACGCCATTCTTGCTGATGAACCGTTGTACCCGATCCATATGCCTCGCGACTCGGTTTCAATTCTCCAGAAGTTGCTCACTCGTGAGCCTGACCAGCGTCTTGGAAGTGGACCAACAGATGCTCAGGAAATCATGAGTCAACCTTTCTTCCGAAACATCAACTGGGACGATGTATACCACAAGAGACTTCCACCGCCATATTTGCCTCAAATCACCAGTGCTACAGATACCAGTAATTTCGATTCCGAATTTACGAGTGTGACTCCAGTCTTGACTCCAGTACAGTCCGGTAAGTCTTTCCATTCTCTTCACACAAAGGCTGATGCTAACGGGGTCAACGTACAGTATTATCTCAGGCTATGCAAGAAGAGTTCCGTGGCTTCTCATATTCGGCCGATTTTGTTTGAGTGTTATGACCGCCTTCATACCTAGTAATTACCACACGCCAGGATTAATGAGTCTCGCCAACATGATATGGCTGGTACTAAGAAATGCTGGTTCCAGAGGCCGTGACGCTATAAACGAACGGGTAGAAGCGAACGAAGAGGCTCTAGGGAAGGGTGAATGGAGCTATGAAGTTACGTGGAGCGCGATAGTTTGTCAGGGTTTATTCCAAAATGATATCAAAAAGTCGTGACGGCCCGTTCATTCTTTTCTTCTAGGTATAGACGGACACGAATCATGTTGGGGAGGTGAATGTCACTTTGACCCCTTTACAATAGCGGCCTATGGCCCTCTTAATAGAATATTTAGGACCTTTATTTTCAAGAGGGTTATGAATGAATGGAAATGGTTTCTGGGATGTTTTTGGTAATGCTCGTTCATTTCTACTTATCTTCATCTGCTTTGGTGACGTTTGTTTTTTCTCAAATACCAAGTTTTCCCTTCGACATGAGAAGCCACGCAAAAGTTGAAGTATCATAACCCTCATATCTTCGTAAAACCCACCACCGTCTACCCCTCAACTCATAAAAAAGGGAAAAATCTCCGTTCCATACCCCGCTCCCAACCCTAACATCCCTCAAAAACTCCTAGACAGCCACACGTTCAACACCTAGTAGCTTCGTCCAAACATACACCACTCCTTAGCCAAAGCCCCACACTCGGGATTAAGACATTTGGTCTCGCCCTTGACCAGACCCTCGGGTTGCTGAAAGGGGATACACAAACTCTTCATTCCCATGCTGGGAGCCTTCTTCCCATCCGGACCAACCTCCGCATCTTCCTGCTTCCCCGTCGTCAAATCCTTGATCTTGTCTTCGCACTTTTCGGCGAGACAGCAGGGGATGAGGACGACGTTCTTGGCGTCGAGGGCGGGGACTACTTCTTCCCACTTGGTGATTACTAGACGGTGAGCGCGGAAGGCGGCTTCGGCTTTGGTGTACATGTCTTTTTGGATGGTCTCGAGGAGGGTAGTGATGTCGGTTGCGAGAGTGGCGATTTGAATGGTGCCTTTTTCTCCGGTGTCGCGACGGGCGTAGGCTACTTGATTCTGTTCTGCGTCTCTGGGGCCGTATTCTAGACGGAGGGGGACACCTTTGAGTTCCCAGTCGTTGAATTTCCAGGCTGGGGTGTAGGAGTCACGGATATCATAGTCAGTTCGGACACCAGCTTTCTTGAGGGTGTCTTTTAGTTCTTGGAGTTGGTTGTAGTGTTTGGTTTTAGCTTCTGGGGTGGTCTTTTTGTTGATTCCCACGGGGATGATTATTGTTTGAAGTTTAGAAATTCGTGGAGGGAGAACTAATCCTTTGTCGTCACCGTGGATCATGACCATCACACCAATGACTCGGGTGGAGAGACCCCAGGAGTTCTGCCATACGTGGACTGGTGGAAGCTTTTCAGCACCGTCGACCTTTGGGGAGGGATCTTCAACTGTAATATCGAACATCTTGCTAAAGTTTTGACCCAAGCAGTGGGAGGTTGCTCCTTGAATACCACGTCCATTGGATGGGATATATCCTTCAACGGTTGTGGTATAATATCCTCCAGCAAACTTCTCCTTCTCGGTCTTCGTACCGCGAACAACTGGAACTGCAAGCAATTCCTCGTAAACGCCTGCGTATAACTCCAAAATTTCCCGAACCTCAATCCCAGCCAGCTTCTCAGTCAAATGCGCGGTATGACCTTCTTGCCATAAAAATTCTCGTGCTCTCAGGAAAGGGGTGGTTTGCTTGGCCTCCCATCGAACCACACTATTCCACTGGTTAAGCTTCAGGGGAAGATCCCGATGACTTCGAATCCATTTGGAGTAGTATGGGTACATGACGGCCTCGGAAGTAGGACGGACAGCAACAGGAACCTCGAGGTCCTTATCACCGCTAGACATTGAGTCAGTATCTGCTCCAAACATGGCGGGGTAAATCCTCCCGCGCACAGAGAAAAGAATAACTCACGCCTTCGTAACCCAAGCCAACTCGGGCGCGAACCCCTCAACATGGTCCTTCTCCTTCTCCAAACTCTTACTGCTCAAAAACATAGGAAAACTAGCCTCCTCGACATCCATCGCCTCAATGCGCTCCTGGAACCACTTCCTGATCGTATTCCAAATATACATACTACTAGGTCTCAAGATGAAGAACCCCGAAATCTCGTTGTAGTATTCAATCATCTCGGCCTTGAGCACAACCTCCTGATACCATGCTGAGAAGTTGTCCGACTTGGAAACCGTAATGCCGATGATATCGTCTACCTTCTTGCCTCCAACGACGGGGAGAGCTGCTTGCTTGCTAACTTTCGCGAGTTTGTCGGCGACCATTTTGGCTTGCTTTTCAGCCTTTTTGAGGGCGGATTTGGAAGGGGGTTCGGCGGCTTGGTCTGCCATGTTTGCGATGAGTAGATTGAGGTTCTTGGTGGAGTTGTATTCGATGTCGCGTTTGAAGCGGTTGTAAGTACTCGTAGTGACTCTAAATTATGGAATTTACCCCGCCGAGTGGGGGCCGGAGACAACCCGACGCGAGACAGGGGTTACTCGATTCCCTAGCTCCTCCCAAAATTATTCGTTATTGTAAACATTCGAAAGGATTCAAACAAGAGAGCGCCTAGCTTCCTAAGAGAGTTTAGGTGATTAATTACTAAGCTTAACCAACCAAAGTAGAGCAACAAGGCGTTATACAAGCACTTGGGTAGCCAAAAAGCTGCGGCAGCTTGGCGAGCATCAAAACTACCTAATGATTGTTTACCTGCAGGACTCTTTGGCTTCAGATAAAATTCAACCTTAATCTTGGGTCTCGTTGAAAAGTGAACAGTCTCATGGACAAGTTATTTGATTGAATTATGAAGCGTTATACTTCGATGCTGTTACACAAATCTAGTTGCCCATAAAATTACAAGCATCAAGTTTTCAAAAGTTTTGTCCAGCTTCAAATACCCATTTAGCTCATCAATGTCCATGTCCATCATCATCTCCTCGCTGCTCCGGATCTAACTTGATCAGGGTATCTATTCTCATAATCGAAATACAAGCCTCGACAGCAGACTTTAACTGTTTAATCTTGCTCATGCTTGGCTCTAAAACACCAGCCTTGATCTCGTCGACGACTTTGCCGGCCGTCAGGTCGAGACCATAATTCTTGTAGTTCTTCTTTTTTGCGATGGTCTTTTCATCTTCATTGGCATCACCTTCTTGGATACGTTGAGAGAGAGCATGTCTTGAACGAAGTTGTGCGACGAGCTCAGATGAATCCTTGGCTGCGTTGACTGCTAGGGTTTTTGGGATGACAAGAAGAGCTTGAGCGAATTCGCCAATAGCAAGTTGCTCTCTTGAACCAACTGTACCAGCAAATTCTTCGAGGTAGATGTGAAGTGCGGTCTCGACTGCACCACCACCTGGAACGATGCTTCCACTTTCCAGGGTTCGTTTGACAGCGCAGAGAGAGTCGTGGACGGATCTCTCCATCTCATCTAACTGATAATCGTTGGGTCCGCGAAGAATGATGGATGCAGAAGTGTGGACCTTGGTTCCTCTGACGAGAATACACTCATCGTCTGAGATTCTCTCCTGAATGACCTCCTCAGCATGTCCCAAAGATGAAGCTTCAAACTTTTCGTCTCCATTCAAATCCGAAAGAGAGCTGATAAGAGTAGCTCCAGTCGCCTTTGCTATCCGTCGGAGATCTTCCTTTTTACACCTTCTCACAGCCATAGCTCCCTTCTCAATAAAGAGCTTGAGAACCAGATCATCGATACCTTTCGTGGTCAACACGACATTTGCTCCTGCCTTCAAAATCATCTCCACTCTGTCCATAACCATTCCTGCCTCACGTTGTCGGATTTGTTCCAATTGTTGAGGGTCGTCGATTGTGATGTGGACACCAAGTTTCATTCTCTCCTTCTGTAAATTCATGTCCAAAACAGCAATTTTTGCATCAGTGACTCTGGTTGTCATTGCTTGAGAGGCAACAGTGCAGTTTAGAGCGTAACCCTTGACCAACATTGACTCCAAAGCTCCCTTTCCGTGCGCCTTGAGGATGTTGACGGCCTTGACTGGGTACTTGACCTCCTGTCGGTTGTTCGTTGACTTGACAGCTTGCATAGCATCAACAACCATATCCGCGAAGAAATCTGAGTCAGATCCGATAATCTTGCTGGACATGGAGGTTTTGGCAATGTTGATGAGAGATTCTCGGCCTAGCTGGTCCACCTTGACACTGATATTTTCGTGCATGTATTTGACGGCTTCTCGGAGGGCTAATCGATATCCGGTGATAATGGTTGTTGGGTGTATTCGGTTTTTCATGAGCTCGTTGGCTCTTCTGAGTAGCTCTGCGGCAATAATAACTACAGAAGTTGTTCCATCTCCGACTTCCTTATCTTGCTGCTGCGCTAAATCAACCAAGATCTTTCCTGCTGGATGTTCGACGTCGAGTAAACTGAGAATGGTTGCGCCATCGTTCGTGACTGTTACATCCTAAGAGTTGTTAGCTACCTGCAAGTAGGAAGCGGGGCATGGGGGCCTACTCCAATATCGTCCACCATCATTTTGTCAAGGCCACTGGGCCCAAACGAGGTCTTCACCACATTTGAGATGGCTTGTGTAGCAAGGACTGTTCCCCCAGGTCAGCCTCTTTGTCTGCAAAAGCTCGTAAAGTGCATACCATTCTGATCGCGAATATCCGACCCACTGATTTTCTGACCGCCCAGGACTAGGATATGTTAGTTGGAACAGCATTTAGAAGCCTCGCAGATAGCTTACACAGGGTTCCGGCGTTTCTAGGTTGCTCGAAAAGGGATCCCATGGTGGTTGTGGTGTTGATAGCCTGGTTGCTGGCTGTCAAAATATTTACCTAAGTATTTTCCAATGTCGCGTCTGCGGGCGGGAGCTTTCCATTTTAGGTCACGTGTGCGGTACAGAAATCCATCCATCCATCCATTGGATGGATGGCTTCTTTCAACTTCCATCCCAAAATGATAATATATATATATATATTCAACATCTACAATCTGGTTTCGGAGGACTTCTCTTCACATGATTCCAGGTTTGAGAACTTGCGAAGATTTCACAAGCAATTATTATAATATTACTGCTCAAGTAGCATTTGTCTACATCTGGGCTCAATGAAGCAAATCCTGACGATGCGCGATGTGCACTTTGCGAGTGTATCTTCTAGGATGTCATTTTCCAAGACATCGATCGTTCAGGATGGAATGAGACGAACGTGGGAGTTCTAGCTCCATGAACCTGGCAGTTGCAGTGGCCAGCCCCATACCTTTTTGGGGAACTCAAAGCATGAAGAGCTCAGAGCTCCTTTCTGAAACCCGCAAACAGCTCCTTTTCCTTTTCTGTATTTCTATTCCATTTATCTCTGTATATATTTCACACATTTGTACGTCTACGCATTGCAAGGTACCAGTGTACCCTGCTACTGCGAGTTGTTCAAGTTCCCCAGTGCTCCCGGACCAACAGGTTCCCACTTTCAGTCTTGGGTGGAATTTCTCTTGCTTCGTCTCCCTTTTCCTCATACTGTACCTATATTCCGTACGAGAATGCTAATGGATTCCTTCGTGACTCGTCCAATGGAGAATATTGGCAAGCAGTCATCTGTTACATGGCTATTCGTAGCAATTGTGGCCTATTGTATATTCCGCCTCACCGACTCTTACCTTGATTATCGTGTAAGCTAAGCATATGCCACGTCTTTTGTGACTTCTGGTCCACATACTGACAGATTGAAGCGAGACACTGCATCTGGGCGCCAGCATGGCTGTCAAGTATGTGACATTCAAACACTTCCTTTGAGCATTCGCTAATTCAAAGTGCAGCCACCGCCATCGCTGGTAAAACGATGGCCTCTTGGTATTGAATGGTTGCGGAAAATTTGGCTCTTCAATGCTGAAGGACGCCTTCTTGATTTTTTTGTTTCTGTTGCAAAAGAATATGAGCCGATCAATAACGTCTCGCAAAATTTGCTTCTTGGCCCAAGAGCATTTCATGTCATGTGTCCTGCAAACGTCGAGTCTGTTCTTGCTACTGATTTCCATGGTCAGTTTACGGCACGTCCAGCTGACCAACAAGGAACTAGCTGACCAAATCCAAGATTACGGATTCGGACCAAGGAGAGAAGTGTTTGATCCCCTCTTGGGCAATGGCATTTTCACACAAGATGGGGCACCATGGAAACATTCGAGAGAATTACTACGCAAGCAATTCGTTAGAGCACAGTACCGCAATCTTGACAACTTCAGAGAGCATGTGGATAATCTAATTGCGCAAATACCATTCGATACCGTCGTTGATCTACAACCTTTATTTTTTAGTTTCACTTTGGATACTACTACCGCCCTTCTTTTTGGAACCAGCACATACAGCTTGAGAGCAGGAGTCAACCAAGAGACTGAGAATAAGGTGTTTGCAGATAGTTTTAGTATCGCTCAAGGGGGGCTATCTAATAGGTCGGTTTGAATTTAACAATACTATCTATCTTAGTGCCGGAGTTAATCGATACAGATTTCGGATTATTCCATTCCACAAGCTGTACAGACCAAAGTGGTTTAGAGAGGCATGTTCAAACGTTCATCGGTTCGTCGACAAGTATATTGAAGAGGATATGTCAAAGTCGAATGAAGATGAAAACCAAAACGGGTTCATAGCTCAGGTTGCAAAAGAGTCCGCAACAAAAAAAGACCTTCGCGATCAGCTTCTAAATGTTTTGCTGGCGGGGAGAGATACAACTGCTTGCTGCTTGTCCTGGACTTTGTAAGTACTGTATTTCGCATCATAGTGGTAGAGCTATGGATATTGCCCTATGAACGCCAATCCTATCACACATTGGGTAAAGTTACCTTGGTAGAACAGAGCCATTGTTTGCGCAGCGGTGGTGTATCAGAAAACACATTTTCCTTATTGTCATGCAAACCCCCAAACCATTGTCGCCGATATTGGGATAATTTGAGAAGTGAGGAGCGTTTACATTGGAATGGCCAAAGCACTTATTAACCCTCGTTGATTCTTACTGACTTCAATGGCTCATATAGTCGCCTTCTCATCCGGAATGATATGGTGATGGAAAAGCTCAGAAAAGAGATTTCCTCCATCATGGATTCCTCAGCTCATCCAACCCGAGAACAAATAAAAAGAATGCCCTATCTATCATGTGTCATCAAAGAAAGTACGCATCCCCTTTCTGATATCTCTGCCTCGTTCTCACAGACCAAGGTCTCCGCTTATACCCTCCCGTACCATCAAATAACCGAACCGCAATACGAACCACGAGACTGCCAACCGGCGGCGGGTCAGACGGAAAGAGCCCAATCCTTGTCCGGAAAGGAGAGATGGTAACTTATGGACAATACGTCATATCGCGACTCGAAAGCGTGTTTGGAGAGGACGCGAGCGAGTTCCATCCTGAAAGGTGGGAGAATGGTCGGCTTGCAGATGTGGGGTATGCGTACTTTCCGTTCAGTGGTGGACCGAGACAGTGCTTGGGGGAGGACTTTGCGCTTAGTAAGTTGACTCACTCATCTTATGCCATATTGAGGATGGATAAGGTCTTGTTCTCGGGGTAGTTATTGCGTATTTTTAACTTGGGCTGATTTTTCGATTTAGTGGAAATCTCTTATACGATTGTGAGGATGCTACAGGTGTTTCCTGTTATGTCGATGCCGCGAAATGATCTGGGGTCTGAAAGACAGAAGCTTACGCTGGTTTTGTCGGCTGAGGATGGGTGTAAAGTGTTTATGGAGAAGGTGACGCAATGATAAAAGTATCTATCTCAACCGATGTACATTTTGTAAGTAGGATAAAGTTATATAAGCCTGATTTGGGTTATAGCGAAAGAATAAATTGTAATACTTGACGATATTCTGAAAGACATCTTGTTTAAATATATAGTTATCTCTTATAGAGACATGTAAAGAAGGTGTAAAAGGAGGGTGAATTACATGGTTCTCTCTTTTAGTGGACTCCCCGAGCTGCGTTTTCTTCTCAAGTCAACACAAAGGGGCAATGTTACTAACGGCAGAACACTGTTATATCACAACCACGGGGCGCAAGAATCACAGTCACGATCAGAATCACAAGATGCTTAATACTGAATGAGACCTATATCTTCTGCAACTAAATTATTCAGAATAGAGGGTCAGCCTCCACATTCGTAACGGTCTCTGCTATCTGCGATCTTGCTCTTGATTAACCAGCTCTTATCTTTGCGTGAGACAAAGATCGCCGTTGGAAACGTGGGCCAAGAGAGAGAAGGAAACGCTCTGGAGGAGAGGGACTAAGCTCTGAATGTTTAGGGGCACATAGGATAAGAAGGATTCTTCCAATATCAATTTAATGATACTGTGGGCTGTGCGGAAATTAGGATATGGTAGTGCATAGGCTTACAGAGAGGATTGTAGCCAGTTTGGTTTCCCAATGGAACATTATCTGTAATACAGGTTTACAAGGCCATGGGTCAAGAAAGGCCTCTAATTTGCATATGCTACTCTGTTTCATTTTACTCTTATTTGAATTGCGCTCCTTGACCACCACAAAGTGGATGTGAGATAAAAGTGCTACTAGGGTGTCTTGTAGTATGGAAGTGGTTCTATACTCCCACCTAATTATTTTCTCTGTTCCTTCTCGTTTATATTCACCTACGCCTTCTGATTGGTCAGATCTATTAGTTTTGCCAACCTAGAATCTCTAAAGTACCCACTAAACTGACATAGATCATCATCTAGACTTTTTGGATGATGGGAAGCTGCGAAATCTCTAGATTTGACAGACCATTGCCTAAAATCCACTACTCCTACTGATTCTATACTCCAGTTGCACCCATATAATCACATCCGCTCCCAGTGGTCGGAGAGTGCAATTCGAATAAGACTAAAATGAAACTGAGCATGGTACATGAGCTTCATGGCCAAAATGCTGAGGTTGACACAATTGTACTGACCATTATTTGTCCTTTTATTGTGCGAATTTTGTCCCGCCATGTCCTATGGAGCACTCTTTCGGGGCGTTTTCAGAGCATCATATGTTGGTACGTGAATGGTTCTTGGAAGTGTCTAGATGCAGTCATATCAGGTCAAGAATGGTGTGATATTACTTTGTAATATTGTCGATAAACAGGCCATCTTGAGACTGTGACAAACTTCTGATATTAAGCGAACCTTGAAGGGTGGTCACTTGTAGGTTAAGATTACATACCAGGTACGAACTGAGGAATGAAGAGACTATCTTGAATTGTTTCTCTAATTTGAACTTTCAAACGCAACGTTTCATCAAACGTTGGGCAGACGGTTCTGTATTCGTAAGAATTCCTTAGTGTGACCGAGAATCAATATCACATGAAACGCAACTTCTACAGGTAGAGTCATTCTACCAACAATGTGTCATATTCTTTACAGAACTTGAGCTGGAGAAATATTGAAAAGGTATACGTAAGTCATGGTGTTTCGTTCGGAAGAGCCGGCCACTTTTGTTGGTATTTCCAGACACGAGAACTTCGAGTGGAATGTTATTGGCAAGAGAGACGAGTTTTAACCTGGGGGCCTTATTCTGTGAGTACCGAGTGATGCGCGGAAAAATCCTGCAACAAATCTTCCGTGAACGTTTAGCAGAGTCAGAGCTTTGGGTTCTTGATTATTTCAGCTATTCTGGAAGAATGCCCACTGAGGCAAATCAAAAGCTCTTACCCGTTGTACGTGGATAGATGAGACAACAAAGATCCAGAAGAGTTTCTTCTCATATACCATACTAGCTATAGCAGAAATCTAATATGAAGGAGTTTACAGGCTCATGTGGGAAGCATGTTATTCACACGTGGCGAAAGCTTGGTGACATCTCACTTGCCAAGATATGGTGCCGCTTACTTGCTGCAACCCCCTGGCAAAATGGCACTTGATGGATGCGACTTCAGGATTCTGATCAGCAGATATTCCAGCAATCCAAATGGGACGGGATGATGTGCTTTTAATAACAATTGCCATCCTTGTTATCGTTCATTGTTTCTGTGAATGCTGGCCCAGGCCACACTACTGGAACTCACCCCCCTAGCAGCCCCTGAGAATCACGCTCGCTTGCCAAGAAAACCGAATTGACTCAACCCAACCTCAAAACCAGAGAATACGACAGGCATCAGCAAACAATGGCTCGAGATACTGTATTAAGTCGCTTGAGCACCTTCTTGAAATGTTAGTTTTTCTCGGCCGAATTGTACCTTGGTATTTCTTCATGGTCCAACGTGAGAATTTACGCAGTGAAGAAATCTGCCGTTTATCGGCTTACCTGAGGATGGCAAGCTGAGTTCGAGATACGCCTGCCTGCCTGAAATTAGGTCTTCAGCCTCCCTCCTCCATACCACCTTTGGTTCTTATTACGAGTGACTCGCGAGGATAACGCAGGTCCAGCCACGCAATCCGGAAACATTGCCCCGAAGGATTATTGTATCCACGCCACGATAGCCAATGGGGGTTGCATATTCCACGTGGTACCAGAAATTTCAGATGATCGACGAACCCAGGTTTTGGGGATTCAAAAAGTCCTTTAACGGGCAAGGCCAAGCGAGCCGGGGTTGTTGCTCCGTATCCGCTGGTATAGGTTTACTTGACGTAGTTATAGCCAACGTAGCTATGAAGCGTTTTCAAACAGTACCTTGCCACATGGCTACCTTGACATCTAGTATTGAAGGTCGCAAACTTCTACTGTGTGGCAGCTTAAGGCAGACGTCAAGTATATACCCTTGTATACATTTCCGAGACATCTTACGGGCCTTTCACACGCGATTCCTTGACCTTTAAAATTCCCACAGGGACTTCAATACACTCCAGATTCTCGAGGATGTCCAAAAAGCAATAATTATGGTCTTCGGTATCCATAATCTCTCTCAATGTTGATATAGCATCGTATATCGCCTTAAGTATGTTAGAGGTCTTCGTGTATTCAATAGCAATATTTTTAGGCCATGAAAGTCCCACTAATTAGCTATGAGTTTGATTAGGCGCGGCTATGGCAGACAGTCATCCTTCGTAAGACCGCAATCGGATCGAACAATTTCGTGTGACAAGGTTATGGCCATGATAACTGTCGCCTCCATGGGTTGTGCTTCCTAGTTGTGCTAGCTTATTCGCTTGGTATGTTTGTGTTTCATAATGATGGCTTGAAAGCAAGTGCTCACCGATTATCACCATTCATCAGCTAGTCGAAAAGTATCAACCATCAAGCCACACATGATATTCTTACCTCCTATCTGGAAGTTCCGTAAGGTCAACCCAGTACATATCTGTCGTCAGAAGAGTCGAACCGCGTTAGGCGGCTCCTTCATTCAACTGCATGCCATCTCACTCTATTCTTGTCCTTGATTTAATGCTCAAAACTGACGTTCCGATTATTCGGTATACAACAGTCACAATGTGCGATTCTTCCAGCCGTTAGATAACAGTCATCCAGTGAGACTTGGCTTGAGATGCGAAATTCAGAGGAAGGTCACGCACCTCGGAGGCTTACCGGCTCGGAACACTCTGTTGTTGCCATAGGCTAACATCTCTTTCCTCCCTCGCAGCTCAAGAACTACGAGAAGTTTATCCAAGATACTTTAGTAGAAAATGAGGAAGCATGTATCCCATTTTTCAAATTCTACTGAACAAATATTTCTGACATCCGAAATCGTTTCGCACAATGGAAGGAATTGGATGAACCCGTAATGATGACAGAAGCTCTTGCTTCGTGACCAGCTTTAAAGCATTAAGTCCACCCATTCGGATTTAATGTCAGCCTCTTCTGGGCGTGGATCTCGTTGCAAGTGCCCAACAAGTTATACGAACCGCCATCCCATATACTGAAGCTGGCACAGTCTACATCAATTATCACGCCCTGCTGTCAATAATCTCGTCTTCAAGGCTGCCATGGCATACCACTCAATTGGGGCATCTTCAACCACGCCGCAAAAGGCTTTCCAAGAGGCTGAAGCTTTTTCTGGGCTAGATTCAATGGGTTGAGTATTGGTTCGGTCAACTGATGGAAAGAAGCTTTGAGGATAAATAGCCGAGTCGTCCTACCTTGACTTACCTCTACCAACATTCATTCAGTCTCTCTTACTTCTCATTCTCTATTACTTTGAACTTCAATCTTCTCAAAATGGGTGCTACTTCTTATATCAATCTTTTGTTTCATCTTGGTCTCATTGGTGGAGCCGCGGCCCTTCCTCAGGATGTAGTTTTGTTTAAGAACGGTGTCAAGGATTGGTTGAGTCCCAAGTGTGTATTGGCAGAGTCCTGGTAAGACACACAATTACTAACAACATACCAGATATACCCCTTTCCAAACACCTTTACATATCATGCAGCCTGCAGTTCCAAAGGCAACATATACTGAACCAGTTAATGGGACGGTCATTGACTTTTTCGAAATCGACATTCGTCAATTTCAAGCTCAAACTGTAATTATGGAATCCAAAGATATACCATGGGATGGCCTTGACTAATTTAACTCGATCAGTACCCCGCTAGCTCAGGTGTTGGTCCAACTACTTATGTTGGTTATGATGGTACCGCTCCGGGACCCACACTTCGCATGACAAGAGGTCGTGAAGCTGTCGTTCGGTTCACGAACTCGTACGATCGCCCCTCTTCAATTCATCTTCACGGTAGTTACTCTCGTGCTCCTTGGGATGGTTGGGCCGAAGATGTCACAAACCCAAATGAGTTCAAGGTAAGTCCCTTTCTTTGGAGTTGTACTTCCTCGCTTATCGGTTCTAGGATTATTACTATCCCAACCATCAGCCACAGCGAACCTTGTGGTATCATGACCATGCTATCGGCATTACAGCTGTCAATGCCTATTTCGGACAAGCAGGTCAGCTCTCCATTCACAGTTGCTGAGTAAAATAAAGCTAACCTGATCAGGTTTTTACATTCTCACGGATCCCAACACTCCTACGACTCTTCCATCAGGAGATTACGATGTCCCCCTCATGATTGCTGCAAAACAATTCAACAGAGATGGAAGTCTTTTCTCGCCAATTGACGAAAGGGTGTCCTTGTATGGAGATGTCATAACCGTCAACGGGGTACCATGGCCAGTTCAACAAGTTGAACCAAGAAAGTATAAATTCAGACTACTTGACGCAAGTATCTCGAGAACATTCAGCCTGTATCTTGTAAGTAACCTCCAATGAACCTTCCTGACATATGTTGAGCGTGATTAGGTTGACGAAGCCAAACCATCTGTTCGCCTTCCTTTCACTGTTGTCGGTGCTGACGCCGGTTACTTGGATCACCCAGTAACCACTGATAATCTTGTCATTGCAATGGCAGAGCGTTGGGAGATTGTGATTGATTTTGCACTCTATCAGGGCAAAAGGTAGGTAACTCAGTGTTGTAAACTGGCACCAGCTTACGGTTTTATAGCTTAGTTTTGATGAACGAGCGCAAATTCCAGACAAACGAGGATTATCCTGAAACGGACAAAGTGTAAGTTATCGTGAGAATGACTGTGAATAATTCTAATTGAGAGATAGCATGAAATGGACTGTAGCAGGGACAGTAACAAACACCGCCAACAACGGCCCTATTGCAACTCATCTGGCAGATTTGGCAGACACCGGATCTAAGACGACGATTGACCACGAATTTGTCTTCGAAAGGCAAAATGGAGAATGGCGTATTAACGGTGTTGGATTCGAAGACATTCCAAACCGCATCCTCGCTAAACCAGCCCAAGGAAGGACTGAGAGATGGCGTCTAACCAACAAGTCTGGTGGCTGGTCCCACCCAATCCACATTCATTTGATTGACTTCAAGGTACTCTCGAGAACTGGTGGACGTGGTAAGTGACTTTATAATATCCCCAACAAATGAAATACTAACAAGTTCACAGGTGCTGTCACTCCCTATGAAGCTGCAGCTTTGAAAGATGTCGTGTACTTAGGCGAGAATGAATCTGTAGAGGTCATTGCCAAGTATCAACCATGGGCTGGTGTTTACATGTTCCATTGCCACAACTTGGTACACGAAGACCACGACATGGTAGGGAACTCCTTGAAATCAATCACTTCCTTAGCTAACCAAATCTTCACAGATGGCTGCTTTCAACGTCACCTCCGTGGATCTCAGTTCTTATGGATACCCCGACAATACCAATTTCACTGATCCTATGGCTGCAATCTGGCGCGCAAAGCCTAGAAATGGTCCTACCAACATGAGCCAGGTCCAAAGCACGATCCTGCCCCTGTTCGCTGGTTTAGGTGCTTACCCTAGCACCGACTCTGTTGAACATGCTCTTGAGCAGGTCTATGCTGGACAGTAATTTCTTATTATTTTTCTTTTGTCCTTCAACTGGAATTTACAAATGAGGAGAGTGAGGACTCTTTAGTTGTGACGGAGTGTCAGGGTGTATGATTAGATTGTCTGCGAGGAGAGAAGAGTTCTCCAAGCAGAAGTGCTACTTATCTATCTACAGTGCCTTGTTTCCCGAAATCTACCCGACACCAAGCCTCGAATTCACTGAATCAAATCTGTTACATAAGGTCCCTCTTTCCTACACCTTTTCTCGTTCCGCAAAAGCTCTCAACCGTTCGTTCTTTGTCGGTTTAGGCTTATTAGGGAATCTAGTCTCGAAGGTACGTATCGAGGCTACGCTATAGATAACATTGACCAATGGCTCCCATGAGTTCTCCTCTTGGCTATAACCTCGCCATCTTATCAGATATTCGAATTTTCTACCCTTCCTCCTCGAGTCTACTATCTCCTCCACTGCCCATAGAGCATGTCCTCCATCGTCTACTGTCACAGGTGGAGGTGCTAGGTTGACTTGCCCTGGCATCGGGACGCCGGCGGCGGGGCGTAGCAAATTAGTGTGGAAAACCGGGTGGATGGACTGTAATTCGTAGGGAAGCTCCAGCTTATAGGAGTGGGAGTTCATGATTTGAAGTACTCGGTAGGGGCCAATGTACTTGGCGTCGAATTTCGGTATAGGTCTCGCTGACTTGATATTCCTTGTGCTTAACATAACCATGTCACCTACTCTGTACGCTGGGGCTGGTGATCGGTTCGCATTCGCAGATTCCTCCATACGGTCCCTCGTAGTAAGCAAATTAGTACGTAAGTAGCCCAAGATCTCCTCCATCTTCCGAGCAAAAGTTCTTCCCGCAAGAGCGTTCTGAGAGGTGAGCGTAGGTGATCGAGGTGGCCCAAAACTCATGCGAGGATGATAACCGTTGTTTGCAAAGAACGGAGATATGCCAGTTGCAGAGCTGACTACGTTTCTCATAGCAAACTCGGCTAAGGGTAGGAATTGAACCCAATCTGTCTGGGCGAAGTCGATGTACTGACGTAGGTACTTGGAAATGGATTTGTTAGCGACTTCGGTCTGGCCATCAGTTTCTGGGTGGTATGCAGTAGAGAGATCAACTCGAACCCGTAGTACTTCGCAGACGGATTTCCAAAAGTCTGAGAGGAATAAGGAACCCCGGTCAGAGACGATAGTGTCTGGTAGTCCATGAAGCTTCCAGACGTCTCGCACGAATAAGCGAGCCAGCTCGGCTGCATTCATATCCTTGTTGCATGGTGTAATGTGGCAATCCTTAGTGAGCCTATCTGTAACGACCATAATCTGGTCAAATCCATCGACCAACAGAATAGGGCCCATAAAGTCGACTGATAAGTCTCTCCATCTTTGAAGCGGTATTGGGAGTGATTTTAAAGTGCCCTGGTATCGTAGCTGGGAGTACTTGTTCCGAAGACAGTTTGTACAGGCTCTACAAAATTGGGTGATATCGCGGTAAAGTTTCGGCCACCAATAATGTCTACACATGAGCTCGAATAGTTTGTTCTTGCCTGGGTGACCGCTCTCGACCGAGTCGTGGGCTCTTTGGAGAAGCCATACTCGTAGTTCTGTATCTGGGACATATAGCCTGTCCCGAAAGTATAGCCTGCCGTCGTCGATCCGACACTCGGACAATGCGACTTCTTTGGAGTGTGGTGTGCGGTCTTCTCTGTTCATTTCCTTAGAAGTCTTCTTCCAGAAAGGGTCTTCCTTGTACCCCTCCTCTAACATCCTAGTCAAGATATGGTCGTCGGATTCAGTTCCCTGCTCGTCTGGTTCTGGTTCTGGTTCCTCTTGTTCAGTGGGTCGTTCTTCCTCGTTTAGAGGTGCTAAGCGAATGGCAGGGTCTAAATTTTGAGGTTTGAGAAGTGACTGTTGTTGGTATATAATCCGAGGGTCGTCGTCTCGGCTCGGGAGGTCTTGGGATCGACGAGTAAGTGAGTCGGACTTGGTGTTCTTCTTACCAGGTACAGGTTTAATAACAAAGTCGAATTCAGAGAGAAACTCGCTCCACCGGACTTGACGGCGGGTCAGTTGCTTAGTAGTCATAAAGTACTTCAAGTTGGAGTGATCAGTGATTACTGACACAGGGTACGCGGTTCCCACAAGTTCGGAGCGCCAGGACTCGAAGGAACGTACTATGGCAAGTAGTTCCTTGTCATAGATTTCGTAATTGCATTCCGCGGGGTCGAGGACTTTTGACATAAAGGCAACAGGGTAGAGAACTCCATCGTGGTATTGGGACAAGATGCCGGCCGAGACGTAGTCGGAGGAGTCACATTCGACAATGACTTCCTTCTCTGGGTCGAAGTGCTTAAGTGTTGGTGCAGAAGTGAATGCTTGCTTAAGTGCTTGAAACGATTTATCACAAGTCGAGGTCCATTCCCACCTTACGCCTCTCTTAGATAGTAAATTCAATGGTTTAACTAACCTCGAGAAATCCTTAACAAAGCGCCGGTAGAAGTTCGAGAAGCCAAGGAACGCCTGGAGGTCTTTGAGGTGAGCTGGCCTAGACCAGTTCGTGATAGCCGAGGTCTTCTCAGGGTCCATTCTCACTCCATCCGTTGATATAATCATGCCTAGATAGGTGACTTCCTGGACTTCGAACTGGCACTTCTTAATGTCCAGCTGGAAGCCGGCTTTTTCGAGAGCCTCGAACACTTGTTCGACCTGCTTACGATGCGAGGTCAAGTCGTCTGAATAGATGAGTATATCGTCTATGTAGGCAGTGCAAAAGATATCCAGGAACGGGCGGAGTACTTCGTTAATCCGGGCTTGCCAGGTTGCTGGAGCGTTCGTAAGGCCAAATGGCATGACTAGAGATTCGAAGAGGCCGTAGCGAGTATTGAAAGCTGTTAGCCATTCGTCCCCCTCCTTAATTCGTATGTGGTTAAATGCTGCAATGACATCGACTTTGGTGAAGTACCTTGCTTTGCTGAGTCGTTGGAGTGTCTCTTGGATTCGGGGTATCGGATACCGGTTTTTGATCGTAATATCGTTTAGTGCTCGGTAATCCACGCAAAAGCGTAGTCCTCCACCAGGCTTCTTTGCGAAAAGTACTGGGGAGGCAGCCGGGGATTTACTTGCTCGAATAAACCCCTTCTTCAGCTGTTCGTCGAGGTACTTACGTAAGACCTCTAACTCTGGGATAGACATATTATATAGAGGTCCATGGGGAGGAGATGAACCAGGCTTCAATTCAATCTTCAGGTCGCAGTCTCGATGTGGGGGTAGCGTATCAGCTTTCTGACGGTTAAATAACCGAGATGACCACTTCTTCAAGTGTGGAGGGAGCAAAGTCTCAGGATCAACGTGCTCTCCAGGGTTGTTGTACTTTGCGAGTGCCTTCTGGATGTCGTCTAGAGAGGCCCCGCAGAGGTAGAGTTCAGCAGCCATTTGGCGAGAATCGGTGGTTTTGTGCTGGAAGTCGTCCTGAATCAGTAACTCCTTTTCCATGCGCTTCTGGCCCGAGAGGCCATCGTCCATCCGAATGCTGTACAAGGTGTCGGGAGTAGAAGGGCTCGCGCCTAACTCCTCTAACCTTTTGTCTATTTCAAAAACAGATAGAGAGAACACTTCAACGCCGTGAGTAGATGCCAGCCGGTTGAAGGAGGCAGCGCTGACTTTCAGGGGCTTAGGGATATGTGAAACGTCGTGACGAGTGCATTTCACTTGAACCGAATCCAACCTCCTAGGCATACAGTGTCCTCTACAGTACGTAGAGCCAAAAACGATACTGTGGTTCGTCCAGTCAATTTGAGGGTTGTGGAGAGCGAGCCACGGGTGTCCTATGATGATGTTGTGGGAGGCGAGTTTAGTAACATGGAAGCGTTGTTGACGTTCTACATGCTTCCCGACAATCATGTCCAAGATAACTATATGAGTAACATCACCTGCTGAAGAAGGTCTCCCGTCCGCGATGCGGAGACGACGAGGCCGAGCGAGTGGGACGAATTCAAAACCACAATTTTGCGCATAATCGGAATCAATGAAATATTGAGCTGAAGCCCCAGAGTCGAGCATAAAGTAAGTAGTAGAAGTTATGTGTTTGGTATTGCCTTTCTGTACTACCTTACAAGGAACCTCCATCGTACTTTTCTGCCTTTCCTCTAGAGATGATATCTTCAGGACCTTCTTCCGAAGACGTCTCTGACGGCGACTTTCGTCAGAGACTAGACTTTTCCCGCTTCCTTCGCAGCTTTCGTCGACTCTCGAGCCTCAAGCTTGGGACATCCAGTGGTGCCAATATTGTGGTCGGGGCTATCGCAATAGTGGCAAAGGTCGTGTTTGATTTGGTAGGCTTTGCGAGCTGTCTTCTCTTCATCGGTCTTCGCACGACGCTTTGCTTCTACGTCCTTCTTAGTCCAAACGAGTCTTCCAGCAACTTTCATCATATCGAGCTCCATCGGGTCTTCGTAAGCAGTAGCAGTAGCAGTAGAGGCAGTAGGCGTCGGGACTGTATAGGGGGTAAGAGCCATGGAAGCGAGCTTGGTAGGCTTGGTCTTGGTGAAGTGTTCGCCGAAGATCTTTCTACAGTTGCGGTCTTGCTCTCGGACAAGGTTGACTAGGTCGTGGGGGGACATGTCGTCGCTATATCGGCCGCTGGAGAGGACTTGAGCATGAATGCGTCTGTCCATATTCTGCATGAGAAGGTCAATGACAGGGAAGCCTTCGTTTCCAGAGGCAGACGCCAGTGCTAAGAACGAGCTTAGAAATTGGTCAGTAGGGCGAAGTCCCTGAGTCTCTTTTTTCAATAGCTGCCAGCTGTCTGACTTACTATAGACATTACCAAAGGTTCGGCGTAAGACATCGAGCATGTCGTCGACCGATGACAAGCTTACTTTGAAGGAGCTATCGTCGTTAATGTGAGGGTCGATGTGTTTGCGAGCATCTCCTTCCAAAGTACTCAAGACATATGCCATCCTACTTCTCTCAGTAGTCCACCAGTCAGCGTTCTCGGCTAACTTCAGCTTCAGGTCGATAATGTATGTATGAAGTTCGGCAGCTGAGCGTCGCGTGCCGCCGAATCGTTGAGGGTCAGCGTAAGGTTGTGACCGAAGTGTTAGAGGGGGTGGGTAAGCGTGAACTTGTGGTAGAGGCTGAGGTTGAGCTTGGGGTTGGGCATAGACTTGAGGCTGGGCTTGAGTTTGAGCTTGAGCTTGAGCTTGAGCTTGATTCAAGGCTTGGCTTGTGGTATGAAATTGAAGTTGCATAGCGTGAAGTTGGTTTCGTAGCTCTGCGGTCGTATTCTGTTCTCTCTCAAGGTCTGTGATTGCTTCTTCTTCGTCGCGACGAGAGGTAGCGTATTGGACTTGAAGTTGGTCGTGCTTGTTGAGGAGGTCTTGTAGGGCGTTACGAATACCATCCGGGTCATTGGGAATAGTAGTAGGTTTACTGATGAGGTTTCGAAGTTGCTCAATCGTGTAACCTCCTTCTGGTGGTGGTGGT